ACCCCCCAGTTTTCAACCCCTTAGTAACTAATTTATCCTAAAATCGGCTTTGTTATAATTCGAACTGCTAAGTTTACGCTTACTTAGGCACCTCTGTTGCCAAAAGTTTTCGTAGTCTAGGAAACATTGCTTTTTTTTGTATACATAAGTACCCCCCATATCACCCCCTTACCGATGCGAATTTCCAAAAATTGCGCCTTAGTGTTCAATTACGTCAGTCAAGGAGCACTCGTTAAAAATTTCATACTCTTAACTAATGATTTTAACTAAATTTTTATTTGCAGCTTTATTCATCCCTAATTTCACCCACTTAGTGGTCGAATTTTTTTCAAATAAATCCCTTCTTACGTGCTCATTGTACATCAACTTAAGGAATCCTTGTGTCCAAATTTGATTTATTTAACGTGCATATAGATAACCCATATTACCCTTATCTTTTTTCAGCTATTATGAATGATTTAAGAGATTAACAAAATAGTGCTCTCAACATTACTCTAAACCATATTCAGTTCTATATATATTAGCTACGCACATTATATAGATCGTTAGAGATTCTGACTTTCAAACATCCATTGCGACTAGTATTTTCATATCCAATTGTATAATATAAAGTCCGATTCTGTTTCCCTGGGTTTTGACCGGGGAATGTTGCTTATTAAATATTGAACAACCGGCTACGTCGCTTCACATCGCGTGGCCATGGTGTGGCTCTGAATTTTTCGTTCGGTTTTAAATAAATATTATTTGTTTTTTTTTGCATAATGAAATACATCTGTGTCATTAATAGGGAACTGTCTGATCGAAAACATGCTGTTCTGTAAGCAATGGCCATCTGTATTATGTGTTATCTGTCGGGTAATAGATAAAGTGCCAAAAATAGAAAAAAAAAAAAAAATAAAAAAATATAAAAATTTTAAAGGGCCAAAAGCTACTAAGACTATCCGGCCTGTTAATAGGGTACTATCCTCGTTTGAGTGTTAATAAAATTAATGTGAACGGGTATGCCGCGTTAAGGCAGAAGTTTGACATGAAAATTCTGATTTCGATATTCTGTTTAGAACTACCTGTATATTATGCAATACAGAAAATGAACTGTATAAAATCGTATTAAAAGATACTACGCGATAATGCATTGTTTAGGAACCGGCAGTTTCCCGAGCATCACTTTTGTAATTGTATATTTCGCTTTAGAAGATAATTATAAAATCTCGTAGGGCATTATCCAATCTTTTAAATTCACATTTAATCGACCAAAATAATTTAACTCAAAATTTCTGGAGCAGTTATTTTTATTAGTTTACCATAGGCAACCAATAATACACAATATCATGACAAGGACTTGTTCTTTGTTCTTTCCGATATTATTCCGGTACAAGGTCCAACCCTGTGGTCCAACCGGTCTTTCGGTCCATCCGGTTGTCGGTATACCGGTTCAGTATCGGTCCCACCGATCAATTATTGGAACCGGTATACCGGTTGTATGACCGTTACTTTGTGGTACCTACCGGTACTGAAATCTTAGGACCGAACATCCCTGCCTTAAAGAACTTCAATAAATACAAAAATACATCTGGACATACAGAAAGCCATAATTCTAAAAACATGTAATATAACCCGAACTTTCTACAGACAAACATAGTAGAAGGTAGCCCGCTGGGCATACTTGGTATAGACCTATCTGTCTAGACAGGTATATAAAGGGTATATACAATAATAGAAACCGGTTGAAAAGCTGAGAAAAAAAGTGATGATAATAATAAATCGTCTTTATTTCATACAAAAATACATAAAATGATAACAAAATTGCAACTCTGGCACAGTCTAGCTGCAATAGCTACTCAACTTAACCAGTACATGCAAACTTAATAACTAAACATAACGTTTTACAAATTGCCATAAAGAAAAATTTAAAATATATAATGCAAATGTAGATATTGTCTGAATACAGGTGAAAATTGAAAAAAAAATTATGAATGCATTAGAAGATACTCCTTATACTTATGCATTTTCACTTAAATGTAAAGGTGCGTTCACATCGGCTGCGCCACGCCGCGCAAAACATTTTTTTAACATGCACTTTTGAAGTGTATTTTTTTAGCGTGCATAAAGGTATATGATAAAAAAATAATTTGCGCGGAGCGGCGCAGCCTGTGTAAACGCACCTTAATAATTATATAGTTAACAAATTATACAGTATGATCCAATAAAAACGGCGTCAGCGATGGCTATGAAATGACGATCGATGACATTTAACTTATAATCACAAATTATACAGATTATAAACTTTGTTTTTTCTTTATTGTTTTTCGTGGTTTCAATTTTCGGAATCGGGCACTAGTTTGGTTACTAGTTTGCGCACAGAGCACGCCCACTTATGGCCTCAAAAATTGTGCACAGCGCCTGACCGGCACAGTTATTAGAGAGATATCGGAAAACAGAATAGCGTCATGCAGTATTTACGCGTACCTTATCATGGTTACGATATGCGCGAGTCAATTTTTAACGCATCACTCGCTAATAACGTTACCGCCTGACGTAATTCGCGGATCAATTACACCCAAGAACAGTTAACCTAATAGGACTGCTCATTCAGCCAAAAGTGTCCGCCAGGTGCATGCGAAAACTACTCGCTTTGTGACGTCATTGTAGCCCTTGTCATGGTTATTAGTCCTTATCCGGCAACCAATAATACACACACGTGCATTATTGGTTACCGAATGCAAAACGTTCATTATTTAGTTTATTTATTTAAACACCTTATATGTATGCAGTATAGAAAATTAACTGTATAAATCGTATTAAATACTCAGATAATGCATTTTTAAGAACAGCAGGTCCCAGCATCACCTTTTGCAAGCATTCTTTTTAGAGTACTTCCATATTTTGCTTTAAAATAATTAATAAACAAAATCGTGGGCACTTAGTATGCACTTTGTCACAATCCACAACACAAAATGAACGTTTTTTTACACTCTATAGCTCTAAAAACTTTAAAGGAACCTTTTTCCCATTTAAAATTGTCAAAATAATTAACTCAAAATTTCTCAGCTGTTATTTTTATAAGTTGGTGTATAATGGGCATGTGCGGGTATTTGACAACCGGGGCCGGCCGGCGAGATCTTTTATTTTAGGCTGTTTGAATTGTTTTGAATTATTACTTTAGTTTTATTAGGTAATTTGATATTTAAGTAGTGTATAGCTGATTAGGGATTAGTTTTAATTAAATAAATATGGCCCAAAATATGGATTCCACCTCTTCCAATATTAAAGAACCTATAAAGAGGCTTAGGTTTACAACAGATGACGACTTAGCCCTTTTAAGAGAATTTGTTGCTTGTTGCCCTAAACCCACTGGCAGACGTTGAACAATAAAGCACTGGAAACAAGCACTTTAGCCCTTTAGTTTTAAAATACCTAGTAAACAAAACAATTTCAAAGTTTTAAATTCAAGTTAGGTTAAGTTTAAATAGCGGACGCGACGCGAACAGAATTCTTTCCGATCCGGTAACTATAAATGAAGAGAGTTAATACCACCTCACGTAAAGGAAATAACATCTGGCCTTATAACGTCCATGCACGCTATTCGGTTTAGCGATATCTCTCTATTACGCTGTTTATTGTTATTTTACGCGAGTTTATTTTTACGCACAGGAAATTTTACTCGATTGCACATCGTCATAAAAAACAATTTTCGTACCACGAATTTGAAACATTTGCGAGTCGTCACCATCAGACAACCCAGACAAAAATATGAAATCAAAATTGTTGCTTTCTACCAGATATTTAAACTCATTAAACCTAATTAATTAAAAAAAATAATATTTAAACTCATTAAAAAGTAAATGTTACCCTGTAACCCATGTGCTATCTCTACATTTTTATCCGTTATACGGCGGTGGCGCACCTCATTCGCCTCGGTTGATCATACGAAAACGGAAAGATGTAGAAACAAAATATTTTATGGGTGTATGTGGGTAGGCAATGTGCACAATTTAAAATTGTCTTGAAACGTACAGGGTGTTTCAGAACTAAGATCCATACCAAAGTTATATTTTTTCTAATGGAACACTCGGTATTTTATTTCATTTTTGGATTCTTGGGCCCAAAAAAGGTATTTATTATAAAGGTTAGATATGTTTAAAATCTTTGGTTTTTGAGATATTTAAATATATTTAAAAATGCATGCCACAATAGAATAGATTATTAACACCCTGTACATTGCTTTTCAGAATTAATTCTTGTGCTGACTTTTAAGCCAGATAAATAAACTTTACTGAAAAAAAATTGATGGCTTTGTTTAATGTATACAGGGGTATCAAAAATTTGCTGGTCTATTTTATATATAATATATTTTACAAAAAAACTTCGTTGTTTCAAATACAATACCCTGTATTTTTTAAATAAATGGAAGCAGATTCATATGCTCTTCCAATCGATATTAGGGTTTCCTATACCTATCTAGCTCAGATTTTGAATAAAAAATTATTTTTCAATAAAATGGCAATCAAGATGGCTGGAGTCGCCATGGAAATTTGCTAGTTACAGTTAGTAACTATTTTCAAAATCGACATTAGTTTATGGACATTATTATTTAGATTTATAAAAGTTTACTTAAATTTAGCTACAATAGTTTAATAAGCATGTATTCATTAATTTATGAAGAAAAATAAAGCAGTATCTGCTGGCGGAACGAATAGATATGTTACTAGTGATTTTACTTTGTGAGGAAAATTGCTTCTTGGTCTCAAGGGCTTATGCTCAAAGATATCCAAATAGGAATCTTCCTGATAAGCGTCCCTTTGAAGAACTACTCGTTCTATTTCCCAGAGCATTTCCCATGTAGTGTGGTTTTTAAAAAAAAACTATTAAGCAGAAACCTGTTGTTGGAAGTAAAAAAAAATGAATTTGCCGTAATTAACTCGTTTATAGAAAATCCATATATCTACAAGTTATCGTAAAATATACTAAGAAGTACTTCTTCGTTTTTCTTGATAGAATAATAAATACATATTTAATAAATATTATTTATTAAACTACTGTACGTAAATTAAATAAAAGTAAACTTCTATAAACTTAAATAAAATCCATAAACTGATTTAGATTTTGAAATTAACTACTAACTGTCATTAGGAACTTGCCATGACATCAGCCATCTTGGTTGCCGTTTTATTGAAAAATGACTCTTTATTCAAAATCTGAGCTAGATAGGCATAGGAAACCCTAATATAGTTTGAAAGAGCATTTGAATCTGCTTCGATCTATTTAAAAAAATACAGGGTGTTGTATTTAAAATAACGAAGTTTTTATGTAAAATAAATATTTAAAATAAACCAGCAATTTTTGATACCCCTATATACATTAAACGAAGCAATCAAAATCTTTCAGTAAAGTTTATTTATCTGGCTGAAAAGTCAGCACAAGAATTAGTTTTGAAAAGCAATGTACAGGGTGTTAATAATCTATTCTATTGTAGCATGCATTTTTAAATATCTTTAAATATCTCAAAAACCAAAGATTTTAAACATATCTAACATTTATAATAATACCTTTTTTGGTCACAAGAATCCCTGTTGAAATAAAATACCGGGTGTTCCATAAGAAAAAAATATAACTTTGGTATGGATCTTCGTTCTGAAACACCCTGTACATTTCAAAATAATTTTAAATTATGCACATTGCCTCTCTACATATACCCATAAAAAAATTTGTTTCTACATCTTTCCATTTTCGTATAATCAACCGAGGCGAATGAGGTGCGCCTCCCTGTATATAGGTATAATATATACAGGGATCGGCATAAGTCAGGCCACGCTCTCGAAAAATCGGCATATGTCCGGCAACACTCATAAGTCTGGCAACGCTGTCGAAAAAGATTGCCACTAAGCATGTTCGTGCATCAGACAGTTAATGTGTCTGTGTCATAATAATATGTAAGATAACACTTGCTCGTCGAATAGACGCGTTTTCAGAATGAATAACCGATACAAGTGTGTTGCCTGACTTATGCCGACCCCTGTATTATGTATATCAAACTTATTTATAATAGAATATGTATATCAAACTTAATATAAAAAATGGAAATAATAATAACTTAGTTCAAATGGTTTGGTTTTGCAGTAACAATGGATGGAAATCCGTCTCTATGTATTATTTTCAGGTTCGTTTCTCCAGCATCCAGGCGAAAATCAAGTTCCTGCTTCACCTTTCTAAATTCTTCTAGTTGAGCATAAGTCTTATCAGATCGCACTGATATGCTTTCATACTTTTTGTAGATTGTTATCGATCTTGTATTGTGAAGGACTTTAGAGGCTACATCAGGTGAGCTACAGATCACTCTCAACGGACGATTTTTTCCGTGAAAATACTTTCCAAGACGGTGCACCCTAATGGTGCTTGTATCAACAAAGGAACCCTGGTGCGAAAGTTTGATAATTTCCTGGGCCGTCTTCTTATCATCTTCAGGGCGATCTTCGCTATTACGATCGTCTATTCCAAATATAATAAAATTTGCTTTCTTCCTCTCGCGCTCGTGTAACTCTTTTAATAGTGGTTCAAAAGACTGTCCCTCTCTTAATCGATTATTACATGCTTTGAGGTGATTAACTTGACTGCGCAGGTCTTCCAATTGCGTTTCAAATTCGTCAACAATTCTAATAACATCTTTCAAGTCTGGTTCCGACTATAAATAAGAAGAAAATAAAAATAAGGAAACAAAACAATCGATAAAATCATGATTTTTTAAATTACAGACACATTTTAAATAGTCTTAATAGAAGATAAATGAATTTATAATAATCTACATATATAAAATGCTAATGTTTATCTGTGTCGTCTCTACTGAAGTAACGACTTGCTCTAGAAAGTTGCTTTTTTTACTAAAAGATAGCTAATTGGCTCTTCTAAAAACTGTCGTCGCCGGATTTTTTGTTTTTTATTTAATTAAAAAAAAATAAAAAGTATTTTTTTTCCTGATGTCGTGCCGGATGCGCCAGGCTTCAACTAGTACTCTAAAGCTTGTCGCCCACTTGTCCGGCACAGCACGGACCGTAGCTGCTCGTCGCCTGCAGGCGACGGAGAGCTTGGTCGCCCACTTTGCCGCAGGAAACCGGCAAGCCGTCACGTCGCGGTCGTATGTTGCGAAGATCTTTTTGTTTTAGTTTACATGTAGCAGTGACAGAGTCACTATGTGTGAAAGCAACAGTTCTGATGAAGAAGTTATTGTAGCGGCCGCATTTTTGGCAGAAGAAGAAGAAAATAAATAGAAGATAAAGAGAGAAAAATGTGGGTCCACCCCATTAATCAAAAGCGGACTGAACGCGGAGAGTCCCATCATTTATTTAACGATTTAATTTCCCTAATTTTTTTCTTAGGACTGCTTTCTCGGACTTAACAATAACAACTGCCAAAATAATTGCAAAACATATATGCGATCGAAAGGCTTCCATAAGTTAATGCAGGCCAGCGCCGGCCGCCGGCTCCGCGTACAGTTGACCGGCCCCGTCCCGGCACGGACCGTCGTTTGACGGGGAGAGTCGGAGAGCTGGAATCTGTTCCGTCGACGGACTCGCCGTTCCGTGCCGTGACGGGCTAATGTGCGGTAGTCTATTCATTTGCATGGTTTTAATCCTATCCGTATTTTGACGGGCCGGAACGGGACGGGACGTGACGGCCAAGTGGGCGACAAGCTTAATAAAGTTGTTGTATACCGGGTGCGTCTCAAAAGTGGCTGACTCCTATAACTTTTTTATTTTTTTTCAGATAAAAAAAAATGAGATTTGGTATGTTAGTATATGACATACATTAGGATTGATTGACGTATTCAGTTGTTTTCGGTCACTTCCTGTTTCACCGGAAATGACTACAACTTTTGATTTTTAAATAGCACCCTCGGTATTTTTTTACTTTATTTGATAGAAAATGACACTCCGAATCGAATGACATATCATATGTCAACTTTTGACATATTCGCTCAAAATCAAATTGTACTTTAAATTTCAATCTAGAGTGCCATGGCCGTGTTAAAAATACTAATTTTTAATCAAGGAGCCTTGAAAAATAGATTTGATGGTCTAATGTTTTTCGTGTCTTGTTCTGGCCGGTTAAAAGATGCCCAAATCGTATTTTTAATCATATCTCATTTTTTTCAAATGAAACGAGAGTGGCTCATTAGCATATTTCGAAAATGCATTTTCTTCAGTGGCGGCTCGTGGGTAAAAAATTAGGCGAAGAGTAATTTTTTTTTTAAATTGCGCCGTAGGCAAATTTTTTTTGGCGCATTCACCATTTTGTCAACATTTTTAAAAATATTATTTGAAAAATTTTTGCTGCATTCGCCATTTTGTCAACATTTTTTTTTGTTATTATTTATACACTAATACCTATAATATTTTCGTTTTAGTTTGGGCTAAAACGCATTAAGTAAAAGGAGATACAACCAGTTTTCGATAAACACATATTTTGCATTCCAGTGAAAATATAATTAAATTTAAATTAAATATAATAAACATTATATACAGTGTCCACCATAAAGTTGGATCCATATGGACGTTTTTTTTTATATTAGAGTTTTAAAAAAGCTTTTTGTAGCAATCACTTCTGCTTTGAAAACAACTTAAAATGCACCAAACCAAAGTTGACAGCTAACATCAGGGAGCTGTCAAATATAAAATATTTAAAAGAAATTTTAAAAAATTGGTTAAATTATTATTATTTAAAAAAAAGTGACTAACAAAATTATGTTTCAACTTTGATTTGGTGCATTTTAAGTTGTTTTTAAAGCAGAATTGATAGCCACAAAAAGTTTTTTTTAAACTCTAATACCAAAAAAAAAACGTCCATATGGATCCAACTTTATGGCGAACGCTGTAATTATTGAATGGCTTCCCCGAAAAACGTTGTAACCGACATTTATTTTCAAAATAGAGATTTCAGTGAAATAAGGTTGTAATTTTCATAGGTAGGTATAGCGTTTTTTCCTCTATTTTGATTTTTTTTTCTTAGCATTAACTGACATTTTAAATGTTCTGCAGAATCCCCGTATTTATGCAAAGATCTTGTTATATTTACGAAATCCCTTGTGAACCCTTCTTTATTCCAAATGCCATGTTTATTAGAAAATAAATACGACCAACAAAATAATTTTTGTAAAACAACACTACTACATATCCAATTAAAATCAGAAAACCAGGAAGACTCAAATTTAATATTATAAAATTTACCACTTTTTCTTATTGATGTCACAAATTACCTATAACAGATGCGAAAGAAAGCGACTGCATCGGAAACCGCTCGGCAAACCCGACACGCCTATTGAGCGGTGTAAATACACCAGTCGTTTAGTCCGGAAACCTATGCTGTATCGTATTCGCTTGCTGGAATGACATAGTGCGTGGTTATATGTTTCTTTTTAAAAACGCGTGTAGGATTTTTGTTGAACTTTTGAACTGTTATTTCTAAGTTTTGGTAATTTGTATATCTTATTTAAAATGGGATGCAAATGTGTTTATTTATAAGGAAAAAAAAAGATATTTATAGTATAAAATTAATTTATTTAACAAAAATTTAATTAAAAATGTGACAAAATAGTTACCTTTCTATTGGTTCTATCGGACTTTTTCGACTATATAAATCTTTATTTTGTAAACTTTAATACATCAAATATTTTCAATCTAATAAATCATTTAATGATGTAAATAAGAGGAAATTTCACATGGGTGGTCAAATTTTATAGTTTTCATTATATCAAACAGCCTCTGAGAAATGTTTTCAACTCAAAATGCCTTTAATTATGTTTGACTACATCATTAAAAAGGGTCTTCAAATACATCAATGTGATATTTGTCTAAAATTTGCAAAAGAATCCGAATCTCTGGATAACTCGAAATTATTTACCCATTTGCTTTTGATCGTGAAAGTGGAAAAAATTTGTTCATTTTATTTACAGGCTGGAAAAATTATTTATATTAAATTTTGATGAGTTTTGCACTGAAGAAAACATTCAGAGGCTGTTTGATATAATGAAAACTATAGAATTTGACCACCCGTGTGAGAAATTTCCTCTTATTTACATCATTAAATTATTTATTAGATTGAAAATATTTTATGCATTAAAGTTTACAAAAAATAAAGGTTTATATAGTCGAAAAAAGTCCGATAGAACCAATAGAAATGTAACTATTTTGTCACATCTTTAATTAAATTTTGTTAAATAAATTAATTTTTTATACTATAAATATCTTTTTTTTTCCTAATCTCCTACGAGCTGATATAATATGACGAGCAATCTATTAAATTACCGTGAGATTATACAGAAAAGTTCACAGACTTCGAGACATAGGAAAATCAAGTCCATTTGCGTGTGTCCAAATTTTGACAAGTTTTCAAAAATGGCAGTTTTGTTTAGACTGACGTTTAATTTCACCTGACTTCTCGGTGAATGATTTCTTTTTATGGGGGTACATAAAATCTAAAATTTACGGCCATGAAGAAATTCAAAACTTGGAGCAGTTAAGGCAGAAAATATTTAATGCCTTTGACACTGTCACCCTGATATGTTATCCAATGTGAGGAGGGATTTTATGATCGTTTGGGTTATTGTTTAATGCAAGAGGGAGGCACTTTTGAACAATTTATGTAATTTTTTAAATTTCATTATCCTGTTTTTTTACCGTTTACCCATTACCTACCTTGACGAACATGGGAAAACGAAGGTCCTTTTCAGGACCACAAATATTTTGATTGAGAAAATTGATAACTTTTTTTTGGATTAAAAAACTCTTTTTGGATTTATAACATTCTCAAATGAATTACAGGTGCCCTTATTTTCTATAAAAATCACACAGCTTTTTTCATAGTCGCTGCAGTTGCTATAGCTATAAAAAACTAATTTTTTAAGGTGTGAAAATTGCGACACACGCTAAATGGACTTGATTTTTCGTATGTCTCAGAGTCTGTGGACCTTTTGTATGCCTCGATAACATATTGGTGCAGATTATTTTCACCCAAACAAATAATAACCCAAACTATACATTGATGCGGATTGTCTATGAACTCTTTCTGAAGGTCACAGAAACCTGAACGCGTAATTCGGTGTTCTTTCGCATCTGTTATAGGTAATTTGTGTCGATGTACTTAAACAGCCGTTAAACGGTAGCCTACTAAAATGCCGTTAATAGATATTGTGACGTCTTTCATGTCAGCGGAAAGTAATGTCTGGCCTTGAACATTTTGCAAGAGGACACGTGGGTCAGTGGCTGAGGCTATCGCTTCGTAAGCGAATGGTCCGTGGTTCAAATCTCACGCCGACCAAGACTTTTTTATATTTTTTTTTGCTTATAGCGCGATCTTATTGCATTGGATTCACTCTTTTTGGTTGGATTTGTTTAGTTATTTGGCGGGTTGGTTAGCCAAGGGCGTAGATAAGGGGGGGTACTGGGGGACAGTACCCCCCCCTGACGCTTGACGAGATACGAGAATTGAAATAGTCATTGACTATGAAAGGATTTTTTTTAATTAATATCCGACATATAAGAACACTTTGTATGCTTTTAATTATGTTGATTTATCGTTTATAATATGTTCGGACCTAATTAAAAGCATACAAAGTCATTCTTATTAACCAGGACAGATTAGTGGGGTTAACTCTAATCAATATCCATAAAAGATATTGGAAATAAATGTTGATGCTGTTATTGATAGGTTTTCCAAACAGCGTACTAGAAAACTCTTGATTTTGTTTTGTAGTTTTATTTATACTTTATAGTTTTTATAGTTTTTTTTTGATAGTTTAGAGTTTTTTATTTATAGTTTATAGAAAATTAACTAATAAACGTCGTTGTTTCATTTTTGTTTATGTTATTTACAAATCTATATTTTAATTTTTGTGTTATGTTTTTATATATTTTTGAAGACAAAAAAATCGCCGTCGTTTTAATTCGACAAAAAAATTTCGACGGTGATTTTTTTGCGACTTAATCATAGTACCACCCCCATAGCATACACCTATCTACGCCCCTGTGGTTAGCGTGGTTATTTGGAGGTTGTTAATTCATTGGTTAGTTGGTTATTTGGTGGGGTTGGTTGATTTTTACTAATCTATATTTGTTTTTTATATTTTTTATCAGTGTCGAGGTTAGTTGCGTTGGTTAAGTTGGTTATTTGGTGGGGTGGATAGCGTTGGTTAGTCCTTATAAAATTCCTATATTTCATAAAGCCGTAAAGTGCGTCACATCAACGACGTCATTCCTATTAACGGCATTTTAGTAAGCTACCGTTTAACGGCAGTTTAAGTACTGCCTTTTCTTATTTCTTTTTTGCAATTTTTTGGTTAAAGTTTCAGTTGGTCGCCCTTGAGATAAAACATCCCTCTTATCTTCATCTGTCCGCCGTCTTAAGGGAGTTTCCAATAAATTGCACACCAAGTCATTAATTGGGTTCATTTTTTAACACATACACACACACAAAACAGTTTTAAAACACAACAACAAAACAAACAGCAAAAATCGGCAAGTTAAATCACCAAAGCCATTAACAAACAACAATAAATAACAACAAAAACTTTACAGTCTTTACACGGTTAATTACTCGTCAAAGTAGCTGAATATTAGCATAAATGCATAAATTATGCGCCACGTTACCCATTACGCATTTCCTGAATAACTAAGTTGAAGGAAGACGAAAAGAACTGGCCGAAAAACTCATTCACATCGGTCGTCGATAAAAAATTTTGGTGCGGGGGACTTACATGCTGCCGCTAGGCTGACGTCACGTTGCCATGGAAACCGTGCAGCCGCTTTGCATACATAGGTGTTTTCACTTCACTTGTGGCTTATGGACGTGGTAACATAGGCGAGTGCAGGCCTATAATGCTACTTTTTCGGCCGGAATTAACGATGCGGTGGACCTGGACCTATTATGCACAGGTCCGCCCGGAATAAAAATAATTTATAAAAAATTACCATTTTATTATTTAGATACATGTAAATATATTAAACTAAATTAATATTTTAAGCAGTAAAGCTTTTTCTTTAATTTGAGTATTTTTTTCGGTGAAGTAAGCACTTCACCTACTGCACCTGAAGAGCCGCAACTGCATATTGATATAAAATGATTGTTACAATTTCTGAGATATGTAGGACATTTAATTCCTACAAAGTATACATACCTGATTAATTAGAAATGCTTGCTGACTATCCATTGTTTTCTCTTGTTTCTTTAAATACTGTACAACCTCTAACAATTCCTTTTCACTTGAAGCATTAACATAATCACAACATTCATAGCACCACACATTCCAAGTGGTTGTATTGACGCACACAGCGTGACTTTCAGAATAAGGAGTCTCGTAATGTTTTAAAGCATGCCTATTCTTGAACCTTCCGCAGGCTTGATTACCACACTTTAAGCACATCCAAAGATGAAAATCGAAATCCGATTCTGACAATATTGAGATTTCTGCCGGTGATTTGCTACAAATCTCGCAATCGGACAAGAGCCCCGTTTTCGTAACAGACTTTCGCACTTCCGTAAAATCCAGTGCTTTGTTAATGTGAACACATTTGGAATTGTTTTGGTTCTCGTCACCAGATTCCGACGAGTCGTCCACATTATTGGAGTCTAGATACATTGTCTTCTCTTGATTCTTTAAATACTCTACAACCTCTAACAATTTCTTTTTACTTGAAGCATTAACATAATCAAAACATTCATAGCACCACACATTCCAAGTGGTTGTATTGACGCACAGAGCGTGACTTTCAGAGTGAGGAGTCTCGTAATGTTTTAACGCATGCTTATTCTTGAACCTTCCGCAGGCTTGATTACCACACTTTAAGCACATCCAAAGATGAAAATCGAAATCCGATTCTGACAATACTGAGATTTCTGCCGGCGATTTGCTACACATCTCGCAATCGGACAAGAGCCCCGTTTTCGTAACGGACTTTCGCACTTTCGTAAAGTCGAGTGCTTTGTTAATGTGGACACATTCGGAATTGTTTTGGTTCTCGTCACCAGATTCCGACGAGTCGTCCACATTGTTGGGGTCTCTCTGATATTCTTTCTTGTTCATTTTTAGTTGACTTTTTTATGTTAATAATGCAGATTAACGGACCTTGTGTCACACGCGTTTCGGTTACCCTCAATACTAATAATACACTCACAGTAAATTACCTAAATTTGTTACTTTTAAGGAGATAATAAACAGTAAAATTCTACTAAATTATTTAACGTAATAAAAAGAACAAAAGGAGGAGTAAATGAAAAATGAAAATCACTTTCTCAATTTATCAACTACATATTGACCACAGATATTGACAGTGACCCTGACAATTAATGACAAATCTAGGTGACAAGTGACCAATGACCATAGACAAATGACATTAACGACAACTCGCTTGTAGTTAATTTCTTCTTCTCCTTCAATATTTTTTTTTTTAATTTTTGGCAACTGCCATCGATACCACAGATACCACTAATAATTTAAAAAATGAAGAAATTTATACTTTAGCCTCACATTTCCAGGTCCAAGTCAAGTTTTGATATTTTGAGCTGTTTTGGAGTGGTATTTTGCTTGATTTTGCTTTGAAAAAGTAATGTAAATGTATTTTTTTGTTCTTAAACAATTCCTAAACAAATATGGATCCAGAAACAGGTGCAGTTAAAACTGTAAGTACTCTATTCTTAAATGAAATTAAGGAGTAATTCATTTCTTATTTCAGTTTAAAGATTTTCTTGAACTGTACAATAAAATGACCGAAATGTGCTTTAAAAGGTGCGTCGACAATATGAACACAAGAAAATTAGATCAGGATGAAATTGCATGCGTGGACGATTGTTCGTTTAAAGTTTATATACTTTAACAACAAACTTATGCAGAACTTTATCCAAGCTCAAACGGAAAGCAAATTTACGAGTGAAGGAAGCAGAAGAACAGCAAAACTTGCTGAAGCTGAACAAAAACAGAACCAGCAGAAGGAAGTCTTAGATAAAGAAATGGCAGAGCCTGTAGGAAACCGAGAAATTACAGTTTCTAGTAGTTGATTGAAAAACAATTTTTGTCAGACATTGAATACCGATAAAATCATTTATTATTCATCCCTTTCATAAATGTTTTGTAGGAGAATTTGTCTTGTTTCTGTGTAACTGAACAGAAGTGAAGAGTTTGGGAAGATTTTTTGTACTGTAGAATAGTTTTTGTGGTGTATCTTGAGTAGAATATGAAATATAAATCTGTTATTGTTAGATGTATAGTTTGTTGAAATAAAAAAAATTAATTAGGAAATCAAAATATTATATGCAAGGTAACCTTATTTAAGACTTTCTCAAAATTCTAAAAACAAAAATGTTGCTCTTTTAATTACATAATAAATTGACAAGTGTATTCTCTAAAATTCAGCATACTAAAATATCATAGATGAATAAACAAACCCTGTATTTTGAATGTTAAACCAAAAAGTTTGATTAATCTTTAATGAATGTGATGAAGCTGAAAATAATCATTATAAAACAGAAAATTAATGTATAAACCTTGATTTTGAAAATAAAAATACTTTAGAAAAACATAAAATACAGGGTATTCTATTTGGAATAGAGGTGGGAATTCTAGTTCCTTGGGAGGAACTAGTTCCTTAGTTCTAGTTCCTCCAGAGGAATAGTTCCTTGAACTAGGTCTTTAGTTCACAATAGTTCCCGACTAACATTGACATCCCCCTTGCTTGCTAATGCGTTTCGTTGTCAGTCAGAACTATTCACAGTATGTATGATCTATATAATTTTTATAATGTTCGGAGATATAACGAGACGTGTAATTGTGTATGTTAAAAACATATAGGTAAGTTTTATTGCAGATAAAAAAAATAAAAAGACTCAAATCAGAATTTAAAAAACTATATCGCAAATCAGTTGGGGCAAACACCCTGTATACATTTTTAAAAAATCTTAAAATATGTAAAAAAACAAAATAAAATATACGTATTTAAGCGAGTTGTGGGTAACACAACCTTAAGCGTTGAGTGGTTTGAGCAGGATCGTGATTAAACAGTCACTTAAGGATTTTATATATTAGTATAGATTTACACAATCAGGTATAATTATTGAAATAAAATTGTGAAGTTATTTCGAAACCAGTTAAACTTAAGTAAATGCATTGTTGTATAGTATATAGAACAATATAACCTGTTAAAATAATCAAGTTTTTATCTAGTTCCGGTATATTCGGAAGTGACGACATTTTAAAAATATTTTAGACCAAACGACCCCAACGACAATACTTAAGCCCCAAATTGTCAGATTTCTCTTAAATCTACCTACCTTCCTCATTCCTGTACACAGATCTAGAAGAAACAATGAAAATATCAGCTTTATATGTAGAAACGTTTTATTTATAAATTTAAACTTTTTAAGTTAAATATTTAGTAAACAGTCTATTAAAAAATAAAGAATGAAACAAAGAAAATATAAAAAGTCATAAAAAAGGAATTTACTACAGGATACATCATACATATTTATATACAACATATTAACTCGAGTGTACTTCTTATAAACAAGGATTTCTAAACACGTGCCAATTAGAAAAAAGAATTAAAACAGTTATTTTTGTTTAAACATTGTTCTATTTTATTACATGTTGCATATTTATATCTTCTTGTATATTCAATAATAGTATAGAAATATTAACAGGGAACATAGAAAAATAGAGATGTTGAATAAAAACTGCATAATTATTATATTAATTTATACAGGGTGTTCCAAAAAACATATGTTCCATTCTGTTCTGTTTCGTAGCTACAGGGGTTTAAAGTCTATATTTTTAGTATTAAAATATGTCGCACTTATAGTAACTTTTACTATAAAAGAACGTGGAAGAAAATTATAATTGTTGTTGATATATAAAAAAAATCATATGTTTACTTCCGGAATCTCCCCACAAGAGATGACACGTTTTTTGAAACACCTTGTATGAAAGACTAAATTAGCATTTTCAATTTCTACTAAAATAAATATCCTGAAACCTTAAACTTACTATACAGTGTTTATAAAAAAAACAGCGATAGACATAGAACAGATCTAGATAAAGTGTTATTTCTAAACCTATTATGACGTCTTTTTATTCCATGACATGTCAGATTGAAATAAGGGCTAAATTTTACAATTCGATCCTAACAAATTTTTAAAATTAATAATAAATACAATAACCTCTCAAATTGACTCATATATTTGACTCATTTTTAACAATCAAGCTACTTTAAGACCTCTCTTTTAAGTAAACCATCACAAAATTTTTATTAAAAACTATGAACAATTATTCTACACCCAATAATTACTACAGTAAAAAAATTAAATAAGTTTTAAAACAGGGAAACGCCAAAAAATAGTGCCTTTTAAAACGAAATCCTTGTTTACAAAGACAAATGAAAACGTTTACATTATATGGTCTACCTACATATAAATTAAACTATATTTTTTACAAGGTTCCTAGCCTTGAGGTGTGTGTCGGAACTTATATCCTGCTAATAATGACGAGAATGACCTGAGAACAAAAAATAGGATTAAATTCAATATTTATTAAAAAAACTAGATCATATACCATCCTGGACACTTCATCTGCGTGGTCTGTATTTTAATAATGCACGCAAGAGAGATAAATACAAATGACCGGTTGAAAGCTGTTTACTGTTTTATTTGAGATTGCTGACTTTCTATTAATATTAGCTTCGTTCCAACACACAAGTTTATACCGTTCTACACGGTGTTTGGATAGCAGGAATCGGAGGCGCCGTCTTGGACAGCTCTGTTACGATACCAAAATTAGATGCGGGTTGGAGGGATTTGTGAATCGACTTGGAGAAGCAAATTCATAACCTAATTTTGAATTATTAATATAGGTTGAAAATATCTTCTATGTAGATTACGAATTTTGCATTTTATTGGACGTAAATTACGAAATTACCGTTGCTTCATTTCGCAAAAGTTCTAAATTATCTTCAGTGATATACACAGAATAGGTAGATATGTGATAAGAATGTTTCAGAATTTGTATTTATTCGTGTTTTAATAGCCAAAACGAATACATAGATTTTCGCGACAGCTCTCGTGTAAAATTTATTTTTTAAGTAAAATAATGGATGTTTACGAAGTTCGTGAGAAAATTCAAATTGTAAAATGGTATTTCCAAAATAGGTCTTATCGGGATATACAAACAATTTTTCCACAAACTTTTGTAAACAGGCCAATTCCATCTTTACCTACTATATCAAGTTATTAATAATTGAAACACATGGGTGCGTGTCCCCACAAAAACACAAAAAGCCTGATGTGTTGATTAATGAAGAGCAGGAGTTAAAGCAAGTGTTCATTTGTGCTACCGCGGATCAAAATCCCACGTTTTCAAGTAATCAAATTACTGAGGTAACAGATTCTTCACCTAGCACGGTTAAAAGAGTCTTTAAAAAGAATGGATACCGATCGTATAAAGCGCGCAAAACTCAAGAAATTTTCCATGAAGACCAATTTCGGCGTATGGCGTTTTGTGAATCTGTAATGGAAAAGGCCAATTTAGATGAAAACTTTATTCGGCGTATAGTTTTCATCGACGAATCAAGTTTTTCTTTATTGAGTCGTCATAACCCTATACAAGATATTGGTCTCGGGAAAATTTGCACATATATTTTGAGGTACGCACGTAATATCCTCAAAAGCTAAATGTTTGCGGTGGTTTTGTAGAGGAGTATATGATTGGTCTATTTTTTATAGAGGGTAATTTTACTGTTGCAAAGTATTTGGATTTGTTACAGCAGCAGATTGTCCCTAGAATTCGTGAGTTATTGGGAGAAAGATTCCACAATGTCTGGTTTCAACAAGATGGTTGCCCTGCCCACAATGCCCTATCGTTCAAAAATATCTGAACAATACTTTCCCAAACGTTTAATTAGTGGACATGGAACTATTTTGTGGCCCGCTAGATCACTAGATCTTTCTCCCAATGATTTCTTTTCGTGGGGTTATGTAAAATTCAAAGTGTATGGTCATAATAGGGCTAATAATCTGGATGAACTTCAAGTATACATGAGGCTTTCCAAACTATGAGCCCTAATATGTTAGCCAATGTCAGATGGAGATTTTCGACCTCCTAGGCTTCTGTCTAGCACAAGAAGGTGGTCTTTTTGAACACTTGTTATCACTTTTTTTTATTTAGAGTAATATTTTAGTTATTTTTATTAATGTATTTTTTAATTTTATAAATGAGTTTTGGGCTTAGAGAATTTATTCATTTTTAGTTTTGGCTTGTAAACACACTCAAATAATAAATATTTAAGTATTTTTATTTTAAATGTTACCTTAAGTGGAGGTAAACACTTAAAATGAAAATAATAAATACTCGGTACTCCTGGCGTCGTATTCCTAGTCTGTCACGACCGACCCGTCCAAGCACAACTGCAACTGCGTACTGCCTGACCAGCTGACTAACAGTGAATCTCGAGTACGAACGCAAATCGGGTAAACGCAAATTCGTCCGGCAACTTGCTATGTTACTAGTAGCCTGGTCAAACGATAAATACAAAATAAAACTTTTTTAAGCAAATTAAATACAACGCAAAAGTTAGCGTTCGCTAAACGATTCTCTCGTGGATGGAAAGTATTTTCTTCTTACTGCGAAGAAGCGTTACCGTACCGAGAACGGTTCTCTGTTGTGTTGGAACGAACCTAATATAATATAGTTTGTAGAATCACTGCTCAACGTTATGTCTTTATTATTTATTTATATAATATCAGTTTTAGGGTATGTCTGAGATCAGTTCATATTGTTTCGAAAGTTTCAAGTATGTTCGGAAATTAGTAATTGAGCCGCGTTCCGACTTTATTCATTTCAAGCTACTAAGTTTCACCTATATTTAAATCTGTTCTTTTTCAATTTATAATTTTAGGCTCACATATCAGTTTTATATAAAAATCTGTGTTGTTTCTCTATCCATGTATTCATGCATGGTGGTCAGAGGTGGGGACCTAGGGTGGGGATCATTGACAGTTCTGTTTGACGATTCATTTCACACATTTGAATTTGATTTGAATTTTTGTGGATTTTATTGAGCTTATTTTATGTTATTTATTATTTACTCTACAACTGGTAGTTGTTTAGAGGTAGTAAATCTAGAAGTAAATTTTGCGTAAGAACTTAAATTAAGAGAGGGATAATATTGCGATTTATCGAAAAAGACTGTAAAATAGTTGGTTCTCTAGCGTGCGGTAGATCTCGGGCAAAAATCGAAGGAAATATAGAATGACTTTTCACTAGTAAGTGACTAATACCGTATGATCGAAAAAAAAACGGCGTCCAGTTGGCTGGGAAATGACAATCGATGACATTTCCCATATAAATTTACATATAAAATGACAGCGATCTTCATTTCATAGCCATCGCTGACGCTGTTTTTTCTCGATTATACGGTATATATAATATACATATGTGCAGTAAACCGATCATTTATGAAATTCACTTAAAATTAACTTATTATATATTTTTTCTTGCATTTTATTTAAAAGATAATTTAGATACGTCAATTTGACTTGCTTCAATAGCGTATCGGATATTTGTCTTATTAAATAATAATTATTTAATAATTTATTAATAATAATTATTATTATAATCTATTTTATTACAATTATATATTTTTATAACAATTTTAATAACAAACAACATTTACTGACAACGTAAAATAAAACAACAAATTATTATTGAGTCTACCCTACATTATATTTTTACACGTTTTGAATAACATTAGAACGGCACTGAAAAACCGAAATTTCGACGATTTTAGATATCCGTCGGGTTCGAACTAAGTTTTTTTAACATACTCCTTACTTAATCTTTATATTCAAAGATGTATGTAATATCAGTTTTAGGGTATGTCTGATATCAGTTCATATTGTTTAGAAAGTTTCAAGTACGTTCCGAAATTAGTAATTGAGCGCGTTCCGACTTTATTAATTTCAAGCAGGTATCTTTCGCCTATATTTAAATCGGTCCTCTTTCAATTTATAATTTTAAGCTCACATACAAGTTTTATAATAATAATAAACCTTACGGCAATATAATGACGCAAATTTAAACAACGGTTATAGAGACTTTATCTCAATCCGGTGTTTAACCATAGTAATTTTTTGTTATTTTTAATATAAAATTCAATTGAAGTGATTAAAAAGTACTCCCTCAATACAAAAAGAAATGCAACGAAGTTACAATTAAGGGATAAATAATAAATCAAATCCAATACAAATTTCACTGGTTTGAAATGACGCGTAGAAAATTGTGACGTCACCTCTCAGCATTTGACTGAATAGTTGACAGAGGGCGCGAGCCTCTGATGAATAATATTATGGCGTGTCTAGTTCTCTGCTATCGTATTTACACCATATATCTTAAAATCACCTTAGATTTTTCTATTTTTATTAAGATCGTTAACAAATACGTTTTTATGTAGGATTATTCTTTATTACCCCAATATTAAATTTACTTTTATATTTTTTACTACTAGAAATTAAAATTTAAATTTTTATAATTAACAGGTTACTACCATTTTTATCGAAGCACTAAACACTACCAAAGTTGTTCGGATGTTCGAGGTTAGATTTGTATTTTGTGATTTGTACTTTGAGTTTTCAATTTTCTTTTATTGTACCCTCTTTATTATTTTTGTAATGAAGGGTATTAAAGTTTGTTTTGTGAAGGGCTGTCTAAATAACTCTGAAGGCTCTCCAGAAAAAGTTTTTATAACTGTTCCTTTGGATGAATCCCGTCGAAAAGCCTGGTTTGAAGCGGCAAGATAACAATATGTCAGCAAAAGTACGAGATTTTGCTGTGAAGATCATTTTAACGTAAGTAAGTTTTATTTTACAATTAATTTTATATCTACTTTAAAATACATTTAAAAAAATGGTTTTTATTTATCTTTGTTACTTATTACAGTTGAGGGTTGGATCTTTGTACCTGGTGGCAAACCGTGACACTTTTGACAGGTGACGTCAGAGATTGCAAAAGTGTAAATTTGAAATTCTTAATATTGATTAATTTTTTAAAAAAAAATGGGATGAAATTGAAGTAAAATTAAAAAATACGGGTGTCATAAAATTGTATGAAGATTAATTATTTGCAATAAAAAAAACTATGGTTAAACTCCGGATTTTACCTTATTGTGTAGCAGCAAGACTTACCGTACGGACCCAAACTGTGATGATGATGGTTAGTATTGACGATGGACGTCGGGGGCAGCGCGCCGGGGTGGTAATGCGTCGGTGGCGGGTGGTGAGGCGACGGAGGGGGATGATGGGGAGATGGAGGGGGATGATGGGGCGAGGGAGGGGGATGGTGAGCCGTGAGAGGGGGATGGTGAGGCGACGGCACCGAAGTGACGGTCGGAATTCGAGATGGGAGGGCCTGAGAGACGGATCCTACGACCGGAGACGGGAGCACTTGAGGCGGAAGGGGTGGGGCCATGATCAAGGGAAGGGAAGGTCGGTACATGTTGGATTGGAACTGCTGTGGCTGCGGTAGCTGAAATATAAACGTATTGTTAGCGTTATATTTAAATAATTTGATAAAATTCTGATTTTGCTCATTTGGGTGGCAATAGATTATGAAATTCGAATACTTATCAGCTATTATTAGCGTCAATATAAAAAATATGATTATTTCTTAATGATATATTATTACTTTTAATCTGAAGATTTTCTAACTTAGAGATGTTTCATCATTATCTCAAAATAAATAAAAAATATAAATTAGGTTTTGTGCCCGTTTTGTTAGTAAAACGCATATTAATTATCAATATAGGTACATATCGTAAATAGTCTTATTCCAAAAATATATTAAAAAGGTATCCAATATACAATATAAAACTTCTAAATATTCTAGTTATTTTTATAAATTTAAAAGGTAAACTTTATATGAGCTTATTCATGCTGTGCCATCTTCGTTTGTTACTTCCTAGTAACAAAAAAAGTTAAAAAAAAAGAAGAAAATTAAGTGTTAACCCAGACCATAGTTTACAGTTAATATTCGGTGCCCAGAGATACAGTTTTTTGAAAAAAAACTGGATTATCTGTAAAATAACATCACACGATAGGTAAATAATAAATTTTAGTACTGCAGAGAGGTCAAAAAGTACTGTTAAAAAAATTAAGATTAAAGTTAATTAACCAACTTTTAAGGTATAAAATTCAGTAAGTGTTATTATTAATAAAATATTTTGTTTTATTTATGTTGTGTTTTATTTATTCCTTTACAATATTAATTTTTTTTATTTGTAGATACGTTATATTGATAAATGTAATAATAAATGCAGGAAGTTGCATAAGCTTGAAAGTAAGAAATAGTTCTTTTTTATATATATTTTTTTGGTATGTGGTGTTTTGTTTAAAATACACCCTTGTTTGTTTTGTATTAAGACATACCGTTGTATTTTTTTTTAATAAAATAACTCGATACTCAATTAGATTTTTTCAGTTTTACTTTGGTTTTATGCAGTTTTTTTTTCACCATATTTTGAAGTAACCACTTGTCACTCAAATTTTAAATATATTAATTCCCTGCTATGTGTTCCAATTGTACCAACTTATTTCTTTGTAAAATAAAATAAACTACTCTGAAATTAAAATGATAGACACATCTATCACTGTCAAGGATTTTGTCATTGGACAGACTATATTTTGAAATTGTCCCACTATACGTTTTTCATATTTAATTAATAATTAAATTGGGCTTATAAATGCGATTCTGTACTGATTAAAATGTTACTTCGCCGATTTCGTTCGATTTTTAACCTTGTTCTGAACGTCAGGACGAAAAAACATTTTTAAGAAGAAATAGAAAAGCCATAAACATTTTAGTCAATGAATTAACATAATTTGCTAAAACCCTCTAACAATGTCTTGCGAATAATATCATCATTGTGGATCGTTTCGTGTAACTATAATATTAAATACAATCTTTTTCACTAAAGGTCTTTATAAAACTTTAATATATTTGTGTAGTTTTTTGTCAAAATAATGTATTTTTACAAAATTGTTTTAGCGATATTTATGATGATGATATTATTAAACGATACTATTTTTACAATTTGTTGTTTTTAAAAATAAAATATAAACCGTAAATACAATTTTGTAGTAAAATACCATGTTTTATCTTTTCAATTTCATTAAACACAATGCTATAATTGATAAAATCGCAAGTAAAACTTTATGTCTAGATGAGGCTAAGACGGAAGACCGTCTACAGAACTGCCGTTAACTGTAAACGGGGCTTTAACGTACTCTAAAATAATTCTATTCAACTTTTTTTGTAATTCTCCAAAAAAATTAATGATGAGCTTTCCTCTATCCTTAACTTTCTTAATAATAGTCTTACCTGAGTTGGAGGTGGGCCGCTCTGTAAGATTGTGGCTAAATACGGCGCAGGTACGTTGTTGATTGCATTGACCTTGATACGAGGGGGGAAAACATGGGGAGGGGGCGAACCAGGAGGAGGCGAGGGTGGGGGTAAATTGTCTTCAGAGTCGCTGTCTTCGGGAGGCGGAACAGGTTTTTTGATCACTTTAACCTAAGAGAGATTAAAAGAAATGTTTAAACAAAAATACATTATGTTTTTTTTTTGAGGTTATACACTCATCGGCAAAAGTCTTGCACCCCTCAGATAAATTTATTTCTTTGCATAGCATATTATTGTGGCTATGTGTACAAATTCATTAATATATATCTACAAAAAATAGGTCAAAAAAGCAATGAAATAAAACCTTGTCGATGGAATGTGTATGGTTTTGCTATTTGCGGTCAAATTTTGTTTCTCAGTTCGAGTTCAATCTTGTAGTAAGTGTTGTGGAAGGCGACAAAAATGTCAGGGCACGAAATTTCTGCCTTCGATAGGGCCCGAATTATCGCTTTGCATGAAGAAGGTCTCAGCAGGCATCAAATTGCTGATCGTTTAAATTTAGTGCGAAGTACTGTAAGCCGAATTATACAACGGTATATGGACACCAGAAATGTAAGATCTCGTCCTAGGTTGGGCCGTACAAGGGCAACAACTGAACGACAGCATCACTACTTAGAAATCGGTCAGTTCCAATTCGAGAGCTACGATCTCAGTTTCAACGAACTTACCACCGAGTGATATCAAGCCGAACCATTTCCAGGCGACTTTCTAATGCTGGATTGTGGCGTAGACGTCCACTGCGAGTCCCTCTATTAACTTTACACCACAGGCAAAGGAGGCTACAGTGGGCTAGAGAACTCCAGAACTGGTTATTACCTCAGTGGAGAACGTAATTTTCATTGTCGAAACTAGGATAGGTTTGATCAGTGATGACTATCGTCAGCGATTGTAGAGGGAGGCAGGATCGCTTGAATACAGCCCTTGCTGTTGCTCCTTATCAAGGAGGAACAGATGTTCCGGGGTGGCATCATGTACAATAGGCGAACAGAGCTCATTCATATTCCTGAGGTGATGAACGCCCATCTGTATGTTGAAACTGTAATCAGACCAATAATTTATCAAATGCGCGAAGAAATCAGCAATAATTTTATTCTCATGGATGAAAACGCTCTTCCTCACCGAGCTAGGATGGTCCAGGAAGCATTAAATGAAGGGGGAATAACTCGTCTGGACTGGCCTCCACTTTCCCCCGACATGAATCGTATTAAACATGTCTGAGACTACATCACCAGAGCTGTATTTCGCAGTAATAACCCACCAAGAAATCGCCAGGAGTTGATCATTGCCGCTCAAGAAGAATGGCAGAACTTACCTCAAGAAATCATAAACAACCTTATAGTGGGGATGCCCAGACGACTTGATGCACTCATAACAAATCGAGGAGGCAATACTTTATATTAGTAAACTTAATTTTGTCAGAATTTATTATTTATTTACTTATTTTCTCTTTTTTGTCAAATATTTTTCTTTATGGAATTAGCATTTTTTTGTATTTTGGCAAAATATATTATTAAACTTAGTGAAAGTTTTCTCTTTTTTTTTATTTTTTAACACAACTTTAGCATCTATTGATTTCCACGAAAAATTAGTTTGAAATTTAATTTTTTATTAAAATAGTAAGAGGGTGAAAGACTTTTGCCGATGAGTTTATTTTTTTCCTATGTTTTTTTAGGTTAAAATAAATGTAAATAAAGTTTATACTTCACAAGTTTAAACTGTTTTATGCCTTATAACTTATTAAACTCTTTACCATATACATATACTTCAATATCAATTAAACTTTTAGTTACATAATCGAGGGCGTGATTTATAAATTCATTGTTGCCAACCATGGACATATTCGGTGCCGGGATAACTAACTGGAATTTAAATTTCCCGCTGGGGATTCAGGTGGTAGCTCTGCTGTAAAAAATGTCAAGTTACCACATTTATTTATTTATTTTCCTGACACTTTAGTTTTGTATTAACGAGTTTTTGGTTTAAATAAATAGTGTTGTGATACTTTAAGCTTAAATTTTTTTACTAACAGTCATAAAAAACTCATCGCAACTTTATTAGAATAGTTTGAACGGGAAAGCGGTAGTAATGGCCCTTTATGTCCCTTAAGTGCTGTTAAGGAGCTGAGTTTTGTTGATGTAAATAATAAGTAAACTTAGTAAAAACAAATAAATATAAAACAACGAATGACAAAAAAATTCTAATAATTAACTTAAAATTAAAATAAAAAAAACAAAAAATAATACTACCAACCTTTACCTTCTTCTTGGCAGTCTTTTTGTTGAATTTAGTCTTCTTGTATCTCTTTTCTTTTGGCAGTTTCTTTTTAGGTGGCGGCGGAGATGACAGTTCTTCGCCGGCGGAAGGAGACGTACCTTCACCCGGTCTGATACCGTCAGCGAATTGAACGGTTTTAAGTTTTCTTTCGCCGGTATTTTTTTCTTCGTGTTTCCTGAAGAATAAAAAATAGCATATATTCATTTATACAGAGTCGTGAATGTTTTGTCGTCGAGAGTTCATGAACAGTGCTTTCCATAAAATCAATAAAATGAAAAATATATACGAAATAATATACATGTACTGATTTCTTTCGAAAATCGACAATTATGAAACTATGATCCCTTCCCGGACACAAACGGTACATTGTGAGACAGGAAATTGTAGAGAGAAACAAGCCCTATAACATAGGAGACAACATTTTAATGAACAGTGCTTTCCATAAAATCAATAAAATGAGAAATATACGAAATAATATACATGTACTGATTTCTTTCGAAAATATGAAACTATGAACCCTTCCCGGACACAAACGGTACATTGTGAGACAGGAAATTGTAGAGAGAGACACAAGGCCTATAACATAGGATACAACATTTTAATGAACAGTGTTTTCCATAAAATCAATAAAATGAAAAATTTACGAAATAATATACATGTACTGTGATTTCTTTCGAAAATATGAAACTATGAACCCTTCCCGGACACAAACGGTACATTGTAAGACAGGAAATTGTAGAGAGAGACAGAAGGCCTATAACATAGGATACAACATTTTAATGAACAGTGCTTTCCATAAAATCAATAAAATGAAAAATTTACGAAATAATATACATGTACTGATTTCTTTCGAAAATCGACAACTATGAAACTATGATCCCGTCCCCGACACAAACGGTACATTGTGAGACAGGAAATTTTAGAGAGAAACAAGCCCTATAATATAGGATACAACATTTTAATGAACAGTGCTTTCCATAAAATCAATAAAATGAAAAATATACGAAATAACATACATGTACTGATTTCTTTCGAAAATCGACAACTATGAACCCTTCCCAGACACAAACGGTACATTGTGAGACAGGAAATTTTAGAGAGAAACAAGCCCTATAACATAGGATACAACATTTTAATGAACAGTGCTGTCCATAAAATCAATAAAATAGACAACACAGTTTTTTTTTATTGTATAAAAATCAAAAAATTAAGTATACCACCATAGTTGCGCGACTTTTGCGACATTTGAAAAGTTATTTAGAAAAATTTTGGTTTGACATTCAATTTAGGTTTCACGTTTTTTATGTGAAACCACATGTTCCAAATGTATAATTTCATTTTTTTTGTCAATTTTTTGGATATTTTGACTATTAGAACCTCGAATATTATAGAGATACAAAAAAGTTCAAATTATGGCATAAAATTCGAATACTTATGAAATATTGTTAAATCGATTTTTGTCCTGCGTTTATTTGAAAATGTATGTTAAAATATTTTTCATTAGTGTCACTTTTTTCTCTTTATAATGTTGCGGACCCGTGTGGACTCGGCATAACCTAACTAATATGTCCCGCCCCCATATGAACTTAATATCGCATTAAAGAATAATCGAGTCCTACTGGAATGGAGAAGTACATACGAGAACATTCTAAACCTTCTCTATGCACCTAATGATCTAACGTCTAACGGATTATTCGAGAACTGTTTAGCTGTGGGTATATAAGTCGACGGCGACGCTTGAGGCCTGAGGACAGAAACAAATAGACGAGTACAGTTGCCGCGCTAAATTCAAAATAAATTCTTTCTAGTTAAATAGTTATAAATAATTTGTAAATAGTTCTTTAAGTCTTTTATCTTTATTGTTTTTGTTACTCAGTGTAGAATAAATTGTGTTTAAATAAATTGTGACTTTTTATCCACATACGAAACCGACGAAAAACGTAACAATAAGATAATGCTGTTAAATGCCAAATCCAACGTTTTGCTTAAGAGATACCATTATTTGTTTTAAATACAGATCTGGGTTTTTATTTCATTTTTTAAAACCTTATGACCTAACTTTACATTAAGATTATTATAGTAAGATACAGTTACAACTATTAATTAGTAACTATTCGTTACTAACTAATAGTTACAATAATCTTATTGTAATTCAAGTACTGGCACAATGTTTTTCCAGATTTGTATACTTCGCATAAAACCAATTCAAACCAAAAAATAGAATACAATAAAAATACAAACCTATAAAAAAAATCAAATAAAGGGGTTTTAAAATGGATGACATAATATAGCGTCTATCTTTATTGTATGAACATAAAAATAAAAGGTATATCTGACTCATTCTTTAGTCTTTTTGTTTAAAGGTTGAATTAGCTATTAAATTTTAAGGCTAGATAAAACAATAATAAATATAAAATGACATACCTAGATCGACTTTTCAGTAAAATACTCTTTCCAGCTTCTTTCAGAACGGTATGTCCCACTAATAATGGAGGCCACTGGATTGGTTTCTCTCCCAAAATGTCGGTGTCACCGTCGGCTTCTTCTTGTTCCAGCTCCAGCGCTTTCTGATATAAAATTAATGCAACAATGTAAACAATAATATCCAATTTATTTTTTTATTTAATTAAAATTTATTATCATTAATTAAAATGACAGAAAACTGCAACTGTCATATATTCTCTCATTTAACCGATTAAAAATATTAAACAAACTTCACTGCTATACCCCAAAACACTTCCAGTAGATACGCTGGACACATTGGACAGCAGATGATTTAAACAATTCAAAGAAAAGATTTCGATATACTATCAACTACAAGACTTTATACCTCTCTTGTAAGACCGCATCTTGAATATGAGTCAAACATCTGGTCTCCCAATTGTTACACTCACAGTAACAAGATTGAGAAGGTTCAAAAACGGTTCCTTCATTATATTTACATTAACAGAAACAACATGTATCCAGCAATGATCTCTTACAGATCAATGTTGATGCCTCTAGGAGAAGGACACAGGCTGTCATCTTTATATATATCATTCTTAATGATTTGAAATATGCTAACTATGGTCTGATTAATAGCATCAAATTTAGGGTACCAAAGATTAGGTTGAGAGTAAGTTAGTTTAATATTTTTTACATTGATGGTGGAAGCCCCTAGCCATTCACGTTTATGCTCACCATTTGTAACGATATGTTGTCTGGGAACACAATTCCCGATATGTTTAACATTAAGTTTGGCAAACTTAGGCGCATCTTATTGTTGCATGTTGCATCAGGAGACAAATCTGTTTTTTTTATTGCACATTTTATAAATTAAATGTTATGTTTGTAGTACATGTTAATTTTTCTAGTTTTAAGTAATTGTAATTGTATTTGTTTTCTTTAGGCCTTTGCATGTAGCTACCTCAATAGGTTTTTTTAGGAGCAAATAAATAAATAAAATAAAATAAAATAAACCATGTTAGTTGGCGATATCGATAAACGTACCTTAATCATATTTTCAGTTCTGATTTTCATCTTGTCCATCTTAATTTTTTCCTTCTCTTTTCGTCGTTTGTCTTTCTCCATTCTTCTATTTTCTTTTTCTTGGCGTCGTTTTTCTCGTTCTGCCCTTCTTTCAGCCACTTTTTGTAACATGGCTGATTCAGCGGATGGCTTATCCGCTGAGGTGCTTGGCCGTTGCATATCCACGATAATCTGACTGGGTTCCAATTTAACCTAACGGAAAATAATCATTCTTTGATCCCGAGTGATACGTAATGTATCGTTATCGACAAATATTTGTCTTTCAATTTATGTATGTTTCTTTAGAATTTAATTACTTATATGCAACAACATTTTTTAGTTAGAGAAATTTAAAATATTTACCTCGGTGTGTTGCACCGGCGGAGGTGGTGGAACTGTTTTTATTGGAACTAGTTCCCTGGGAACTATTTGCAACACGTTACCCACTTGCACTACTTGCGGCTTGATGTCAATATTTGCAGGAGTATTTTTTTGCTGCAAAACAATATTAATATAAAAGAATTAAATATTGTAAGTAAAATATAGAAACGATTGGCTTTAGTGTATTTTTAACAATATTTTGTTCCATTCTCATGGGGAGATTCCTCACGTAAAAATAAGATTTATTTTTCATATCAACATAGGACTGATTTCGCTTTGTTTCGGAGCTACAGGGTGTTAAAGTTTTAATGATTTTTCTATTTATTATAATTTTCTTCCAAGTACTTTAACCGATTCAAATGAAATTTTGAGGGTTAAAGTTACTATAAATGCTCTTATAAATGCTACATATTTTAATGCTAAAAAAGTGTCGATAAATTCATCAGGAACGTGCATATGGGTTATCACAGGAATATTACTGACGTTTTTCTTTTGTTATCAAAATTGTGTAGGCCGTAGGCCCATTAAAAGTTATCTCTTGATATTTTGGTGAATTCGGCCTCCTTGATGAGATAAACGCCATTTTATTAATAACAATAATTATTAATAAAATTAAAATAAAAATTAAATTAATAAATTATATATTTTACCATGACCAACATGACAGACAGGCCAGAGACATCGATTTGTGACGTCACCGCACTAGTCCGGCTTTTGTATTGTGCCATATGGTACTGCATATAGGTTTTGCATAAATAATAGTATTTATTGATAGTTTTGCCAGATATAAATATGAAAAATATTATACAGAAAGGTATTAAAAAATAACATTAACTTTTTATCGCGTTCAAGTAATTGAATAGCATTAAAATTTAGATCTAAAGCACAAATATTAATATGAAATAAACTATAGCATAAGATGAACAAAATAAAATCTAGATAATAAAAAGCGTGTCCTAAAATTGCGTTAGCGAGTATTTAGCAACTAGTAATAATATACCTGTGATAAAAAGTTTCCAAATATTAAAAATTTTTAAAACTATACGTTTGTCGACAAGTTAAGAAAATGTATTGTATAAAATGTCTATACCTATGTGGCGGATTCATCTATCCAAAAAAATCCTTATGGATTGTATATGATAACGGCAGAATACATTTTAAAGTTTAATTAAAAATAATTGTAAAAATTTGCCTAACATATTTAAAAAATGTGGATATCAGATAGAATTAACTATTAACATTAAGTAATTTGTAGTTCGATGTTCATCAAGTATCTCCATAAATCGTAAATAAAAAAATAAAGATATCATTTTTTTTATATAAAATACTGAAATAAAGTACAAATTCATTTAATTTCTTTAAAATATATTGCCATTTCATAATACTTTTATAATATTTATTTCATCCTGAATTTCCAAATCTTGTTTTCTTTCATCGGGACGTTTTCTCTTTATGGGAACATGCACAGAGGGTCCATAAGAGGGTTGATTTGGAAAAATTGTAGGCACAGCATGTTCTGTAGGTTTTGGGCGTCACCTAGTTACAGTTAATATTGTTGGGAAAGAGAATGTAGACAGATCCTGAGGACTTATTATAATTGCTGCTACAAGGCACAGGCACAGAACAATGTCGCGGAATTTTTTATTTCACAAAGTAAAAATAAAGAAACGAAAACTGTTTTACATAAAACTACACGTCACTTACGTTGGTTTAACACTATACACTAACACTAACGCTATTAATTATGTTTTTATATAAATTCCCCAACTTTTTCCTAGTCCGGACACACAGCCGGCATCGCCGGTGTTACTATAATTTTTACCGAAAGTATATTTTTTTTCGCGGGTACGATGTTATGAATCGGATCTAGATAGTTCACTATTCACTCAAAATTATTTAGTATAATTTTATTAGCATAGAAACGCGTAAAAAACACAGATTTGATGCGAAACTATTGAAAACAATTGGTTCGTTTACGACTACTAATTCTGGTCCACTTCGGTAGAACTGTCAAAACAGTCAGGCCTTGAATATGACGTTAGCCACGATTTTACTTAATTTATTATTAAATATATTATTACTATTACTTATTATTACTATTAATCCAACCTACAGCAATTTCAAATAAAAAAATAATGGTATTTAAGATAATTACAAAAAACCTAATTTTAAAAAGTTTTAACATCCTGTAGCTCTAAAACTATGCATTTACATACCTATGTTTTTTTCATATTTTGTGATGAGGAATCAGTGAGTACTTATTTAAAACTTTCGCAAGTTAATGATATTAATTTTTTAAGGCTGCTATTAGACTTGGATGAAGGCAAGTTAATGAGACACTAAAAGTTACTTGGAAGAAAATTATAATAAATCGAAAGTTCATTAAGACTTTGACACCCTGTAGCTACGAAACAAAGCGGAATCAGACCTAGGTTGATATAAAAATAAATCTTATTTTTACGTGAGGAATCTCCCTGCGAGAGATGGCACATGTTTTTTGAAACACCCTGTATAAAGTGAAAATAAAATTCTAAGAATATAATAACAATACGTTTAGTTTAGTAAGTTTATATAGGAGGCTCACTAGATCTGAATATTCTAAAATAAGGCCCTCTTTTATAGTTACAGTTTTGGGACTCTCTGTTTCTCCGCAATTTTACAACTAACTTAACTTTTAATACTTTTTTTATACACGTTTAAACCATTTTATATCGAGGAGTATTACCCATCTACAAACATTCGTATTCATATAAAAAAAAACATATACATCAGTATGTAATAATCTCGACTACTATCAGGACGTCATCATTTTTTATGAGGCCTTTATTTTCAGCTAGGCGAAGGTTTACGTCATCAGTAGCATATCAACTTGTAAGTTTCAGGATTAAGTCCACTATGTTTAAACGTTTAATAAATATTTTCTTTGTTTTATTATGACATTTCTATTTCTTAATGTTTAGCAATCACCCCTCGAAGAAAAATCATGGGCGCGCTACTTATTATATTTACTACAAAGAAAGTACTTACCTCATACATAGGCGGTACAGGAGGCATAGTAGGCATACACTGGATATTTACATTCTGAGAATAATCCGGCACAGGTATATTAGTAAGATCCTCGCTTGGCACTATCTGCAACACATTGCCCACCTGCTTGAAACAAGACTGACCCATATTTCTACTAGCTTGCTGACCCATCATCACCGGAGCAACTTGATCCTTAACGCCGTAAGGATCGTTGTTAAGCTGATAATTACCATATTGTTGCTGTTGCTGATGATGTTGATTATGCTGAACATTACCATAATCGTATCCCGTAGAAGTAATAGTAGTAATAGGTTTGGGCGACGATTCGTTGACATTGTTATACCCCAGAACCTGATTGATCCTGTCATCTAAAGAAATCCTTTTCGGGGAATCATAATCCCTGTCCATAAGTTTATTCTGCAGGTGGGCGGACATGTTGTAATCCTCGCTGGTGGTGCTTTGAGGTAGCTGGTCGTCGCTGATGGTCGAATCGGCAACGCTGCGCTTCAAGTCGCCGAATGATGAAGAGACTTCGTGAACGGGGGAGGTTTTAGACCTTCTAGGACTACGTCTTCTTTGAGGCGTGTCCTCGTGACGCGGTGGGGTTCTTTCTCTTCTGTTAGATTTAGGGGTGCTGCTTCTCTTGGCGTTACCGTGTCTTCTCGGAGATGATCGCCTGTCTCTCGGAGAAATGCTTCTCCTATGCCTAGAAAAGGAGGGTTGATATACTACCGTGTGATCGAAAAAAACGGCGTCAAAGACGGCTGGACAATCCATAATAATTTTGTCGAGGTCAAACTCTAGACTTCATTTAATAAAAATTGACGTAAAACTTGTCAAAAATTAACACTAATTATAGAAAGATTAAAAAAGAATAGAATGTTTCCAGACACACAAATCTATTCCTAAAAAAATATTTTTTCTCGAATTTTAATCTACACCATTTTAAAATAATGTTTACGGCCGTATAGTCCTGGCATCTTAGGCCGTAAAACCAATCAAGAATAAAAAAGAAGACAAGAAGACAAAACAAAGAAGAAGAAATTATTTTTTCTCAGTATAAAAATTACAACCTTCTGAAGGCCAACTGGCAGTAAGCGCCATACAAAATAATGAAGCGTGCAGGCTAAATAAATGACGTCTAGGGCTTGACCTCGCCAAAATTATCACCGATTTGCATCCACCAGCCGTCTTTGCCGCAGTTTTTTTTCGATCGTATGGTATATTTTTGGAGGGAACTGGTTTTGTAAATTAGGCCGAATTAACTTTGTAAAAAGTACAAAAAATATTGCAAAGTAGTATTTTAACAAAATTTTGGTAACAAGGTTGAACTTTACAAGAAAAAAGTTTAACAACTGCTTAGACACTGACTTGTAGAACAATCAGAGTGCTGTGAAATCTAAAAAAACGTTCACATTTAAGCTGTTTTACTATATTATTTTCTAATTTCCTTCTTAAACTCTTTGGAAGTCTCTATCATACTATATGAAAGTGAGCCAAAATGCCCCATCATACTGGGCCATAAAACCTTTTAATACTCTAGTATTTGTGAAGAAAAAATTGGTTAATGAAAACCAATTTTAGACAAAGCATTTTTTTGACAAAAGAATTGTACCCTAGTTTAAATTTTCGATGTACTTAAACAGCCATTAAACGGTAGCCTACTAAAATGCCGTTAATAGACATTGTGACGTCGTTCATGTCGGCGGAAAGTAATGCCTAGCTATAAGCATTTTGCAAGAGCACCTGTGGCTCCGTGGCTGAGGCTATCGCTTCGTGAGCGAATAGTCCGTGGTTCAAAGCTCACGCCGACCAAGACTTTTTTATATATTTTTTTGCTTATAGCGTGATGTTATTGCATTGGTTTCACTCTTTTTGGTTGGATTGGTTTAGTTATTTGGCGGGTTGGTTAGCGTGGTTATTTGGAGGGTGTTAATTAATTGGTTAGTTGGTTATTTGGTGGGGTTGGTTGGTTTTTACTAATTTAAATTTCTTTCTTATATTTTTTTATCAGTGTCGAGGTTAGTTGCGTTGGTTAAGTTGGTTATTTGGTGGGGTGGCTAGCGTTGGTTAGTCCTTATTAAATTCCTATATTTCATAAAGCCGTCAAGTGCGTCACATCAACGACGTCATACCTATTAACGGCATTTTAGTAAGCTACCGTTTAACGGCAGTTTAAGTACAGCCTTAAATTTTATCATGTATTTGTACAGTATCATGTTGTAAATTGCAAAACACATTCGAATCCATTGTCTAAGCATTATTGAACAAATGCCGTTCTAAAATGATTGCAACTAAAGAAAGGTCGGTGATCTATGAGACTTTTATTCTAACGCTATAAAATAATATGTCCAATTATTTCGCGCGGCATTTACTTTTGTTGCGACCATTCTAGCAAAGTATTACCATAAATAGACGATGTCATATATGTCAAAACGAGGAAAAGTAACGCGAGAAGAACTATAGTGAATGTAAAATACTTAATAAAAATATACAGTGACACCGATAAAAGTCTGCATTATATGGAACTTTGACTTTGAAAACAACTAAAAAAAATATATAAATAAATAAATATATTAATTAAAAAAGAAACAACTTTTTCAACTAAAGTTTTCAAAAATTCGACTAGAAAACCTATTTTAAGTCATTTATTTTTTCAAACGTCAAATTTGACAGATATCCTAGAGGAACAGATCAACTTCTATTGTCATTTATAATCCCGTTAATGATGAGCGGGACTGTCTTGCACAAAAAGACCCAGATCAAGTCTAACGTTTGATCTGCAAGACCAACCAAGACTCGGCACACTTCGCGGACCAGTGTAAGACTCTTGCGGTCTTGCATTTCTTTTCGCGTTTATGTGATATACAAAATTAATTATTTGTTCACAATTATTGTTTCAATTTATTGCAAATAGTGTTTTCTCGACTATTGCAAAATATTTTAAAAAAAGAAATGCTGATCCTATACCGGGTGTGTCTCAAAAGTGACTCACCCCCTATAACTTTTTTATTTTTTCAGATAAAAAAACGAGATTTGGTGTGTTAGTATATGACATAAATTAGGATTGATTGACGTATTAAATTATTTTCGGTTCCACCGGAAATAACAACTTTTGATTTTTAAATGGCACCCTCGGTATTTTTTTACTTTATTCGATAGAAAATGAAATTCTGAATAGAATGATATATCATATGTCAACTTTTGACATTTTTGCTTAAAACATAATTGAATTTTAAATTTCAATCTAGAGTGCCATGGCTGTGTTAAAAACACTAATTTTTAATCAAGGAGCCTTGGAAAAATATATTTGAACGTCTAATGTTTTTACCTGTCTTGTCCTGGCCGGTTAAAAGATGCCCAAACCGTATTTTTAATCATATCTCAATTTTTTTCAAATGGAACGAGCGTGGCTCATAAACATATTTGGAAAAAGCGTTTTTTTACGAATAATTTGATACCACACACTTGGTATTTAGAGTCAAATTGTCGTTATCAACCGTATGTTAAAATTTCAAATACACCATATGCAAAAATGTCAAAAGTTGACATATGATATGTCATTCTTTCAAAGTGTCACTTTCTATTGAATAAAGTAAAAAAATACGGAGAGTGTCATTTAAAAATCAAAAGTTGTAGTCATTTCCGGTAAAACAGGAAGTGACCGAAAACAATTGAATACATCAATCAATCCTAATTTATGTCATATATTAATATATCAAATCTCGATTTTTCATCCGAAAAAATAAAAAAGTTATAGGGATGAGCCACTTTTGAGACACACCAGGTATAATTAATTGAAAAATAAAAATTTTCGTCACACAAATATTCTAATAATTTCTTTTTTTTAAAGTTTTATTTGCATTAAATTGCTAAAAATATTACTTATCTAAATATGTTTTATAAAGAAAGTGCCTCTATAGAGTCAAGCAAGACCAAGCAGCAAGACCAAGAAAAAGACTACTTATTATCTGCAACACCAAGACCAAAAGAATTTTGGTCTTTGTCTTGCATTTGCTCGTCACTAAATCCAATTCATTTTTTTCAAAAACTATCGCTATCATATATATAAATGGGAATATAATGCAAACTTTATCTGCGACACTGTATGAATATTTACCCATCTCTCCTGGCAGGCGAAGGACTTCTACGCCTCTTCGGCGACACGCTCGGCCTCTTCCTCGGCGACACACTACGTCTCATCGGCGTTCGCCTCCTAGGCGGCGACCTCCTCTTAGGCGACTCCCTCCTTCTTGGCGACCGCTTCCTAGGCGGAGGAGACCTCCTCCTACCCGGGGATTCTCTCCGGTTCTTTCCCGGACTGCTCCTCCTCCTACCCGGACTGGACTCACGCCTGGACCTAACCGGCGTCGACTTCCGGTCGTCCTTGAACCCCGGAGTACTCCAGTGCTCCCTTTGCTGTCTGTCGAATTCAAGTTCCGAACGCTTCCGTTTTTCCTCGATCTGGACCTCTCGTTTGTTGTCCTCGATCAGAGCTTCCAGTTTCTTGCGCTTCTGTTCCTCGAAGGTAGAGTTATCGTTGCTGTCCGAATCGTCGAAGTTCAGCGCAGAATTGTTCATCAGCTGTCGTTTGCTAGGAAGGGTCAGTCCAGTAAAAACAATCTTTTTACCGGGGGATTCTTCCTGAACCGGTACAAAAGCTTCCTTTTGAACTTCCGTATCAAAATTCTGCGCAGTAACAGTTACCGGAACTTCATTCACACTGACCAAGGTCTCTTTCGAAATTGGCGCTGAAATCTCGAAACTGGTCTTGGAAATGTCTATCCCGGAAGTAACAGGTGCGGTAAAACTAGTGACGGTCGTTGGTAAACTGATCGTGATGTTCTGAGTCACGTTAGCCGATAAGCTCAGGTTAATAAGAGGTTTATTCAAGTCTATGATTGTCTGTGGCTCAAGCTTGGGGGAGGGAACGGGTACAGGTCTGGAAGGTTCACTGGTAGGAGGTAAAGGAATCTGAATAGTCGGTATATCCGGGATAACAATGGTTTCGACGGGAACCTCCTCAATGTTCGTAACAACCTGTACGAAAGAGCTTGAATTTGAATTAGTACCCACCCCCTCCTCACTGGGCGTTATTTTAGTTAACGTAGTTTCCTCCACGATACTAACGGACGAATCCAAACTAGTTTCAAGATCGTTTTTCTCTGAACCAGTCACAGCTTTCATAAACTCCTCATACTCGTCCTCTAATTTCACTGAAGAATTCAAATTCGAATCTTCCAGACTCAATATGTCGGGGGTATCTGTTTTGATCACAGGAGAATCGACGTTTGAATCGGAAGTTTTCGAGTCCCATCTTCGTCTTTTAGTTACAACAGGCAACGAGTCTTCCGGTTTTCGTTTTTGTTGTTCCACAACCTCCGAATTTGCCTCTTGTTGGTTTGATTTGTCAGCGCTTATATCAATATCGAACGAATCCGGATCAACTTTGATGTCTCTGCGGGTGAAATGTTGAATGTTTAGAGGTATTTCAAAGCTGAAAGCGTCAGCTCTGTTTGAGGTACGCGTATTTAAGTCCCTCGATTGGATTTCGACAGATTCGTCATCACTTTCCCAGGAAGTATTCGTTAACTTCAGACGTTTCTGTTGATCGAAACTCTCGTCTTCCTCACAGAACGGTTCTTTCTTAATATTCGTTACGTCGATAAGGTCTTCCCCAATTTCGATCGCGATAGGAGATAAGTCTTTGGAGCTCTTCCTGCTCTGAACTCTGTCAGAAATATGTCTCTTCCTTTTTGTTTTAATCTTTTCCCAATCGGGCACTTTCTTGACAGAGTCATCGACAGATTCGTATAATTGAACCGGAATTTCATGATTATTTTCATCCATCTCTTCCTCATCCTGTTTATTTTCAGATTTAGAATCTTCTAAGTCGGATTTTTCGGAAACTATAGCTTTTTCTGGCTGAACTTTTTCTTTACTATCGTGCTTTGAAACGCTCTTATTCTTCTCCTGGTTTCTCAAATACTCTTCATTTTTCTTCAGCAAATCTACCTTCACTTCGACGGGTTTAACGTCATCTTCCTTTTTTTCTTCGGCCATAAATATATCTTGTTTTTTCGGTATAATGTCGATGTCTTCCTTCTGCGAAGTGATCAGTTCCTCCAAGTTTATAAAAGCTACGTGTTTGTTTTTAGTTTTTTTAACTAAATCTTCGTTCGCCTTGTCGAATCTGTTGGTAAAGAACATGATGTCTTCCTCGTAGTTTTCTTTAGGCGAAGAAATCGATTCTTCTCCCGGGCTAAGTTCTTTCTTCTTCTTTTCGATGACTCGCTCTTCTTCTTTTTCTTCGCTTTAGTAGCGCGAACCTCGTCCTTATTCTCTTCATCTTCATCGGTTATTTCAAAATTCTTCCTCGATTTGTATTTCTTTTTTTCCTTGTTCTTCTTTTCTTTGCGTTCCGATTTGTTTTTAACCTCCTTTTTAGGTTTTTTCTTTCGTTTTTGGACTTTTCTTCATCAGACTCGGAAGATGAAGAGATATCTTCTTCTTCCTTTGATTTACGCTTCTTCTTATCCTTCTGGCGTTTAGCTTTTTAGTTTTCACTTTAATTTTAGCTGGTTTCTCTAGAGATGGGCTCCTTTCTTTCTTATGTCGCTTCTTTCTTGGTCTTCTTTTCGGGAACGACTAGTTCCTCATTTTCGGAAGGATAATCTTTAGAAGATTGTTTTAAGGAGGCTTCCAGCTGTTCTAGCTCCATTTTGGTCTTTATATACTCTTCTTCTAAGTCGTCACTTTTTTCTACAAAGTTTTCATCTAAATCAGCTAAGTTAATCTTCCAGTCGTTGTCGGGATCTAGATTTTCTGACTCGTCTTTGTTAGATTTATTGTCCAAACTACTTAAAGTTCTTTCGGGTGTAGTTGAAAGAGAATTTTCTAGATTGTTTCTTAAAGGAGGGGTGCACTGTTCATCTTCCAATTCCTCAGTATTGCTAACGTTCAAGTTTTCGTTATCGTCTTCCTCGTCCGAATAACTTTGCAAAAATGAAAGACCCACAGAGCTTTCCAGCAATTTTGCTTCTGAATAGTTGAATTTTCGCCAGTTTTTTGGGTACCACTTACGCACGGTGATCTTTTTGGTGCTGGGTTGAATTCTGAAAAAATATAAAGTGTCATAGAGAAGGTCTAGTTATACCTCACACATTTAACAAATAAAAATCATACACCCCACATATCATATTCACAATACTCCAAAACACTTTACGCATGTTTCCTAACCAAGTTAGGGCCATCAGCAGATGATTCTAACATGGTTTTGAAAAACTTAGTTTTTAGTTTTAATCCCCTGCTGATGATGCTAACATGGCCAAGCGAAGCAGGCGTCCAGTGTTTTGGTGTATTATGGTAAATTAGTGATTTATTTTGCTGTTGTAACACCAAAGGTTCCAACCCCTAACTATAATATTTTTTACTATTATTAATTATACAGGGTGTCCCGTCTTCCGTGACCGTAGAATCGTTACTACGTATTTTTTGATTCAATTCATATTTACAATTTTTGTTTATTTTAATTTACAAAGTTTGGATATGGCAGCTTCACATTTATGAGAGCAAAGACAATTAAACTTTTTCCATGGCTAACTAAGTGAAATTGTTTAAAAATGATAAGACTTGGCCACAGCTTAAGTAAAAACCAGCTCGGACAGTGTAGCGTGCCGCTTTGATCTTTTTACGCTCGGATTTGCGATTCGAAAGAGGGGGAACACTAGAGCGGCGAGCTCTCTCGCCAAAACCAATAGCCGCGTAAGCGCCAGTCAGCCCAGAGATGTATTCAAAAAAATTTTACACGTGACGTAAAAAATTATTCGACTGGTGCTAGAACATAATTTAGATACACGTTTTTAAATTGTTGACTTTAAATAAATATGCATTCTCAAAGAAAACATTTAAAAACAAATTAATTTATTTATTTCTAGAAATAACAGCAAAATGAAATATGTACATTGATTACTTATAGTTATTTACGAATGTTTCTAAATTAGGAGCTTTCGGTTTTTGTTTGCTACATTTAAGTTCTTATTAATATTCTTTAAGGTATAATAAATTCTAACTTTTGCGTATAATTTTAACAAAAAATAGATTATAGGAAAATTTTGATTGATGGTTGAATTTAATTGTCTGAAATAATTTAACGAATTTACATAATATATTTTCATTTAAGGAAAGTTCTTCAAAATGGTTCTGAAAAATTTTATAAAAAAACTTTTTTAAAAACAAGTTTTTATTTAAACACACTAAAAAGAATAAAATAAACTTTTTCTTTAAAACTTTTATTATGAACTTATAACGTCATTACACAATTTTAATATTATATAAAAGCTTGTCGCGAGATTTGAGTGTACAGTTGCACTCATAAAAATCTGGTACGACAACTTTATCTTGTAATTCCTGGTCTAGTGGTCTATCATAACACAAACTTTGAAAATGAGACAGGGTAGACACAGGTTTTAGTTAATTTACTTGTTTATCGATGTAGAGAAATCTCGCGACAAGCTTTTATATATCTAATATTAAAATTGTGTAATGACGTTCTAACTTCATAATAAAAGTTTTAAAGAAAAAGAGTTTATTTTATTCTTTTTAGTGTATTTAAATAAAAGCTTGTTTTCAAAAAAGGTTTTTTTATAAAATTTATTTTCTACTTTTTAGTTATGCTGGTTTCTCAGTGCCACACACTCAAACTCAATTTTTTTCTTAAATAACTTTCTATGGGTATCCTAATAATATGTATATCGATTTTCATTAAAAAAGGAGAACTTAAAAAAAACGACAGCTGTCAAATTTGACAGTTCAAATGTGAGACAAATAAAATGAAAACCGACTATGGGGTAGGGGGTCCAAACCAAATCCAATATATCGATTTTTATCAAAATCGGACAAATTTGAAATTATTTGACAGCTGTCACATTTGACAGCTCAAAATATTTTTCTTTCATTTTAGCCCACGGCCATCATCGATTTTTATCAAAATCGGACAACTTTGAAATTTTTTTGATACCTGTCAAATTTGACAGCTCAACATTTTTTTTTCATTTACGCCCATGGCCGTCCTATATATCAATTTTTATCAAAATCGGACAACTTTGAAATTTTTTTGACAGCTGTCAAATTTGACACCTTAAATTTTTTTTCTTTCATTTTAGCCCATGGCCATCCTATATATCAATTTTTATGAAAATCGGTTGACTTTGAAATTTTGACATGTCATTAAACTGTCATTTTTTCAAGATGGCCGCCCATATATTTTTTTTCATATGTATATACCCACAATATACCTATACAGGTTGTTAAATTGTTCATTACTCGCGGCAAGAGTTTTATGGTTGAAATAACCTCGGCCCGCTCGTCGATAGACGACGGCGACGGGACGGGACGAGTCGGCAGAAAAATCAATAATGCATACGTTCTCAATAGGCAGTGTTGCCATTCTGTTTCCCTATAAGTAACTGTCGAGTTAACAACCTGTATATATATATATATATATATATATAATTTCAGCCCGATCCATTCATAAATAGAACTTTAAAAAATCAAAAACCTCAAAAATGCCGCCATTTTGACGGCTGTCAAAAATTCGGGTCATGCCTTGCAAAAAAATGTATTGTCATCGGGACTGAACCTACATGCCAAATTTCAATCTCCTACAATAAAAGGAAGTTTAATTTAGCTTACAAGATTTGCCCCGAACAAACATACATACATACATAGATAGTTATATACAAAGCAAGTTAAATAAAAGCTTATAAAAATAGCCTCCAATGAGGAAACTAAATAAAAAAATGGTCACTTGGCATTAGCAAGCCTCCAAATAAGTAGTCTTCATCGTTTTGAAAAGCTCTAAAGTGTGAATATACTTTTGAATTGAACATTAATTTTGAATTGAATTGAAAATTAAACAGACTATATTTTGAATTATTTCCATAATTATTTGTGCAACCAGCAGCCGCACATCCCGGAAAATCTTTTCCCATTCCATCAATAAAAATAAAATTGAAATAAAAGCACAAATACCTATGGTTAAATATAAGAAAAAAAATCGAATTAAAATCTTCCGTAATACGGCCCTACGCGCCACCGGTGGAGGCTATGCATCGACTGAATGAGGCTGACTGTCGGTCGCTTAAAGCCCCGTTCTCAGAACTGCGTCGTGTCGACAGCGACACTGATTGACACTTCAAACGACCAATGGGAGCTGTACTAAATTTAAAATTGACAGCTGTTTGAATTTTGTACAAATCTCATTGGTCCTCTTGACGTGTCGCTGTTCTGAGAACGGGGCTTTTAAGCCCCGTTCTCAGAACTGCGTCGTGTCGACAGCGACACTGATTGACACTTCAAACGACCAATGGGAGCTGTACTAAATTTAAAATTGACAGCTGTTTGAATTTTGTACAAATCTCATTGGTCCTCTTGACGTGTCGCTGGCGACAGTCGCTGTTCTGAGAACGGGGCTTAATTCAGTTAGCGCATCGTCGGAGTGGGGCGTTTTAAATTCGAGCGTGGGAAAAATTGGCGAGTGTCAAAGCTATGTTATTCTGTAAGCTGTGACTTGGCTATAACTCAGTAATTTTTCGAACAAAACATATTATGGCTTATATCGCTGAAAAGCTTAAAAAATGGTACTTTTTATGAAGTCATGGCCAACTATGGTTTCCATTTAAAAAAACATATGTTTGTGTCATATGTCAAAAATTATAGGGGCTTTAGAAAAAAACGGAGGACACAATCTCATTAAGGATGTGATTATCTACAACTTTTATCTGAAAACTTTTTGTCTAAAATAGCTTATAATGGAATTAGGGACAATTTTTAAAATAGCCGAAATTTGTTTTTTTTTAAATATCTAGTAAGCCATGAACTTTTTTAAACATCTGAAAGGCGCATAAATATGGCCTCACAAAACTGCAATTCTTTCCCCATTTAACCGACTCGCTATATCCAGTAGTTTCCGAGATACCCATAGAGAACATCGTAGGAAACTCACACTGTATTTATTTAAAAAATATATTATTTTCTACAAAATAACAGATGGATTTTTATTTTTTTTTCTCAAATTGAAAAAAAATATTTCTTCAAAATTATTTTTTAACAATTACACAGATATTATTTTAGAGAAGCAAACATGATTTAAGATTGTAACTTACCTGCTTCCTTTATACAACTGTTCAATTATCTTTTTTCGTTCCTCCGGTATAAAAGAAAACAGCTGATTCTTGTTTATAAGACCTGGCGGTGTCGTTTTATGATTTGTACTATACAGAACTTGAGGTTTTGACACCGTGGATCTACAAAACGTAATCAATTTTTATATTTGAACTGTATAAACCGTAAAAAAATTTCAATAACAATTCACCTTAAGTGTGCAAAGGGAATAAACGTAAAATCTCCACTTATCGAGTGGCTCCTAAAGATCTCAATCGGAGGTGAAGGAGCTTGAAAATTAAAGTATTTCTTCAGACTAAAATTTCAAAAAATTAAATAAAATATATACAGGGTGTTACAACATATGCCTCTATCGTGGAGAGATTCCTCATTTAAAATTACACCTTCATTTTTTTCGAAATTTTTTATAATTTTCTTCCAAGTTCTTTCCTTTTTTACAAATTTGTAGGCCGTTTAATGTCGTCTTTTAATATTTTGTGGATTTTGATCTCCTTGATGAGATAAATGCAATTTTATTAATTACAATTAACTGTAACTTTAAAACTATGCATTTCTGCACCCATGTTTATAGGAACTTTTTTTCATGTTTTTAATGAGGAAAAAATGTGTACTTATTTAACACTAGCTAATTAAAGACATAAAACTAGAAGTAATTCTGGACTTGCAATCAATCGAGTGGCTCGCGAACGATCTGGCCGCTAAGGGTGCCTTAAGATTAAGGGAATCCAATCTGTGGAACCAGACCAACTACAGTCACTCCAGGATATTGCCAATGATAGTAGTCTAGGAGCTAGCTTATGTCACGTGTGCCGTTGTATGTCCCCTAAATTTTGTTGCGGGGATTTGTTAAGCACCTCTAGGAGTAATTGACAAAATTGGTCACATGGTCCAGAACATGGTCATTTGATCGCCATATTTAAAAATGGCCGCCAAAAAGTGCTCCGATTTTGCATTTTTAAAGATCAACCTACTCCTCTTATGAAGAAAAAAATTGTAATTAATTGACTGACAAATTTATTAGTTATTGGGATATTTTTAACATTTACACGTAGCGGAGGAATTTGGAATATTTTCTTTAATTTTATTGAAATTACTCATTCTTGTGAGTAATTTCAGACGATTAAAAAATTTTCTAATTTATGTAGCATAAATTGTCACATTGGCAACGCCGCTCCTGTGTCGAAACTGCCTATGCTCTGCGTTTAATTGACATTGCACGGAGTCGCGGATATGACATAAATCATCTTTTATCGTATGAATTAACTTCTACTTCCTTGTTTTTAACAAGAAATGGATTTTTAACAAAATCTGAAAAATCGCAGCTGGTTCATGAACTAGAAAAGAAGTTACAAATACCGGCAAAATCCGAAACTCCTCAATCTGCGGGCAAAGCAACAATCATAGACTTTATGGCTTTTGCAAGGAAGGTACCAGCTAAATCTTTAAAACTGAAAACATATGAAGAGTTTGTGAGAAGCATTTTGAGTACCATATCTAAAGCCTCTCATAAAAGTGAGCGCATAGACATTGTTTATGACGTTTACAAGGAAAAAAGCGTAAACGGATTTGAGAGGGCTAAACGATCGCGGAAACAGCCTGTCGAATATGCAGCATCAAATGACAACACACCCTTTCCTGTAGATTTTCACGCTTACTGGGCCTCCTGTCAAAACAAAGAATTACTGCAGTCATACTTTGTTAATTGGGTATCCCGGAAAAAACATTCTGTCACTGCATCTATTCCCATTTACCTGGGTGGCGTTGTTAAAGATGTCAGCCAAGGTGTTTCAGTATAAAGAATGGCAGAATTGAAAAACGTACGTTGGAATCTGATCATGAAGAAGCGGATGACAGAATGCTAACCCATATTTCTCACATGACACTGACTACAAACGTAAAGAACGTAGTTATTTGTTCTACCGATACTGATATTTTTGTTAGTGCACTTTACCACTACTTGCAGAAGTGAAAAAGTTCAGGACTTAAAAGCTTTATGTTACCTTTGGAGTAGGAAAAACGTTGGGGTATATTCCACTTCACTCGTTTGATGGCAGATTACCACTTAATGTTTTAACAGCTTTACCTGATATCCATTCTTTAACCGGTTGCGACACTACAAGCAAGGTTAGTACAAAATTAGCAGCTCTGAAAGTAGCAGAATCGTATATACTGAAAAGCTCTTATTAGAATTTGGTAAAGAACCATTAAATGAAGAAATGGAAAAACAAGCAGAAGAATTTTTGGTCCGTGCACTTTCATCAAACTTGAGTACAATGAATAAGTTGCGTTTCCATCAGTCCCATCATAAAAAATTACGAAACTTTCAAGATTTGGCCCCTACTTCAAGATCAATCCGTCTTCACATAAAACGGAGCTACTTGCAATGCTACAAATGGATTCATGCTTTGGAACCATGTGAAAAACTTAATCCGTTGAACTATGGTTACATAGAGAAAGATGGTATTTTGATTCCACAAGTAACAGACGACTCAAAGGACCCTGAAAACTTTCCTATTCCATGTAGTTGTCAGATGGGCTTCAGAGAAACTGCATGTCCCTGTAGAAAATTAAAAATAATGTGTTGCGACTTTTGTAAATGTAAAAGTAGTATTTTAGATCAATGCAAGAACCCTCATACATAAGTTAGTAAGTTTTCTGCTTAAACATCTTAATTTTTTGCATTTGAAAAATTATCCTTGTTGCGCGTTTTTTGCGAATACGTCATATAATATAAATTTATTTATACTTTTTTTATATACTATACGGCATTTAAATATACTTTTATTATTTTGAAATAATTTTTTATTTGTGCTTAAAAACGCGCCATGGTTCCATATTTTTACAGTTAAAAAATATGTATTCACAAAATTTGTTTGCGGTCAAAAAATGAGTATAATAACATTTAAAACTCGACCTTTGATAGGAAGATATTAAAATATATAAGAAATTAGTAACATGTCGGCCATTTTTAAATATGGCGACTAAACGACCACGATCTGGAGCGTGTGACCAGTTGGTTTTTAAGCTCTTATACATATTTAATAAAACGCCGCACAAAAACTTAGGGGACATATAACTGCACATGAGACATGGACTAGCGCCCGCACTATAGGGAAATGATGGCGAACACGAGTCCACATCTGCTAGACCAGAAAACTAGACTATATAGACTCACCAAACATGATTTTGGAGAAAAGGTAAGGATTCGCATCCCGACAAGAGAAAAATGGGAAAGCAACCGAGTAATGAACACTAAAGAGATAGCAGTCTACACAGATGCTTCCGCAACTTCAGGAGGCGCAGGTATAGGCATCTGCTCGGGGGCACTAGAGATCCGACGATCTTTAAGGCTATCGGATCGCTGTAATGCTCTATAAGCAGAGGTTTACGCTATTAAGGAAGCGGCCAGTTGTATAGGAGAGAAAATCGCTCATAGACCAATAGGAGATATCGTGATATACTCTGACAGCTTGGGTGCTTTTAGAAGGATCACCGTGCAGTGAGATCGAAAACTGTAATCGACTGGCGAGAAGCACTGTCCTGGCTGCGCCAAGGCGGGGCCACTCTGTGCTGGGTGCCAGGCTACAGCAATGTGGTGAGCAACCAAGAAGCGGACAGACATGCAAAAGAGGGGGCCAGGGAAGAGGCCGTAGCAGATGACCCACCACTTGTGACGATCAACACAATGAAGGAAGATATAGGAACTACCATCAAGGCCAAGCAGCAAAAGACGTGGCAACACTGTGAAGACTGCGCTACAGCTCGAAGACTGTGGTCAGTGGTAGATAACGAAAAGACACAACTATTAGAGCACAAAAAGAACTTAGTATGCATAATTATTGTAGGTGTCATCACTGGATCAACCTCGTGAAATGGAAGATTTCCAACGACGACTACTGCAGAAAATGCGGAGAGAAAGAAGCTCCGAAATTTTTATTATAGGAGTCTGCCTAACAAAGACACTTTAAATGTAAAAAGAGGAGCTTTTAGTTTCAACCAGTGGCGTAGCTGTGATGCGCATCGGGTAATATTTTCAAAAAAAAATAGTACGCCACTGATAAAAATAAAAATTTCGGAGCTTTTTTATTTACTCGGTTTATTTCCAAGAAAAAATGTCTCTTGTAACTTTCTTCTATCTAACACCATTTTGTCACAATTTAAAATTAAATATTTTTTTAATTAAAATTAAAATTATATCTTTAATTTTTCAATAACTTTAACACCCTGTATCTTGCGTAAGAAGCATTTCCGACCCATAGTGTGCTATATCAAAATTAATATTTTGACGTCCCCTATCATTCCTCGAAAGCATGACCGACTTACAGGAATCACCCTGTATATTATTATTTAAAAAAAGATTTGCGCGGAGCGGCGCAACCGGTGTGAATAAAGTTTCTTCTATGCAACACACTGTATTTTATTTATAAAATAAAAATAAAATAATAATACATTTGAATAAATAATATTTGGCGATATAATTCCGGAAAAAGCCGAACCGCTCTGAAATTTTTAAAAGCTTAGGGTCGCGACCGTTGCAAGAATAGCGCCAAATAGTATTTACATTGTCTTTAAGGGCACTTTCAAATCTAAACTTGTTTCATTTATCTATGCTTTACAGGGTTGCCACAAGCTACACAATTGTGTATTTTGCTACACATTTGCTTCCATGATTGCACAGCTACACCACAATCGCCTGTGCTACACATTTTGAGAATTTACATATTTCTTATAAAATATAATACCAAAACAGTAAATCAGCTGAGAAAAACTGTTTTTTTTTGCTTTTAAGTTATCTAAGTTACATTAAAAGAAGTCACAAGTGAACTTTTAATTTTGAACTGACAAATATCATTTTCCGTCATCAGTGTTCAGGTGTTCAGTAAAATGTCAGGGTATGAACCAGAGTATGAACTGGGTCATGAATCAAGGACCGGCTATTGGTCGAGTCAAAAACGGTAAATAGACAGGATTGTCGGTAAATAGACGGTAAATAGATTGGAATTCCTTAAGTAATACATAAAACGTCCTTTGATCAAATTTCACTGCTCAATTACGTCACTGTAGTTCAGTCACACTTCTACTCGTCATACGTGAATATTATTCAATTCCTATTTCACTTCCTCCCATATCAGCAAGGACTGCAGTTTCTATAGACAAATTTGGCCGATTAAACAGTCCTCAATAGTTTACAGTTTTTAAACAGACTTTTTTAACAGGTCTAATTTGTCCATAAAATCGTTAGTTTCGCGGCATCAATTTTGGCGTCACTGCAATATTTGCTGGCATAAAAGGAAATTAAATGGGAAATGAGTTTATTGACGTATACAAACGACTGGAAGTGAGACTCGTAATCATACTTTAAAATTTGGCGAACGTACATCTTATTCTTGGTCTTATTGAATAGTTTACAATTATTGGTCATGGATTTAATGGCTACACAATGCTACACATTTTTATGGTCAAGTTCTACACAATCAAAAATTTTCTTGTGGCAACCCTGATGCTTTAACCTTCAAAATTTCACTTGAGTCGCTAAAAGCGGAAAATTAAAATAAATCGAAAAAATCAAAACCTTAACCCCATGCAGCAACAAAACAAAACAGAATCAGACCTACGATGATATGAAAGTAAATCTTGTTTTTACATGAGGAATCTCCCCTCAAGAGATGGCACATGTATTTTTAAACACCATGTATTGTAATCGTTGGACTTGAATCTCACTCATAACGTTTGTCTCTAGGCCTCTGAAAAAACCTCGATTTTAAATAAATATCTTTCTCCGGATTCAAATTTAATTCAGCATATTCTTCCCAATTTTTCGGATATTGTTTGTGAGGTTTTTTGACTTGCTGATCCTGCTCTTTTGCCCTCTTAGACGATGAAGACTTAGGAGATGGCGAACGGCGTTCACTATCAGCTTTTCTTATATTACGACACTTAATTTCACGCTTCTTAAATAAAAGACGATCTTCATCTACGTCTACAACATTTATATTTAATTTTAATTTAAAAATGAGACATGCCAAATTTGAAAAATTATAAGTTTTGAAAAAAACGACGTCAGAGAATTTAAAATAAAGTAATTTTCATATGCTAAAGTGTTAAACTACTCAAATAGTACATTCTAATATAGCCTTAGGTATTCACTTACCGCTAGAAAAAGAATTCGACTCGGGTTTAATTCTAACTACTGGAACAACCTCCATAGGAATTAATGTAGGACTTTGCGGTGGTGCACCGTAACCAGCCCTTTTTAACTCCTCTATATCTCTTATAACAGCCCTAGCAATATCATGTGGATATAGGGCTAAAATTAAAAAAATCCTCACTAATATTAACATTATTTTTTTAGAAATATCAATACTCAGTCGCCCTATTAATTAATCAATTTTGTAATAAGTAAAATATCTACTTACTTTTTTTAGATTTTTTAGGTGATTGTTTTACTGGTTTTCCTACAGGGCTCGATTCATTTTTTTCTTCTTTTTTGAACCTATTTATATTAGAATAAGCTTGTAATCGTCTTTTCGCTAAAAGAGACGTTTTAGGGGAGTGTTTTGAACTTGGAGAGTCTACACTAGAATTATTTAGATCATCTGAACCACACTCTTGCAAATCACTTATTGAACTTTCTTGTGCCAGTTCCTTACTTGAATATAAAGGAATATCCAAATAAAACTGTTCGTTTATATCTTTACCCTTTTCGTTTTCCATTTTTCAGCGCTTCTTCTAAAATAGAACATTATTAATGCCTAAAAATTAAAAAATAGATCAGTCCTACATTTGCAAGAGGCTAAACATGTTTGAAATTAAATTTGGTTAAACATTTTTATCCTTATATTTTTCTGAATTGAAACAGTGCATATTTCATACGTTAGTCAAGTTTGTGAATATCGTTAATAGTAGTTATATTATTATAAATTAATATAATTGCTAATAAAATATTTTGACACAAACTTGCACTAATGCACGAGTAATCGATAGGTGCCAACTAGTAATTTTATTTTTATATTTTGCACGAAATTGAGTACCAACATTAAATTTATAGTTCCCGTATTTCTTTTAATTTAATTTTAATTACATCAAATTTTTAGAATAATTAATTATTATGAGTGTTAAATCTTGGAAAAAAAATTCTGAATATTTATTTATTGATTATATTGTAAATTACGTTTAATAATCATATATTTTTAAGATTTAAATAATAGTTGGTCTATGGTTGGTATCCATTGTTGGTAACCCTTTTTGGTAACTTTTTAGTTTGCAAGTCTGTCCGATTGTCAACTGTCAAAAATATTAAAGAACTCAAAGGTTGTTGGATGTTTTATCATTGTTTACGTTAATAAAATTATTAACAAAATTAAATCATTAGGAAATGGTGAAGTTATATCTGGATATGCAATTAAATCAAGAATGATTTGCATATTGTCACATTTTGTCTCGGTTTATTAGTAAAGAGAAAGTTTTGGACATTGCGCGGCCATATTGCCTACTTTTCCCAAATTCCTATAATGGAAAACGTACAAGAGGTAACAAAAACAATGCCAATATGTTATAATTTATTTTACATATCTACATAACTGTATAATATAATTTTTACCCAAATTTAAATATGCAGAATCGTCTAACAGATGATGAAGAGGATCTGGAAGCATTACGTTTAGCAGCATTACAATCATTAAAAAAGAAAAATGATGCAACAAATGGGTCTCTCGAACCAGCTTTTCATAGTTCTAGAAGGGAAGATCAGGTCTTGAGACAAGGAAAATCTCATAAAGGATTTACAAATAACAGGAGATATTTTGGAGGTCGTGGACCAAAAAATGTAAGTATTAATCATGCATAATATCTAATTATCTACCTGTACTGTGATTTTTGTTTTGTTTAAAGGGTCACTATCAAGGAAACAATACTAGAGTAAGACAAAATAATTTAATTTCAATTAGAACAGTTGTGGAAGATCAAACAGTTAAAGACTTAGATAATAATTCAACATTAAGCTTACCTCAGGACAGATATACTGGAGGCAAGGAAAAATCTAACAAAACCGATGAATCTTCAAGCAAATTTGATCGATATAATGATACAGATAAATCTGATGAGGAGTCGGAAGAAGAAAATGCTAAAAGTGGGTCAGATAATGACGGTAGCACTCCAAAACTTGAAAGAAATGATAGTCTTGAAGCCATAATGCAGGAGTTAGAAGATGAAATAACAGGAAAATCTAAAAATAAAGATAAGGAAGTGAAGCAGGAGAAAGATAAACAAAAGTCTAAAAAAGGAAATGACTTACCAGTTGTTGAAAATGTAGTAAGTGATGTAAAGCCAACTCCAGAGTTATGTCCTCCTGAAAAGACAGTAGAGGCTCCTAAAGAACCTGTTTTAGAGCCAGTTATAGGTGTGGCGAATCGAAAAGAATCACCAGAGAAAAGTGAACCTCCACCACTTCGAAAAAGGAAGAAAGTTTTCCCGAATAGAAGGGAATTTCAAGGTTACAGACGTCCTAGACGAACTCCTCCCTACCCAGAACCACCTTTTATACCAAATATACCACCGGTTCCTTTTCCTCCAATGTTTAATCCACATTTTAGGCCCCCAAATGTGGCAGTACCCCCTCCACCTGTTCCGTTCTATGAGCGACCTTTATCACCATTGTCGATCAATGCAGATACATTGCAAGCTCAAACTAGAGCTCCCCTTTCACCGAGAAGCGCCGCTTTTGTTTTGGAGAACAGGGCTATCATAGAAAAAAGAAAAAGGTCGACCGAGGCGGTCGTATTCGAGGAGTCCCTCGCCTAGAAGGAGGTCGCCCAATCCCCTGAGAAGGTCGATTTCGCCAAGGCGGAGGTCGAGGTCGCCCAGGAGGAGGTCAAAGAGTCCCAGAAGAAGGTCGTTGAGTCCCAAAGTGAGGCAGTTCAGTCCAAAGGCGAGAGCTTTCAGTCCGAGGCCGAGGGGGTTGTTGAGTCCGCCGCACAGTCCGAAATTGAGGCTGGGCAGTCCAAAGCAGAGGCAGGGCAGTCCAAAGCAGAGGCAGGGTAGTCCAAAACTGAGGCCGGTTAGTCCAAGACGACGGTCAATGTCGCCGAAAAGAAGGGATAAGAAGGGTAAGTTCATTTTTTTTTATGTTTATTAAAAATATGTATGTATTATCATTTAACGTATCTAAATATATATATATATTTTTTTTAATAAATTTAATAATATCAGATTTTGTCACCAATTATTTTTTCCTTTTAGAATTTGTAGATTTTTATTTTGATAATTAATGTTACATTGGTGAATTGTATTCAAGTCCCCACCACAGAATATTTTAGCTTGACAGAAGCGACAGTAAGCACTGGCTCCTTTCAAGCATGTGTGTCCCAAATTTTTGACCTTAATGACACATATTTTGACAATCTCACTTGTACAGGATGTCCCACTTTCGTGTGTTTTATAAGGTTTCTCTTTTGACAGCGTTTAAATTAAAAAAATAATATTACTATTTTAAACTAGGTTGATTTATGTTGAAAAGTTAGATAATGCATTTTTTTATTTTACTTAAAATAAGTATAGAATAATAGCATATTTGTAGAAAGCTCATAATGAGACAAATAAAATAAAAAAATAATGTACAGGGTGTCCCACTAAGAATAGCTCTCGGCTGTATCTCGGAAAGTATTAGCCGTAGGGGCTCCGGAAAAAATATTTATAACTAAAGAGGCTATGAAAAATTGCTTCAAATTATTTTCAAGTTTGTAGAACGACTGCTAGAGGGCGCAACTGCAACAAAAAATATGAAAATGGAGTTTTTACACAATTTTGCCTAGATAAGGTGTACTATAAGTAATAGCTTCATAATCTTCAGTAAATTTTGAATATTTTTTGTTAGAGCCATTTTCCCCTATCTGCTAAAATAAAGTGGTGGGGGAAGGTTAGATCTGTTTTTATTTAAATATGAATTACTCTGGACTGGATGATCGGAATCCAACAAGCTAGGGCTCGTTTAAAAGAGCGTATCTTACTCTATATTGTACCATATAAACAATAATAATAAGCTTTTGAACGCAGACGCTCGGGGGCGTTGTCTTACAATTTAACAAACATTGCACCTTTTTTCAAAAATATTAAATATAATAGTATATGTAATTTTAGGTGATAGTAAAGAGGAGTAAAAGCTTAAAAAGTCAGCGAAAACCGCATCTTGATATCTTCTTTCAAACCGAAGATATTAGCAAAATTATAATAAATACCAAAAAAATAAGCCCTTAATTACTTTATTTTTACAACACGGTATCAGTAGCAAACAGTTAGTTTATTTTAAAATCGACGAAATACCAGAATACCATAATACCAGATCTAATAATTAAGACATTAGTAACAGTGAACAAGTAAATGATGATTCAGTGAAGTCATGGTAGACTTTGGAAAAAAGTTGCTTTTCGCGTAATAGTATAAACGTCAAATTTTTATTACATCAACATTTTGATAGTCTTATCAGCGTTTTTTATCTTTTGATCGCTTTTTCAAAATGCCAACAACTTCAACTATTTCAAATAATAAAGGCATTTTGAAAAAGCAATTAAAAGATAAAAAAACGCTGATAAGACTATCAAAATGTTGATCTAATAACAATTTGACGTTTATACTATTACGTCAAACTTTTTTCCAAAGCCTACCATGACTTCACTGAATCATCGATTCTTGTTCACTGTTATTAATATCTTAATTATTAGATATTAATACCTCGGGTATTATGGTATTCTGGTATTTCGTCGATTTTAAAATAAACTAACTGTTTCTATCTTATTTTTTTGTTAGAATGAGCATAATTAAGAGGGCTACTGATACCGTGTTGTCAAAATAAGGTAATTAAGGGCTTATTTTTTGGTATTTATTATAATTTTGCTAATATCTTCGGTTTGAAAGAAGATATCAAGATGCGGTTTTCGCTGACTTTTTAAGCTTTTACTACTCTTTACTATCAGCTAAAATTACATATACTATTGCATTTAATTGTTTTGAAAAAACGCGCAATGTTTGTTAAATTGTAAGACAACGCCCCCTAGCGTCTAGGTTCAAAAGCTTATTATTATTGTTTATATGGTACAATATAGAGTAAGAAACGCTCTTTTAAACGAGCCCCCGCTTGTTGGATTCTGATTATCCAGTCCAGAGTTATTAATATTTAAATAAAAATAGATCTAACCTCCCCCCACCACTTTATTTTGGTAGATAGGGGAAAATGACTCTAACAAAAAATATTCAAAATTTACTGAAGATTATGAAGCTATTACTTATAGTACACCTTATCTAGGCAAAATTGTATAAAAACTCCATTTTCATATTTTTTGTTGCAGTTGCGCCCCCTAGCGATCGTTCTACAAACTTGAAAATAATTTCCAGTAATTTCTCAAAGCCCCTTTAGTTATAAATATTTTTTTCCGTAAACCATACGGCTAATACTTTCCGAGATACAGCCGAGAGCTATTCTTAGTAGGACACCCGGTACAGGATATCTATTTAAAAAAGTTTGCGTCATATTTCGAAAATGACAGCTTTCGGCGAAAAGTTAGTGCGCCACTGGATTATACGTGAAAAACTCTATGGGACACAGTTTTTATTAGTAGTAGATTATGATATAATATTTGTTGAAAGGAAGTTTGTTGGCAAATCCACTGAGAAAATAAATTTGAACATAAACATAAATTTTACTGTAAAATATATTTGTTTCGCCCTGTATATACCGGGTGTGTCTCAAAGTATCGCCCTGTGTATACCGGGTGCGCCTCAAAAGTGACTCACGGCTATAACTTTTTTATTTTTTTAGATAAATAAAACAAAATTTGTTATGTAAGTATGTGACATAAATTAGGATTTATTAACGTATTCAATTGTTTTTGGTCACTTCCTGTTTCGCCGAAAATGATTACTTTTGATTTTTAAATAGCACCCTCGGTATATTTCTACTTTATTGGATAGAAAATGGCACTCTGAATAGAATGACATATCATGTGTCAACTTTTGACATTTTTGCATATGGTTTATTTAAAATTGTAAAATGCGGTTCATAACGAGAATTTGACTCGAAATACCAAGTGTGTGGTACCAAAATATTCGTAAAAAAATGCCTTCTGTTCCCTTGTTCCATTTAAAAAAAATTGAGATATGATTAAAAACAATTTAGGCATTTTTTAACTGGCTAGGAGAACACACGAAGAACATTAGATGATCAAATCTATTTTTCCAAGGCTCCTTGATTAAATTTAAAACACGATTTTTTTGAAGCAAAAATGTCAAAAGTTGACATATGATATGTCATTTTACTCAGAGTGTCATTTTCTATCGAATAACTTAGAAATATACCGAGGGTTTCGTTAAAAAAAACAAAAGTTGTAGTCATTTTCGGTGAAACAGGAAGTGACCAAAAACAATCGAATACGTCAATCAATCCTAATTTATGTCATATACCACACCAAATGTCGTTTTTTTATATGAAAAATTAAAAAAGTTATAGGGGGGTGGTGGTACTTTCGAGACGCACCCGGTAGAATCTCTTTAAATTCCCATAGAAGCGTGTATCATTTTTTTTCTTTTTATTTCTTTATAGAATCAGATCAGTCATCTAAACAGAAACCTAGTATAAGAGACCGACTCGGCTTGAAAAACCCTCCAAAATCTGACAACAAAGAGTCAGCAGAAAAACCCGAACCCTCTAAAGTCCAAAAGGAAGAAAAAGTCCTCGATCCTGTCTTAGAGGCTCGAAAAAAGAAATTTGAATCTAAGGAAATCAAAGTCAAAGAAGGCGTTATAAGGCTGAAACCCAAGGACGAAGCCAAGCCAGAAAAGAACGAAGAGATCGCGAATGAAGAGATTAAAAAAGAAGATACCGAAAAAGTAACCTCTTCAGAAGTATCTGAAAAGGAAGACGATATTGTCAAAGACCTTGAAGCTCTCTTAAAAGAAGATATTCTCTTGGTTGATGACGCTTTAGAACTGGATCACAAAACCGATCTCCTGTTTTCTGATGAAGAATCAGGCAGTGAAAATGAGGGTAGATTCAAAGTCAAACAACCTAACCTCAAAAAACCCGCCGCTGCGTTGCCGTTTACTAAGTTAGTGAACGGGGAAAAGGAAAAACCGGCAACGGTTAAAAGAAGAAGACTGTCAGACAGGCCATCTTCTCGAGCTTCGCCAGCTGCCCAAAGAAAAATTAAGCTAGTCAGTCCAGAAAGGACGAAAGATTCTAAACGAAGCAGGACGAGCAGGTCGTCTTCCGTGAGGAATCTCTCAGTAAAGAAGGAACGGCATCCTGTGGAAAGGAGGTTTGAAAGAAAGATTGAGATCAAAATTAAAAATCCTTCAAAGTACGAGAAGGAGGACAAAAGCAGGCATGAAAAGAGACAGGAGGAGAAAAAGGAGCAGAAAGTTGAAAGGAAAGTTGAGGTGGAAAATCAGTTGAAGATCGATGAAGATGATGATGATGATTTTGAAACTGAGATTATTATAGAGCATGATGAGGACGAAGTGGAGAATAACGTTAAAGATGACGGTAAGTATACTATTGTTAGATTCACATTTTTACTAAAATACCACTCATTTATTTTTAATTTTATCGACTTTGAAAATTATTTGTCTGATCACAGTTGGGGAAATTTTTCAAGTAAACTGTATATATACAGGGTGGTCCGAACTGTATTCCGGAAACTTCGACAGCATATTCTGCAGATAAAAATAAATAAAAAAGTTCGTATAGATGTATGACCTAAAATGCTTAGTTTCGGAGATACAGGGTGTAGAAGTTTCATTTTTATTTCGATTTTTTCCAAATAATTTATGAAGTAACGTCAATATTTGTATGAAAATTGGTGTCTGGGAGTTTTTTGACATGAGAAATTTGATTTTGATGTCAATATGACTCCTACGTGAAAGAGGGCACCACCTACATATTTTTTAACTGGTTTGAAGAGTAATAACTTCTCGTCCGTACCTGTATAAAACTGCCGAGTAAAAAAATATACATTTACTACGTTTCCTACGTAAAAAAGGTCTTTTGGTAAAAATGGCTATGAGTAATGGTTCTCGAGGTATTTGAAATCGAAATTATCAATACCTTGTAGCATAATTAATAAAATATGTGGAAAATATTAAATATAATACATTAATTTAATATAATGTTAAATTAGGTTTCTGTATGTTAACATTAGGTTTCTTATAAACAAATATATAGATGGCCCTGGTAGTTCAATTTATAAATTTCGCTTTTTTGCAATAATGGAATTCGGATGATCGCCATTTTATTTATACCGCTACAAGTGTTAACAGCCTTTGGTTTTCGACTTATTACCAAATATATTATATTCTTATTATTTTGGGGTATAAACCTGGTGTTAGGTAACAAATTGATTTACAACCCTTAACTCGGTTTCCTATTAATTATAATATATTTTAGAACTTTGTAGAACTTTTCCTAAACCACACTTACAACCATCAGCGTGGAAAATAAAAAAGATAATATTTCCTGCAGTAGTTGTTTTATTGACCAGTCTTCAGAACCTTACGTTACAACCTATAATCATTGACATAAATTAAACATGTTAACTAGATAGTTATTAGACTGAAATCATAAATTTGAAATGTTTTTTGCCAAAAGTTCAACAGAAACTGTTATATCATCATTTTTTCACAGAAAAATTTATGATTATTTTTTTAATTTATGATTATCAGTCAAATACCATGATTCAAAGAAAACAAGATATGATCGATAGCGGCTCCAATTTCGTTCAGTTTGCGCATATCACTTGTGAGGTCATGCGCCATACAAAAAAATATCCATATTGTTCAATTGCCACTAATAAAAAAAAGACCTAAAATTGAGAGGAATTAGGACATAACCTCAAAAGTTATGTCAAATCATTGAGCTTGATATTTGAAAACTATTTTTTATATTTTTATGTGTCATCAGTTTGACGATTTGAAATTGGCGCGCGGAGCTTGCCGACCAATGGTGCCGTTATTACGTGTGACGTAATCACCAACCTGCGCAATATCATAACTTGTTTTTTTTTGTATCATGGTCAAATACCTATCTACTCAACCTGTTTATTTTTTGTCAATAATGACACGTATTGACTATTTCCATTCTAAATATCTTGAGAACGGTTGCCCGTGACGATTTTTACCAAGAGGTATTTTTTACGTAAAAAGTCACGTGAATGTATATTTTTTCACTCAGTAGTTTTATACAGGTACGGACAAAAAGTTATTACTCTTCAAAACAATTAAAACACATATATGTGCCGTCCCCTACAAATAAGTCATATTGACATCAAAATCAATTTTCTCATGTCAAAAAACTTCCAGACACCAATATACATCCAAATATTGACGTTACTTCAGATATTATTTGGAAGAAATCGAAATAAAAATGACACTTCTACACCCTATATCTCCGAAACGAAGCATTTTAGGACATACATTTATACGAACTTTTTTACTTATTTTTATCTGCAGAATATGCTGCCGAAGTTTCCGGAATACAGTTCGGACCACCCTGTATATTTGATATCAATTAAACTTTTAGTTACGTAATCGAGGGCGCAATTTTTAAATTCATTGTTGCCAACCATCGACATATTCGGCGCCAGGCTGACTAACTGGAATTTCAATTTCCTGCTGATGATTCAGGTGGTAGATCTGCTGTAAAAAATGTCATGTGGCCACATTGTCATTCGTTTTGACACTTTAGCATTGTATTACTAATCAGTGTTAAAGCTAAATTACGTTTTTTGTTTAGTTAATTTGGCATTTTAGTGTTTTTTTTTTCATTTTTTGAAGATTTGAGGACGCAGTTAAGCAAAAAAAGAGCAGAAAAATTAAGCAAACACACAAAAGGCGAGGCCGTCCCATCCAGATTGTTGCAAAGCGCTCTCCAGAATGCCCTACCGCTAAAAAAGTCTAAGAAACCAAAATCACAAGAACTATCTTCCAGTGGTGAGTTACTATATTTTTTTTTTGCAGATTTAGTTTTTAGTTATCATTTAATATACTGGCCTTATTATTCTAAAACTGGTGGTCTGTATTTTCACGCGTAAGATAAAGATAATGACCAATTGTTAGATATAGACACAAAGAAATGTGGAGTTGTCGGTTCCTATTTGTTGTAGGCATGGATAAAGAAATAAAATTGAATTAAGCTGGACTAGTAGGATTTTTAATTTAATTTACAGGATGTAAACGTTTTGAAATTCTTGATAGGAAATCCGGCAATACCGTATGGAATGAATATATTCGCTCACTTTTTTTCTCTTTTTAACATGTTTCGTTTTTTTAGGGTTCCGTACCTAAAGGGTAAAAACGGGAACCCTATTACTAAGACTTCGCTGTCCGTCCGTCCGTCTGTCACAAAGGTCTATCTTATGAACCGTTATAGCTAGACAGTTGAAATTTTTACAGATAATGTATCTATGTTGCCGCTATAAGAACAAATACTAAAAACTGAATTAAATAAATGTTTATAAATAAAAAGTACTTTCACTAAACATTATCTTTTAAGTAAGAATTTGACATAGAATCCTTCAAGTTAAGAGAGAATCCTTTAAGTTAGAATCCTTTAAGTTAATTCGCAGTACAATTAATACCATCAAAAATAAATCCTCTTCTGGGACCGACGGGCTAACTTTAAAAATGTTTTCGAATCTGCCAGAAAGCACTCTGAATCACCTAACAACTTTAATAAACATGTCGTTCCAAAATGGTATTTTTCCAAAATGTCTTAAGACGGCAATAATCATTCCACTGCACAAAGGAGGAGACAAAGATGAAGCTTCTAACTATCGCCCAATTGCACTCCTTCCAACGCTATCTAAGATCATAGAAAGGTTGGTTAAAAAAAGCAGGCTGGTATCTTTTCTGTTTAAGTACAAAATACTTACTGAATATCAATTTGGATTTCTAAGCAACAAGTCCACAAATGACGCTATGTTTTCCCTCCTTAATAAAGTTTACTCCAGCCTAAACAACCATCATTCTACAGCAACAATTTTCTGTGATTTTTCTAAGGCGTTCGATTGTGTAAATCATAAGATCCTAATTAATAAACTGCAGCACTATGGGTTCAGGGGATCATCTCTCGAATGGTTTAAGTCGTATCTGAGCAACAGAAGTCAACTTGTGAGGGTGGATACCACGTTGTCTTCTAGCAAGCCAATAGAATGTGGAGTACCACAAGGCTCAGTACTAGGCCCTATTTTGTTTCTTCTTTTTATTAACGACATTGCTAACATAAACATCAGTGGCAAATATGTCTTTTTGCGGACGACACTAGCTTCACTTGGAGCAACAAGGACATCGCGGCACTTCTTAGGATTATATCAAATGACTTAATCACCATTAAATCTTGGTGCGATTCGAACCTCCTGAGTCTCAACATTTCTAAAACTAAGGCTTTGTCGTATAAAAACTCGTTGCAGCCTTTTGTACTTGACAACACCACCATTGACGTCGTAAAATCCGTAAAATTCTTAGGGCTTGTTGTGGACAATTCTCTGAAATGGGACATACATATCGAAGCTTTGTCGAAAAAATTGAGCTCTGCCTGTTTTGCATTAAGGTCTGTTTCTAAGGAGCTTAACTTGTCAGTGGCTAGAACTGTTTATTATGCACTTTTTGAGTCGCACCTCAGGTATGCCCTTCCATTCTGGGGTACGTGTTGTGCGGCTCAATTTGACCACATTTTCAAGCTCCAGAAGAGAGCTGTTCGATATTCACTGGGACTAAACAGCAGAACTCATTGCCGGGGCTTTTTTAGAGAATTGAAAATATTGACTCTTCCTTCCTTATTTATATTTGAATCCGTTTGCCTAATACGTAAACATGTATCAGCTTCTCAAGAAAGGCCGTCTCACACTTATCCACTCAGGAACGCGGAGCAAGATCTTTATCTACCTAGCCCACGCTCAGAGCTACTTAAAAGTTCAATATTATACAACTCGAAAAAAATGCACAATCACCTGCCATTTGAAATCAAATCCATAACATCATTTTTTCCATTTCGCAAAGCATTGAACTCTTATTTACTAGACAAGGCTTTCTACGCCGTAAATGAATTATATTTGAATTGAAAATCGAATTTGATCTTGAAAACACTGGTCTAATGTTTGCTATTGCTATATTTACTAATGGCATCGAAATTAATTTATTTAGAGGTCATTGATATTTTGCTATAAACTGGCTAAATATTTTTGAATATTATTTTAATTTTTTTTGTTCTTTGACATTGTAAACATTTATATATGTTTATTTTAACAATAAGACTGACAATATTATTTGTATAATGTTTTGTATTATCTTTTGTTTGTTTGTTTGTGTACCTTGTTTTTTTTTACTTTGTTTGTTAGTTTACCTTTGTCCACAAATTGAAAAATTTTTTGACAATAAAGGTATTTATTTATTTATTTATTTAAGTCCTCGGTGGCCGCGTGGTTAAAGCGGTAGGACTATGCTGTTATGACGTTGGAGCCGTAGTAAGGCAGGTTCGAATCCTAGTCAAGGCGACTTTTTTTTAATCGTTTTTTTTTAATTTTTACATATTTATTTTTACTTTTTACATATTTATTATTGATTAATACAATTTTTAGTAATGTGTTTCTTCATTTTTTTTTAATTACTTATACGCGCATTCAAAATTTCAGCTAAATCGGAAAAAAAGTTTATAATAATTTAGTCTCTAATGTTGTATAGATAATGAATGGTACGGAACCCTTCGTGCGAACGGTACTTCGTGGTACGGAACCCTTCAACTTGACCAATTTTTCTATTATGATATATCTCCATCATTATCATAAAACATTAAAATCTCACCACTAATTTAGTATGACAAGGCCTAATGTAGTTTTTTAATTTGATGAGTTCATTTTTATATTTTATTTTACTTATAATTTGATCAGTATTTGCGTTCCAAATTGCGTTTGGGTTCTAAGTAGTATTCTTCGAATATAAAATAAAAGTATGATATATTTTATTTAGAGTTGGAAAGTATCAAAACTTTGTTTACTGCTGATTTTATCGCAAGTAGACTGCATTTAACTGTAAAGTCGGAGCGACAAGTGAGACTATGTAAAAACGAATGTATCCAATTTGGGTTTAAAAGGCCTACCTCAGGTATAATTTGGGTTCTCATTTATTGCTTTCTTTTTTTTCTATTCTATTTTTTTTTGTATTTTTTTGTTAAATTACTTGGATGTTTCTAGGTGTATTTTTTTATAGAATGCATCAAAAATATTCCATGCAGATATTCGAAAGTGTGAACAAAAAAATTAGTTTATTGGTTTATTTACTTTCACAAAGGTTATACAGTATGTCCAACGATTTTAGATATACAGGATGGCGCCTCTAATAAGACACAGCCTCTCCAAGGAAAATTCCAATTTGTATTAGGATAAAAGTTTGGGTGTATATATAGGTTTATTTGAACTATTTTTTAAAAATAATTATTTTAAAAATATTTATAATGCACTGCGGATATTCAGAAATAGATTGTATTTTTTTTAATTGGTTTTTGAAATACAAGGAAGAACATTACTTCCAGTGTTATTAAAGATTTTTTTGTTGAAAATGTTTGCCGTTGTTTTTGACATTTATTTAGCATTTTCAAAACATAAAGTAAGATTTTAAACATAAATAAATGATACTAAATTAGAATTTACTCTGTATAGCATGCTAAACAATTAAAACAACCATTGTATGATAAATAGAATTTTATCCAAAAAAATCCTTATGGGTTTTTCGCCACTGCACTGCAAGAAAAAACTACAAAATAAAATAGTTATTTTTTGTAAACACTTCTGGCGTTAAACCTAAACGGACGCTGCTTGTCAAAAGTTGTGTTTACAGTAATAAAAATTTTCCTAACAAAGAAAAAAATGCTTAACGTTTCGGAAAGTTTTCTCTTTCCGTCGTCGGAAGCAAAAAAATATAAAGAATCAAGAAAAAAACTATTTAAAATATTTAAATTGAACTATTCGAGAACGCTTTACTTTTTAAAACAGATACGTCTACAAGAAATCGTTGACGTTCTGTTAAAATGACATTATATTAAGTTAAACTTCAAAATCAACAATTACTACCTGATAATTACTTAATAAGGTAAAACCAAAAAGCCCAAACTTTCTGTATGATTATTTTTAAATTTCACGTATGTTATGTTTATTTATGTAATGTTCTTTAAAATCAAAGAAGCGTGCCATACATTACTAACATTTACAGATGCATGAGCAATACATTTATTTTATTAGATTGAATTAAAAAAGCCTCTTTTATTTTTCTTTTAGAGGCTATCGCTTCTTTCATTATAATTTTGGCGTTATTAAAATTTATTCTGTGCCCTGTGTCCCATGAATGCTGACAAATCTTAGATTTGTGAAAATCTCCCTTTCTTAAATAATCTTTATGTTCTTTAATTCTAACATTTAAGGGTCTAGATGTTTCACCAATGTAAAATTTATCGCATTCGCAGGGTATTTGGTATATTACATTTTTTGTTTGTTGTTCTGTATTCATTGGTTTAGTATGTGATAAAATTGATCTAAGTGTATTTTGTGTTTTGAAAGATGTTTGTGTGTTATATTGTTTTCCTATCCTTCTTATTTTTTCCGAAACGCCTCGTATGTATGGAATTGTAAGTTGTATATATTTATATTATTGTTGTATTATTTTTTTTTCCTTGGAGTGCCTGTGTTTTTTATTGTTTAATGGCACTTACTGCCAGTTGGCTTTGAGCCAGTTGTAATTTATTTTATTTTATGTTCTGTCCTTTTTTAATCTTTCTATAATTTTATTAGTGTTAATTTCCTTTTTTTTTGATAAGTTTTATGTCAATTTTTATCATAGAGATTCGTCGCCAAAATTATCATGGATTCATTGCCCTACCGCCTTAGACGCCGGTTTTTTTTCGGTACGCGGTATATGTAAATTATTTAATAATAATGCTGAAATATGTATTTTTTTGTCCTTGTGGAAAAACGCAACTGATTTTAGAAATAGTTAATAATAGGCAATTTGTACACATATAATAATAATAACAAGTAATTTGCTTTCAAATCATACTTACTATATCGTATCCTCACATAGTTTTATATAAAATTGCATTTATTGTTATTCAGAAACAAACGGTAATTTGTTGATTATTAAAAACGAGTCAGTATGATACAAAAATGCTATTTCCTATGTCCAATGGACTCAAGTTTGTCAGTGGCTATCTGACCTGTAAACAAATTTTCATCAACAATAAAAATAAGTTTTAAGGGTTATACGGGGTGGGTCTCAAAAGTGGCTCACCCCTATAACTTTTTTATTTTTTCAGATAAAAAATCGAGATTTGGTATATTATTATATGACATAAATTAGGATTGATTGACGTATTCATTTGTTTCTGGTCACTTCCTGTTTCACCGGAAATGACTACAACTTTTGATTTTTAAATGGCTCCCTCGGTATTTTTTTTCTTTATTCGATAGAAAATGACATTCTGAATAGAATCACATATGATATGTCAACTTTTGACATTTTCGCCTAATAAAAAATTGTATTTTAAAATTCAATCTAGAGTGCCATGGCTGTGTTAAAAACATTAATTCTTAGTCAAGGAGCCTTGGAAAAATAGATTTGATCGTCTAATGTTTTAGTGTATTGTCCTGGCCAGTTAGAAAATGGTCAAATCGTATTTTTAATTATATCTCATTTTTTTTCAAATGGAACGAGGGTGGCTCATTAGCATATTTGGAAAAAGCATTTTTTTTCGAATAATTTGATACCACACACTTGGTATTTCGAGTCAAATTTTCGTTACGAACCGCAAATTATAATTTGAAATAAACCATATGCGAAAATGTCAAAAGTTGACATATTATATGACATTCTATTCAGAACGTCATTTTATGTCGAATGAAGTAAAAAAATACCAAGGGTGCCCTTTAAAAATCAAAAGTTGTAGTAATTTCCGGTGAAACAGGAAGCGACCGAAAACAATTGAATATGTCAATCAATCCTAATTTATGTCATATACTAACATACCAAATCCCGTTTTTTTAACTGATAAAATAAAAAAGTTAAAGGGGTGAGCCACTTTTGAGACGCCCCCGGTATAAAGTCTGTCCAGCGAATCAGGGAAGAATTCGACAGACGACATCCAAAAAATGACAGAAAATATAATTTACCTTTGAATAAAATGACTGTTATGTTGGACAGACTTTATTCTCCTCTTCCTTCGTCTAATTAAAAAACCAAAAAAAATTTTGGTCCAAACCCACTATCATTTTACAAAAAATATGTTTTTTCTAGTTTTCTGTTCTGAGCTCTTAAGCTCCATCTACACATAACGTTTTACCTGCCAGTCTTAATGTTCAGTCAAATCGTATCAAGTAAAAGCTTGCGCGTAGACGAATGATTATACAGGGTGTCAAAAAGTAGTATATCTAACTTTGCTGGTTGATTCTACAGATAAAAATAAGACAAAAAATTCCTATGAGCGTATAGCCTAAAATGCCGTCCAAAGAAGTTACAGCCCTCGAAGGGGTAAATAAAAATAATATATTTTATTTATTTTAGAGAACATCGAAAACCGTTTTTCTTGAAACTTAGTACTCTTATACACATTTTAATGCCAAAGCACTTGGTGATGTGTAAAATTCCGTAACAGCCCTGGAAGGGTACTTCCCATTAAAAAATTAAAATATAAAAAATGTTCAGAAATGAATGGAGATTTTGAAAGTAATTTTTATTTTAAGAGGAGTCAGTGGTGTACCACTTTTTTCTCCAAAAATATTCAATGTAAAACCCGTATGGACGGTATTGGTTGAAATAAATAAAATTCTTTGTATACCAAAAAAGGTACTCTGATGCATAGAAGACGTGTATCATGTTTCATATATCTGTAATAAAATCAGAGTTATTATGAAAAAACGTTTTTTTTTTAGAAAAATTTAGCACCCTGTATCTCAGACATTAAGACGTTTAGGAAATACATTCATATAAAGTTTTTCTCTGAGAATAAGTCCACGAATCCACGCCCTTAAATATTAGCATGTCATTAAGAAACACCGTGTATATGATTAATATTTTGTTCACATTATCGAATATCTACTATAGTATTTGTATATCAAAATAACTAATGCTCATTATGTTTTAATTTGGGACAGAAGCGAAATTACCGATACACTTGAGGCTGGGCACTTGTGGTTTGGAAACGTTCAGTAAGCCGAAACGGAAATCGAGGAAAAGGAAGAACGGCGAGACCGAAGGCCAGGTATTTTGTATTTTGTTGTGTTCCTCCTATATTTAGAATAACGTATAATGTAAAAGTGTAATGTAGTTATCTGTACACCTACAACGTTTGGGTAAGTTTACTCCAATCCCTATTTAGTTTTTTCCAACGTAGTAATAGTACGAGAGCTAGCAACGTCGGAAAAACAAGTATTTTAAGACGTCTGGCTCTTTGATATATCTTTTACTATGCTCTCTAGAACAGCATGCGGCCCGTCCGGCTGCCGGTAAACGTTGCGTTCCCTACTGCGCATTGAAAGAATATTCTATATTTTTATTAGTCCTTTAAATTCTAGTATTGAACATAAATCGAACATGTCTCCATAGTTCGAATCCGGGTCAGGGCAAAGACTTTTTTATTTTATTTTCGTTTATATTCTGATAGTAAAGTATTAAATATTTGTTTTTTTTGAATCACCAGAATTATTTAATACTTTACTATCAGAATATAAACGAAAATAAAATAAAAAAGTCTTTGACCTGACCCGGATTCGAACTCTGAATCATCGGTTCGTGGTCGGAAACTCTACGCACTGCGCTATGGAGACATGTTCGATTTATACTCAATACTAGAATTTATAGGACTAAATTAATAAAAATATAGGATGTTCTTCCGATGCGCAGTAGTGAACGCAACGGGTATCGGCAGCCAGGCGGGCCGCATTCTGTTCCAGAGAGCATAGTAAAAGATATATCAAAGGACCAGACGTCTTAAAATACTTTCTCGAAAACGTTGCTAGCTTTTAGACTATAAGTAGCGATCTAGAAGGTGTACCCAAAGGTGTAACGTCAGATATTCAGGCTCTTTAAGAGAGTTAAATCAGTAAATCATAATTAAATGAATAGATTTTTTGACAGTATTGTTGGTACTATTAATACGAAGTTCATTCAGGAGGTGGGATAGTATTATAAACACAAACTGGGTTCCTTTTTTATTCTAAATTTTCTTTATATTTTTTTTGTGCCCTGTAAAAGTTAATTCCCATGTGCATACTACAAACCGATCTAAACCAAATATCAAAATTGCAATTATAAATCATAATTGTCATAAACCAATCCGCCGATTCTTGAGATGGGTCAAAAAAATCGACTATTTCTTTTTCACTTTATACTCTGAAAAAAAGGTTGGTAGACACCAAGAACAGTTAACTAACCTAATAGGACTGCTCATTCATCCGAAAGTGTCTGCCAGGTGCATGCGAAAACTCCTCGCTTTGTGACGTCATTGTAGTCCTTGTCATAATAGTGTGTGTATTATTGGTTGCCGTATGCAAAACATTCAGTATTTATTTATTTAAACACCTTATATATGTATGCAGTATAGAAAATTAACTGTATAAATGATATTAAATACTCGGATAATGCATTTTTAAGAACAGCAGTTCCCAGCATCACCTTTTGCAGGCATTTTTTTAGAGTACTTCGATAGTTTGCTTTAAAATAATTAATAAACAATATCATAGGCACTAAATAAGCCCTTAGTCACAATCCACAACACAAAATGAACGTATTTATACACTCTATAGCTCTAAAAACTTTAAAAACACCTTTTTCACATTTAAAATCGACAAAATAATTAACTCAACATTTCATTTCCTAACCAAACCAAATCTTAGGCAACCAATAATACAGATTATCATGACAAGGACTACAATGACGTCACAACTGTCAGCTAAAGCGCGGGAAGAGGCGAACGTACGTCTTATGAGGATGAGCAATCCTGTTAGTTTACCGTTCTTGGGTAGACACCTCAAAAATTCTTTCCAAGTATGAGCTCTTAATTTTAATAGGTCCGCCGCCTTTCAGTTTTCTATTTTTTCCTTATTATTAGAAAGAAAAATTCATATCTCGGTATCTATATTTGGAAAAAATATCCCATATATTTGTAGGGAATTGAATTCTCTACAAAAAAGGTCTCTTGCATTTTTTCTGTAAACCTCACCGTTCGAAAGTTATTAAAGTTCGAAAATTATTTTTTTTTCTTATGAATTTTATAACCGTTAAGAAAAAATCATTGTGATACGCGCAATTCAACTCATGGTTTTGTAGGAAATTCACTGCTCTATCAAAACGGTTTCTTATAACTAGTCGATTAAATTAACCGTTTAAAAGATATTCGTCGTCAAAAAAATAAAGTTCTATATTTGTGGGGCACAAACCTGGGACCTCTCGATCCCGACGCGACGCGACGACCTTACCAATGGAGCCACAGCTGCTTTCGAGGGAAGGCTATAGCTAGGCATTACTTAGTTCTGCCGTTCATAACGTAATAATAAGAAGTACCATCTGACAACAGCGCTAAAATTTCCAATGGTTTATACGTCATCCACACCGCTGTGATACCGTGCTTGTCTAGAAGTAGGCTCCTGACCCTTACTAGAGGAGGTGGTAGAATGTAGAATGAGTGAGAGGGCGGGTTAAACACTGCGGCCTTAAAAATCTATTGTGTCCCCCTTCCTTGAGTTATAACTCATCACACAGTCTATAACCCATTATACACTTTCCTGTTGTAGGGGGGACAGGGTATTTCCCATCCTCCTCTGAGAACAGATGTTTTTCCACCGAGGGTACACACCCTTCCACGGTTGGAGTTTAGGGCTCTCCGTGCCCTTCACAGTCGTGGAGCTTAGTTCCCTTTGGGAGTGTTTCCTTGGAACTTGCATTTATAACTGTGTTTTTATCACTGTGCCATCTATGAATGAACTTTCTTACAAGTTAGACCAACTTTTTGAAAATCATTGACACTTATTTTTTTCCAAAAGAGCATTAGGTACTTTTCTTCAAGAAAATATTCTTTAAGAATTATTCTGTTTTGATCAGAGAATAAGTATATCAAAAATTTATATTAATATGTTTACCAAACATTTAGCTCAAACATGTTTTTTCTTGATTGTTTCACTATATTTGTTTCACTATGAAGTGAAAATATCTATTTACAAATTCATTTGAACAATAAAAATTTAACTGTTATGGTAGCTTTATATATACAAGGAAATATAAAAAATGCACAATAGCAACTATATACAAGGTGTCTTATAAAATGTTGCACTCTACAGGGATCTCGCAAACCTGAAGAGACAAAGATGATTAAATTAGAGAAAAGTTCCAGCTTGTCCACAGATTAGGTATACTATATGTATACAGATAAAAATCTTATTCGTGGTACCCTAATTCGTGGTACGAAAATTGTTTTTTATGACGATGTGCAAACGAGTAAAATTTCCTGTGCGCAAAAATAAACTTGCGTAAAATAATAATAAACAGCGTAATAGAGAGATATCGCTAAGCCGAATAGCGTGCATGAACGTTAATAAGGCCAGGTGTTATTTCTTTTACGTGAGGTGGTATTAACTCTCTTCATTTATAGTTATCGGATCGTTATAGTTGTTCGCGTCGCGTCCGCTATTTAAACTTAACCTAACTTTGAATTTAAAACTTTAAAATTGTTTTGTTTACTAAGTATTTTAAAACTAAAGGGCTAAAGTGCTTATTTCCAATGCTTTATTGTTCTACGTCTCCCAGTGGGCTTAGGGCAACAAGCAACAAATTCTCTTAGAAGTCGTCATCAGCTGTAAACGTAAGCCTCTTTATAGGTTCTTTAATATTGTCATCAGCTGTAAACGTAAGCCTCTTTATAGGTTCTTTAATATTGGAAGAGGTGGAATCCATATTTTGGGCCATATTTATTTAATTAAAACTAATCCCAGCTACTTAAATATCGAATTACCTAATAAAACTAAAGTAATAATTCAAAACAATTCAAACATAACCTAAAATAAAAGATCTGGCCGGCCGGCCCCGGTTGTCAAATACCCACACATGCCCATTTAAGCAATTTTTAAACGTTATTTAGAAATAGCGCTTGGTGTAATTGATCCGCAAATTACGTCAGGCGGTAGCGTTATTAGCGGGTGTTGCGTTAAAAATTGACTCGCGCATATCGTAACCATGATAAGGTACGCGTAAATACTGCATGACGCTATTCGGTTTTCTGATATCTCTCTAATAACTGTGCCGGTCAGGCGCTGTGCACGATTTTAGAGGGCCTAAGTGGGCGTGCTATGTGCGCAAACTAGTAACCTAACTAGTGCCCGATTCCGAAAATTGGAACCACGAAAAACAATAAAGAAAAAACAAAGATTATAATCTGTATAATCTGTGGCTTGTCGAACCCTACAACGTTATGTTTCTAAATTTAAAAAAAAATCAGTTACTTCGGAAGATATTTGTAAAGAACCGAATTTTGCTATTTTTTTCTGGTTTAATTTAAAAAGATATGATAATGCAAATTGTCCATTCCCATTACCACATTTCCTGTTCTACAGGTTGATGTTATTAAATTGTCAATACGACGTTTCGTTTCCGAGATAGCATCATCAACTGTGTTTTTTAAAATACGGACCTGGATTTTTTTTAATCTTTCCGTCTTTGTATGGTCTTCTCGTTTAAGAGATCCCTGTAGTGTGCATTTTTATATGGGACACTGTGTATTTAATGTAATGATTTATATTTTATTATAGTACCTGATAATTTTTTTTTACGCAATATTATCTCGCGTGTAAAAATTATTACTCTTCTTTAAGTTTTCTAATAATTTATTTATACACTCAAATAATAGTTTGTCTGTAGTATTAAATGTATTTTTTATTACATTTTGTATGGTACAAAAGTAGATTCATCTGTGATAATAGAAAATAGACTGTGATTTCAGAAATCAAATATATACACCTTTTTAAAAAATATAAATGTCGCTGATGCTATTTTTTTCTTTAATTTTTATAGTAGATTATGTTATTTATAACATGGCTGTGATTTATCAAACCGATATTAAATTTTAATTTTAGAGATTATTTATTAAAAATAGGAAAAAAACTGTTGATAATATTTTTATTTTTTCAGTTCATAGCTGTAATTTATCAAACAATATGAAAAAATAATTCTATATTTTATTTATTAAATATAAGCATTTCAATTTACTGGTACGAATGTACCATCATCGAGGATTAACATTGTTGGAAATAAATGTAATTGTTTTTTTATCCCTTTTTAAATATGTTTATTTGTAGGTGCAGCAAAAGATTGTAGATTAAAAAAGAATACTATTTTTCTAAAAAAATATTTATATTGTAACAACCATATCGTGATTTTGTAATGTATGCATTTTTTACAAAGCCATTAAACTATTCTGAATTATTTTAGTACTAAGAAATGCATATATGTATGTTTTTAACCCTAGTTTGTAAGAACTCTAATTATTTTATTTTCAGTCATTTTATTAATTTAGATGATATTGTGATATTTTCAAGAAAATTTTATAAGTTTGTTTTACTAGTCGGCGAATAGAGTCAGCAGATATGAAGAATAATTGTACTTGTTTCACACACCACGCGTGATTTTTGTCATTTTCTGTCTGTTTAGACAGTTTTTTTTTACTTTTGCTGTTCAAATCTGTAGTCTGTAAAACGGAACTGTCAAATATGGGAGTTCATGATGTCGATTCCATTTGTAATGCATGAATACATTAGAGTTGCCAAATGTCCTCTATTTTAGAGGACAGTCCTCTTTTTGATCTTACTGTCCTCTTTTCTCTCACGTATTGAAAAAGTCCTCTTTTTTACATACCAAACTCAAAATCTAAAAAATATTCGTCTATTGCCACAATGCTTTAAAAAGTTCTTAATAAAAGAAAATGAAGAAATATTTATGTACAAGAAATATTTGTGGAATCGATAAACATGTTAACTATTTTATGTTTACTTACTGTTGGCTTATGTTCTGAAAAAAAGTTTTGTTGAAAATAGTTTCTTTTATTTTAACAAGTTTTGAGTATAAATATTTTTAAGAAAGTAGAATGTAGAATGAGTAAGAGGGGGATTAATCACTGCGACCTTAAAGATCTATTGTGTGTGCCCCCCTTCCTTGAGTCATCACACAGTCTATACCCATCATACCCCTGTTGTAGAGGGGACAGGGTATTTCCCATCCTCCTCTGACAACAGTTCTTCCTCCGAGGGTACACACCCTTCCACGGTTGGAGTTTGGCTCTCCGTGCCGCCTTTCACAGTCGAGGAGCTTGCCTTCGGCTGAGGAACCCGTGAGGTGGAGACCGGGGGATCTGTCTCCATTTTTTCCACCTCTTTAACTTGGTCTCTCCTTGGACCTCATACCGGTGTTGTCCCGTATCTATAATAGAGGATATGTCCCTCTTTGTCTATAGCCTACTTGGGTTTGAGGTCAATTCCTATTATGAGGACCTGACCATGACTCTCCTCCCTCGAGTTGATGACTCGCCAACTCGATGTCCTTACATTGAAGTTCTGACCCTAGATAAGGCTCACCAGGCAGGTGGTGTCTTTCCCCTTGCTCCTCGGCAAAAAGACCGCTGGAGAAGGTGGTAGCTTGTGTGCCACTTGTGGAGGATGATCCCAAGCAAGTGTCAGCCGCCCCTCTAGTAAGTAAGAAAGACCATCAATTGCATACCGTTGTCATAACTTTTTGGTAAATTCTAGATATTTGGGCGATGTTTCAAAAAATGTTTCACCTTACCTCTTTTTTACCCTTTCGTCCTTTATTTTTTATTTTGAAAGTTGGCAACCCTAGAATACATAGATAGCGTCATACTCTTTCCTTAATGTTTTTATTCAAAGGTTAGGTCGTCACCCTCGAGAATTACTGTCCTCCATTCACGCAGGTGTGCAGCTCTGAACTGTTCAAGAATGCGATACTCTCACTCCATTTAATTGAGTCATAAAGTTCAGAACTGTTCCGCGCCATATGGAGACACAGCTCCTTTCAGAACCGTTCTCGAGTAGCCCAGGGCGTAAGCTCTGGAACTTGAAATTCGCGAATGGAGAACAGCAATTCAGTTGTGCACCTCTGAACTGTTCAAGAACGCGACACTCTCACTCCATTCAATTGAGTCACAAAGTTCAGAACTGTTCCGCGCCATATGGAGGCACCAGGCTATCGCGCACAGCTCCTTTCAGAACCGTTCTCGAGTAGCCCAGGGCGTAAGCTCTGGAACTTTAAATTTGCGAATGGAGAACAGCAATTCAGTTGTGCAGTTCTGAACTGTTCAAGAACGCGACACTCTCACTCCATTCAATTGAGTCACAAAGTTCAGAACTGTTCCGCGCCATATGGAGGCACCAGGCTATCGCGCACAGCTCCTTTCAGAACCGTTCTCGAGTAGCCCAGGGCGTAAGCTCTGGAACTTGAAATTCGCGAATGGAGGACAGCAATTCAGTTGTGCAGCTCTGAACTGTTCAAGAACGCGACACTCTCACTCCATTCAATTGAGTCACAAAGTTCAGAACTGTTCCGCGCCATATGGAGGCACCAGGCTATCGCACACAGCTCCTTTCAGAACCGTTCCCGAGTAGCCCAGGGCGTAAAGCTCTGGAACTTGAAATTCGCGAATGGAGGACAGCAAATTAGAAGGTCTGATTTTCACGTGATGTCAGACCTCACTCTGTCTAACTAAAATAATAAGTAACACTCGGTAATCTCGAATTATTTCTTCAATCTGCTGATTCTATCGCTAGCTTTCTAAATCGCTTGTTAAAGTTTACTTAGATTTTAAGGCATCTAGTTTAGATCTAGTGAGAAAGTCGAGTTTGGCAAGAAAATATTTAACAAAAATCATTATTTATGGTCATATAGGTGTAGAGAAAAGAAAAAATCGACAAGAGACAAACAAGACCCGCCGAAAATTCGGGATTAACGACCTGGATATGTGGCAAAAAACAGACTTTTAATTATCGTTTTAAAGTGACATTGTTTCTTTTATTTTTTTTTAATTAATTTCTAATCAATTAGGAGAATCTGTGTTATGATTTATTTTGCTTATCGAATTATTAAATTAGCTTTCGATTGTTGTAATCTAGTACTCTTTCGTTTTTAAGACAAAGGCAGTGTAATTTTCTCTATTAAATATTTATTTAAGTACAAATCTTTATACACTAAGATTAAACTATATTATTATTCTACTTTATATTTAATTTGTACATATATATTATGTATATATTGTTGATATACAGGAAAAGACTTTTTATTTTTTAATAAATGCCCTCCCAGTGATATGAATGCATGTGTTTTATTTATTTCACCAAAAATAGCCCTTTTAGCGTTTTTTTAATTAACTATTTTGATAACAAAATTTCAATGAGTTCTCGAAATTAAGCATTTACGAACACCTTAAATGTGTTCTTGAAATTCACTGTTTCAAAAATAGCTTGAACATGTTCTCAAGATTAACTAGAACTTTCGAGAACTTTTTGAATGGGGTCTCAAAACTAACCATTCACATAACACCTTAAATGTGTTCTTCAAATTAACTTTGAAATTAACTATTTCAAGGATATATTTTACATGTTCTTAAAATTAATTATTTTGAGAACATTGAATGTGTTTTCGAAATTAGGCCTTTACAGAACACTCTATATGTGATCTTGAAATTCACTGTTTCAAGAATAGCTTGGACATGTTGAGATTAACTAGAACTTTCGAGAACTCTTTGAATGCGTTCTCAAAACTAACCGTTCACATAACACCTTAAATGTGTTCTTCAAATTAACTTTGAAATTAACTATTTCAAGGATATATTTTACATGTTCTTAAAATTAATTATTTTGAGAACACTTTGAATGTGTTCTCCAAATTAAGCATTTACAGAACACTTTAAATGTGATCTTGAAATTAACTGTTTTAAGAATTGCTTGAACATGTTCTCAAGATTAACTAGAACTTTCGAGGACCATTCGAGGAATTCATGCTCAAAACTAAATATTCACATAACATTTTAAATGTATTCTTCAAATTAACTATTTCAAGGACAGATTTTATATGTTCTCGAAATTAATTATTTTGAGAATACTTTGAATGTGTTCTCGAAATTAGGTATCAGACAGAACACCTTAAATCTGTTCTTAGAATTAGAATTAGAATAATTGGGAGGGGGGTTAATCTCTGCGACCTTAGAGATCTATTGTGTCCCCCTTTCTTGAGTTATAACTCATCATACAGTCCCAGGACTTCCCAGGAGACCCGTGTCCCTCGCAGTCGAGGAGCTACGACCCAGGCCGGGTAGACGAAACGGTAGCTTGTGTCGCTTGTTGGGTTTAGAGGTAGGAGGTAGGCTTCCGACCCTTGGAGGAGGTGGTAGCTTGTATGTCACTTGCGGAGGATGGTCTCACGCAAGTGTCAGCCACCTCTCCTGTAGTTCTCTTTGGGTTTGGCCCCTTGGAACTTTCATTGTTACTGTTCCCAGTGTCGCTAGGGGGTTTCCCCACAGCTTCACCGGTGATGTTTTTATTACTATTATTACCAGATCTCATAGTGTTCCTATGAGTCGCTAGGGACAGTCGGTCCACTTCTACAGAGCCCCGCATGTAGAAGTAAGGGCTAAAATACAATGGGGTGCCCCCCGGTGCCCCAAGGTTGAGGTTGTCCGTAGCCCCGCCTGGTATCGTTATATGTCTTGGTGCAATTCCCTGGCCACGACACTACAGTCAGGGACAAGACGATGAGTGAGATGCTTCTTAGACCAAGCCAAGTGCTAGAGGGGATTCCCCCCAGCACCTGACCAGGAGCTTCCCCACCAACGACAAGGTCTTGCATCTCCTAGGGGAAGCAAAAAAAATAATAAATAAATCTGTTCTTGCAATTCACTGTTTCACAAATAGCTTAAACATGTTCTCAAATCAACTACAACTTTCGAGAACTCTTTGAATGGGGTCTCAAAACTAACCATTCACATAACACCTCAAACAACCTTAAATGTGTTCTTCAAGTTAACTATTTCAAGGACAGATTTTACATGTTCTCAAATTTAATTATTTTGAGAACACTTTGTATTTATTCTCGAAATTAGACATTTATAGAACACTCTGTATGTGATCTTGAAATTAACTTTCGAGCATTTAAAGAACAATTTAAAAGTGTTCGTGAAAAATAACTATTTCAAGAATAGGTAGAACATCTCAAGCTAAACTAGAACTTTTGAGAACACTTTAAACGTGTTCTCGAAAGTTCTAGTTAATCTACAACTATTCCCAGAACACCGTGAATGTATTCTCAAAATTAGGCATTTACAGAACACTGTATATGTGATCTTGAAATTAACTGTTTTAAGAATATCTTTAACATATTTTTAAGATTAACTACATAGAACTTTCGAGAACACCTGAAATGTGTTCTCTCCAAATTAATCATTTACAGAGCACTTTAAATGTGTTCTTAAATTAATTATTGCCAGAAGAGCTTGAATATTTCTCAATATTAACTATTTTGAGTGCAATATGAACGTGTTCTGGAAATTAGACATTTAAAGAACACATTAAATATGTTCGTGAAAAATAACTTTCAAGAATAGCTGGAACATCTCAAGCTAAACTAGAACTTTTGAGGACACTTTAAACGTGTTCTCGAAAGTTCTAGTTAATCTACAACTATTCCCAGAACACCGTGAATGTATTCTCAAAATTAGGCATTTACAGAACACTGTATATGTGATCTTGAAATTAACTGTTTTAAGAATAGCTTTAACATATTTTTAAGATTAACTACATAGAACTTTCGAGAACACCTGAAATGTGTTCTCTCCAAATTAATCATTTACAGAGCACTTTAAATGTGTTCTTAAATTAATTATTGCCAGAAGAGCTTGAATATTTCTCAATATTAACTATTTTGAGTGCAATATGAACGTGTTCTGGAAATTTGACATTTAAAGAACACATTAAATATGTTCGTGAAAAATAACTTTCAAGAATAGCTGGAACATCTCAAGCTAAACTAGAACTTTTGAGAACACTTTAAACGTGTTCTCGAAAGTTCTAGTTAATCTACAACTATTCCCAGAACACCGTGAATGTATTCTCAAAATTAGGCATTTACAGAACACTGTATATGTGATCTTGAAATTAACTGTTTTAAGAATATCTTTAACATATTTTTAAGATTAACTACATAGAACTTTCGAGAACACCTGAAATGTGTTCTCTCCAAATTAATCATTTACAGAGCACTTTAAATGTGTTCTTAAATTAATTATTGCCAGAAGAGCTTGAATATTTCTCAATATTAACTATTTTGAGTGCAATATGAACGTGTTCTGGAAATTAGACATTTAAAGAACACATTAAATATGTTCGTGAAAAATAACTTTCAAGAATAGCTGGAACATCTCAAGCTAAACTAGAACTTTTGAGAACACTTTAAACGTGTTCTCGAAAGTTCTAGTTAATCTACAAATATTTCCAGAACACTGTAAATGTGTTCTGCAAATTAACCATTTATAGTACACTTTTTAACTGTGTTCTTGAAATGAATCATATCAAGAACATTTTTAACATGTTCTCAGAAGTTAACCATGTACAGAACACTTAAAATGTGTTCTCGAAATTAATTATTTATAGAACACTTTAAATGCGATCTTACACACATAATTTTGTGTATTTTTTCTGTACTAAAATGAGGATTTTGAAAAAGAAAGTAAGTATAAAATATGCGTTTATAATTCTTGCATATATACTTGCATACGATCGAAAAAAAGGCGTCGGAGATGGCTTCGAAATAAAGATCGCTGTCATTTTGATTGTAAAATTATAGGGTGATATCGCAACTCGCAGTTATCAGGAGATCGACGATCATAATTTCCAAGCCAACTGAATGCCGTTTTTTTTCGATCATATGGCACTTAACAAAAATCAATAAAAAGGGTGGATAATGCTAATAAATAACGATAATTAGATTTACTTAATTATGAAAAAAAAATATAGTGTCTAATCGTTATACAGAAATTACAGGGGAGAAGAGAAGATTGAACGCAGTCCAGGAATTTGTTATCGCAGAGACACGTAAGTCCTGACCTAGGTTACCTATACAGTACATAATAGTATTGGATATATTATGTATACGAAAAATATCTTTATACAAAATAAAAAATAATAAGCATCGAAATGTACTTAAAACTTTTCGTAGGTGTATTTGAAAACTAAATTCAATTAACCTTGAGTGAATATAAAATTACATGCACCTGTTAAAATATTAAAAACTCTATTTTTAGACGAAGAAATACATATGTATATCAATTTATTTATAGATTCATTTATTCAAATATATCTGCCATGCATTTTTATTATGTACATTCTTTATTTTACACATTATTAAAATTACAATTTTCTTTAAAATAAATAGCATTAATTCATTAATCGAAAAAATCATGAACGATTCCTATTCGTTCTGAAAAAAGATACTAAAATAATATTTTTCTAAAAAATAAATCCTTTGATCTAAAAATAACATTTTACACTGAATATTATTTCTATCCATTTAGTCATTAAGTAACAAATAAAAATTATATAGGTATTTACTTAATTATCGCTTATTACGGGTGCATAAAATCGAAACATAAAGCTCAGGCTATTCATCCGTCAGTTAAAAAATAACATGATATATTCCAAAATCATTTTTTTCGTCAAATAACAATACTTGAAGAATAATAAAAGGAAAATAGTTTAAACGTAGGACATATTCTGTAAATAAATCAGAAAAAAGCCGGTTAATTGCGAATAAATCGAGATAAAAAGCGAATTTTTAACGGGAAGTTTATCTAATACAGCGTTTACCGACCCTAAACTAAACGATTATCGAACGACAACATCGAGAACTGTCTCGAAAAAGTCAGGCGCAGAACAAACGTTCGAGAACGTTAAGTCCCGTTCGAGAATTATCGCTCCCGTTCGGGACCCTCCTTCGGCCCAGTATATAAACAAACAGCCTTGGCGCGCTATTCAGTCAATTCAAAAACCGGTGAGAAGTAAACACAAACCAGACGCTAAGCGCGGATCGCGTAAAAACATTGTTTATATTCGTGTACGTTGAACAGTTGTTGTTAAAAGTGCAAAATGGTGAACGCTCCTGCTATTGGTATCGATTTGGGCACGACCTACTCGTGCGTAGGCGTGTGGCAGCAAGGAAAAGTGGAAATCATCGCAAACGACCAAGGAAATCGTACAACTCCGAGTTACGTGGCTTTTACCGATACCGAACGTCTTATCGGAGATGCAGCCAAGAACCAAGTTGCTATGAACCCGTCCAACACCATCTTCGACGCCAAGAGACTGATTGGACGCAAATTCGACGACCCCAAGATCCAGGAAGACATCAAGCACTGGCCCTTCAAGGTAATCAACGAACGCGGCAAGCCTAAACTCCAAGTCGAGTACAAAGGCGAGACCAAACTGTTCGCACCCGAAGAGATCAGTTCTATGGTGCTGATTAAGATGAAGGAAATCGCTGAGGCCTACTTGGGAGTGAACATCAAAGAAGCCGTGATTACTGTGCCAGCTTATTTCAACGATTCCCAAAGACAAGCTACCAAAGATGCTGGTGTTATCGCCGGATTGAACGTGTTAAGGATCATCAATGAACCCACAGCCGCTGCTCTGGCTTATGGGTTGGACAAGAACCTCAAAGGAGAGAAGAACGTGCTGATTTTCGATTTGGGAGGAGGTACTTTCGATGTTTCCATCCTAACCATCGATGAAGGTTCTCTGTTTGAAGTGAAATCCACCGCTGGAGACACACATTTGGGTGGGGAAGACTTCGACAACAGACTAGTGAACCATTTCGCTGAAGAGTTCAAGCGCAAGTTCAAAAAAGACCTCAAGACCAACCCCAGGGCTATAAGAAGATTGAGAACTGCAGCGGAAAGAGCTAAACGTACTTTATCCTCCAGTACCGAAGCTACCATTGAGATCGACGCTCTATACGAAGGCATCGACTTCTACACGAAGATTTCCCGAGCAAGATTCGAAGAGCTCAACTCTGATTTGTTCAGGGGAACCTTACAGCCAGTAGAGAAAGCCTTGGCGGATGCCAAAATGGATAAAGGCTCTATCCACGACATAGTTTTGGTGGGAGGCTCTACAAGAATACCGAAAATTCAACAGCTCCTTCAAAACTTCTTCAATGGGAAGCAACTGAACCTTTCTATCAACCCTGACGAAGCTGTGGCTTATGGTGCGGCTGTGCAAGCTGCCGTCTTGACTGGAGCTCAGGATTCCAAGATCCAGGACCTGCTTTTGGTTGACGTTACCCCTCTTTCTTTGGGCATAGAGACTGCTGGAGGGGTTATGACCAAGATCATAGAAAGGAACGCTAGAATCCCCTGCAAACAGACCCAGAGCTTTACTACTTACGCCGATAATCAGCCAGCTGTTACTATCCAGGTTTTCGAAGGAGAAAGAGCCATGACCAAAGACAACAACCTTCTGGGTACCTTTGACTTAACCGGTATACCCCCGGCACCTAGGGGAGTGCCTAAGATCGAGGTCACGTTCGATCTCGATGCTAATGGAATCCTGAACGTTTCCGCCAAGGATACCAGTTCTGGAAACGTGCGAAACATCACTATCAAGAACGATAAGGGAAGGTTATCGCAAGCGGACATAGATCGCATGCTTTCAGAAGCCGAGAAGTACAAAGAAGAGGACGAGAAGCAACGTCAGAAGGTAGCTGCGCGTAACCAGCTGGAGGCGTACATTTTCCAGGTGAAACAAGCTGCGCAGGACTGCGGAGACAAGTTGAGCGCAGAAGATAAGGCTACCATCGAGCGTGAATGCAAAGACGCTCTACAATGGTTGGATAGTAACTCGTTAGCGGAGAAGGAAGAGTTTGAAGACAAACAGAGGCAGCTTACTTTAAGTTGTAGTCCTATTATGTCAAAGTTGCACGGGGGTGCAGGGGCTGGAGGTCCTAATCCTGGAGCGGGTTACGGTAATGGATTTCCTGGGGCTCAAGGAGGGCCTACAGTTGAGGAAGTTGACTAAATATAGTTTCATAAGTTCGTTCAAAAATAATTATACTTATAATATATTCGTGTATTTTTCTAGTTTGTTAGTTTTCATTGTGCCAGTTTTAGATGATTTTGTATTTTATTTTTAATGTATTCATTATTCTGAAATTTACCTACCTTTAATGTATTACTCGCTTTAGGCTAGAAAAGTATTTGTTGTATGAAAAAGTGTTTGAATAAAAAGAATATACAAAAATGATAAGTTGGTATTTTATTTATATCTTCCCTTTTTAACTGGTTTAATTAAATCTGTTTTTTTTTTGCAAAAAAGTTAAATAACAAAGTACTAAATTCAGTGGTGATACTCCTTGGAAGTATTTTCTAATATGAATAATAAAATATTGTTTTATAATAATAAAAAGATTAACATATTTTATTATTTATTGTACAGAATGTTCCTTAATGCTAATATTTAAGGGCCCTTTATTCTTCGACCTATTTCATACACGTCTTCTATGAATCGAAATACATATTTTGATTTACAAAAAAGGTTTAATTTGTTAACAACAACAACCACCGCATCAGATTCTCAGCGAAGTAAACTGACTAATTTTTTTAAGCAAAAACTATGCGCCCGACGAAAAAAATCAAGTGTTAAAAATTGTTTAGAAATGAATGGAGATTTTTTGAAAATAATTTTTTTCTTAAAAGAACTCAGTGGTGTACCAATTTTTTCTTCAAAATTATTCAATGTAAAACCCGTATGGACGGCACTGGTTGAAATAAATAAAAAAATTACCTCAAAAAAGATATGCATAGATCCATAGAAGACGTGTATCAAGTTTCATAAAGATATAAGATATCTTTTGCCACACTGTATCTCAGTTAAGATGTTTAGGACATACATTCATATGAAGTTTTTCTCTTAAAATAGGTCCGAGAATCATTACCTTAAATATTAGCATGTTATTAAGGAACACCTTGTATACCTGGTACGTCTCAAAAGTGGCTTACCCCTAGAACTTTGTTATTTTTTCAGATAAAAAACGAGATTTGGTATGTCAGTATTTGACATAAATTACGATTGATTGACGTATTCATTTGTTTTCGGTCACTTCCTGTTTCACCGGAAATTACTACAACTTTTGATTTTTAAATAGCCTTCTCGGCCAGGACACGACACTAAAAACATTGGACGATCAAATCTATTTTTTCCAAGGCTTCTCGATTAAAAATTATTATTTTTAACATAGCCATGCATCTCTAGATTGAAATTTAAATTACAACTTCTATAGAACGCAAATAATAGCCCCGGAATCAACAAAATATAAACCAAACAACATTCACTTTCCGGGAGTGCACCAAAAGCGAAAAATTTGAGTGTAGTATAGAAATGGGTACTTTCAAACATGCGTCGGTTAAGTAGAGTCGTAGCATCGTAGAGACTAAAATATTCAAGAAAGTAACTGAGAAATTAATTAAACTGTAACTGTAAAATATTTTACTAAACTAAATTGTTTTTGCTGTCAGGTTTCCTGTAAACCCTATACTTTACTCATGATTTTTAATCTGAGGTTTAAATAAATAATAAAACTTAGTTATAACAAATTATTTGTTTATTTAGGTATACAAATCCTTATTAATCAAGTACAAAATATGAACACCGTCAAACTCTCTTACAATCTCTAAAGTGATAAATCAATCGTCATCACTACTATCACCGTCAGAACTATCCTGACTTTGTGCAATATACTGACTAATTTTTTCTTCTAATTCTTTGTCCTCTGTTAAATCCGATCCATCCAACTTATTATTCTTACAGCCAACATAGGGACACCTAGCTTTACGTTTCGATTGTCTCATGTACTGATATATAGAATCGCTTTCGTAAATGTGCTTGCAATTCTTATTTTTGACCGGGTTTCGAATCACTGTTTTTGAAATTGGATCTATAGGCGGTGTAAAGGAACTAGAACACAAAACGGAGTCGTCACCGACTTCTTCATACACTGCCTTGTCTTTCTTCTTCTTCTGTTTCAGTTCTTGAACAGATAAATCTTCTAGGAAGTACTCTTGCCATATTTCACTTGATGTTACTTCTTCATCAGGTTGTTCTGATAATTTTTCTTGGAAAACCTTATCAATATCCTCCAAGTTTTCAATTTTGCCTAATTTGTCTTCGACAAGACTTATCGCTTGTTCGGATTTCTTAAAATCGTTGTCAATAAGGCAATATTCTTTTAGAAGGTTTTGGAACTTTTGCATTTCCACTTGTTCCGTTGATGTATCCAAGTTATCAGATATAACATTTTTCCAGGATGATAATGTTCTTAAACATTTGTTTAAAGCTACACTATATCTTTCCTTTAAAGCCATTTTATATATTCATAAAATTAAATTTAAATTTCAAATGTTTTGTTTTCTTTTGTAAATGTCAAATGTCAAAAATTAAAATTTTTCATGCACGCCTAGCTTCACGGTAGTACCAATTTAAATCCCTTTTTTTATAGTATATGATTTTCATGTTAAAATCTTTTAACATAATTGGATTTTCTAATTCACGAAGTTCAAAAACAATTCCATTTAGAAATTAAATTCCTAGAAAATTGATATAATTTTAGCTTATATTTTAAATAACAAAATTAAATTTTAAATAAAATAGTATTTCTACCCTAAAGTCCTAACAGCTCAAGGCCGATAAACGGAAAAGAAGAAAAATAAAACGTAACCCCACTTTATTTAATTTTAATTATGGAGGGCTTAAAAAAGGAGATTTATCGGCAATGGGCAAATTTGAAATTTCTGTCCCCACTTTTAAGCAGCTTCCTCGGTTTGACAGCAGAGGCACTGCGATCGACTGGGATACTACATTTTCATTGTTAGTATACGATTTAATTGTGTTTTTAATAAAATTTATAGTTAATTAAACAAGTTTCTCCTATACAAAAGAACTAGAATGCAACAAATCACTAATAGCGATGCCCAATCTGGAACACAGTATTGATTTTTGCAAAATTCAAGCCTAAAGTAAGAAAGGACTAGTTCACAGTGATACCTCACAAAACCTAGAACCGATAATAATTCAAGTGATAAGCCATAAAGACAGTAAAAAAGAGAACATGTAAAAATAGAATACGAAGGAGATTTCACCATCAAAATTGATAAAAAATGTCCACCACACTCTGGAAGTAATAGAAAAACCTTAAAAGAAAATGAGAAAGATTTGATGCCCCAGAAGTTGATTCATTTGTAGATAGTAAGAAGTGTCCTGATGAAAAGCCAGAGCAACTACTTTATTACCTTTTTAAGTTATGATTTTAATTATGTTTAAAATTTACTCATTAGGTAGCTTATTACTCATTAATTTTTATCTTTGATGTTGAGTCAAACTAGAAGATCCAGTGACCGAGGCTGCCATGGCTCGGCATTAAAAGATCACGTTGTACAGTAGAGAACATATTAACACATCGATGAAGACCTAGGAAAACTTATTATACCTGTCTCATTTGAAAGTAAATTAAGTAAATAAATTTAGTTCTTTTTAATAATGTAAGTTTATACTTTTAGACTAAAGTAGTATATTAAAAATACTAAGAAATGCTAAACAAAAGGTAATGGAGACATACCTAAAACAGTTAAGAATTATGTAAACTGTCTGGGGTTATCCAAAAATGGCACATTTTGTGTATGAAAGAGGCTTAGTGAAATTCTACAGAATAGGTAAATCACCAATTTTAACTGAAACATTTTTTGTATAATTAAATTTTAGTGTTGATAATTATGTCCATAGAATCTCAAATCGTTTAGGCTGGGTTAATACAAAACTCCAGAAGAAACCAGGAAAGCACTTGAAAGTTGGTTGCCGCTTTGATTTATGGTGGGAAGTTAATCTCTTCTGGTCGGATTCGTCAACAAAGATGCTAACTTTTTGAGACCTCAAAGTTACATATGTTTAAATAAGTACTTATGTCCGTATGGCATGAAATACATTAAAGATAATTCAAATAGCAAGAAAAAGAAAAAATAATGTAATGCTTAAAAAACCTTTAAAATGTTTTTATATATTTTTTACTTTTTTCCGTTTGTTTAATTATGTACCTATGTTTAAAAATAAATTATGTTTTTTAAATTTGACTTTTTTTGAATAATTATTTAAATAATAAATAAATTAATGAATTAATTAATAAATTAATTAAATATGAATTAATAAATTAATTAATTAGTTAATAAATTAATTGAATTTTAGGTAATTAGCGTAGGATAATAAAACCCTAAAATTAAAAAACATTTACTTTACTATGTCACTTTTTACAGTTATTTTTTCCTCCTTCCTCTAGTTTTGTTTCTAGTAAATTCCTTTTGTTTCTTTAGTTTAAAAGATTGTTTCTTTTGTTTTTGCCTTTCGAGTTTATTCTTCTTTTGAAAAACCTTACTCTTTTGAACACTCTTCGTCGCTTGTTTTTTCAGTTCCTTCTTTATCTGTTTTTCACTTTGGAATTTCTTCTTGTCAGGTAGTTTAACTTTCTTTGATGATGTTTTCAGCTCCATACCAGGTATTTCTTCTTTGGTATCTTCATTGCTACTTGCTTCTTCTTGCTCTTCCTCATTATACTTGGGTTGATTAAGCCCTATCCAATTGTTTTGTTTAGCAATATCGTTGGTGTTCAACTCCACGACCTTAACTGTGACGCGTCTTCCTCATATTCCCGGAGTAAGTTTCTAGTTCGTGGAATATTCTAGACGAAACAACTAACTTTTTGTAAGATTTCAGTATCAATAATCGTTTTTGCCTTCTTAAGCCTTCTCGAAATTCTTCTTTGCGCCTGTTTTTTCTCATTGTTTTCGCCGAAACCAGTTAAAATTCTCTAAAAAAATAGATACGATCTATAAGTTATGTATTCTATCAAGTTATTTGTAGCGCGGTATTAAGAGTACGGTGCTTATACTATATATTTTAGTAGTAAAAATAATTACCTTCTTGTTTCATCGAAAACTAAATGGATTTTATTTTGCCCGGTTCTTGGGTCTTCGCTCTGATTTTTATTTCGAATCCATGTGTTTTACAGATCTATTATTGATTGACAGTTGTTGTCAATATTTGAGGACTTGTACAAGTTTTTTGATATAAAAAGACTAAAGAATAAATTAATTGATAAGTTTAATCTGATTACTCTTGCAATTAAACTTAGATATTTTATTGCGTCACTTGCTTGTATATTTTTTAAAAAGAGTTATTTTATCGTCACGAAACCAGAATTTCTTTGATCGACGGTTTTCCTTCCCTTTAAATTTTCAACCAATCACGAGCTAGTACTTCGTATTAAAGACCGACTCAACCACATCATGGCTGTCAGTATAAATTTGTCCATTGTAAGATGAACTTTCCCTCTGCGAAATATACACATAAAGGGTACTTTTATTTATTTGTATTAAAAGGTGAAATCCAGCAAAAAACGTTATAAAATGTTTCCAGCGGGTGAAGTGAGAACGTGTTGACTTGGGGAACCGAAATATCATTAGTAGTGTCACGTGACAAAAATTTTACTATCTAAATTTTGATATTATTGTAATGACCTATGCGGAATTTAAAGATTTAGATCAATCTGATCTGCAATCGTTTATTGCCGTATTGAAACTTCGAATATTAGAGTCTTAGGTCGTTGAATTATTAATGTTTTTAAGGATTTTAATAGTAATAGATTAGTTATTAAGAAAATACCTGTCTAAAATATGATCTAATTTAAATACAACATTTACTTTTATCGTCATAGCCATATGGTCAATATAAATTCCGTTATGTATCTTAATTCGAGGATTTCACGAGTAATAAACAACTATCATTGTATATTTTCAGATTTGTCTGTTTACAAGAGAGATAAGCTTGAAATTGAATAATGACTTCTATAGGTAAGTGAATTTTTTTGAACTTTATCAAGTGGCGCATACATTTTAAATTTGTTAAGATTATATGTATCGACACACACGTGCTGAGAATAGAAAATAAAATTAACTAATTAAAATGGATGATTTGCAGTTAATATAATAATATAAACAGATATTCGCTCTTTTTGAATAGGATTAGGTTTATTTACAATTATTGTTGTGGATCTCTGTGTTAATAGAAGCTTTCCTTTTGTTTATAATTTATTAATATATATACCTACCTCTTGTAGCTAGGGATAGGTAATAGGTAGGTATTCATTTTAGTTGATTTCTTGCTTTTTTAAAGAGACAAAAACTATTTTTTTTATAAACCAAATACCTATCTACCTGTTAGTTTTTTTTAATTATATGGTTTTCAAAGAAATACTATACTATGTTTTCACAAATAAATATAAATGATTAACAATAAATAATCAACTTTGTTTCTGTAATAAAATGGAAGGGAACAAAATTCAAGTCATTTAATTCAGTATATTTTATGGCCACCCGCGACATACTTAAAATTACCTAACAATTACCAATTTACATTTAAAGTCGATTTCTGACACGATTTTTAGTAATTAAATTAACGAACGAAACCAGTTTGAATACATAACACACGAATGCGATAATGTATTTTTAAAATTTATTATTTAGGAGGTTTTGTTTTCCTTTTAGGGGAAATTTGTGATGTTATTTATAAATTACAAAAAATAAGTTCTAGATTAGTTATGTATGTTTGTGGTAGATCCCCCTGTAATATACAGGATGGCGCAAATGGCGCTCCGTATACCGGGTTCGTCTCAAAAGTGGCTCACCTATATAACTTTTTTATTTTTTTAGATAAAAAACGAGATTTGGTATCTTAGTGTATGACATAGATTAGGATTGATTGAGGTATTCAATTGTTTTTGGTCACTTCCTGTTTCACCGGAAATTGTTACAACTTTTGATTTTTAAAGACACCCTGGGTATATTTTTATTTTATTCTATAGAAAATGACACTCTGAATAGAATGACATATGGTATGTCAACTTTTGACATTTTCGCTTACAAAAAAATCGTGTTTTAAATTTCAATCTAGAGTGCTATGTTGAAAACACTAATTTTTAATCAAGGAGCTTTGGAAAAATAGATTTGATCATCTAATGTTTTTCGTGTTTTCTCCTGGCCGGTTAAAAGATACCCAAATCGTTTTTAATCATATCTCAATTTTTTCAAATGGGGCATAGGCGACTCATTAGCATATTTGGAAAAAGCATTTTTTTACGAATAATTTGATACCACACTTGGTCATTTCCGAGTCAAAATTGTTGCTATGAGCCGCATAGAGGTGGAATTCTAGTTCCTTGGTTCTAGTTCCTCCAGAGTAATAGTTCCTTGAACTAGATCTTTAGTTCACAATAGTTCCCGACTAACATTGACATCGTTGCTTGCTAATGCGTTTCGTTGTCAGTCAGAACTATTCACAGTATGATCTGTATAATTTTATAATGTACGGAGATATAACGAGACGTGTAATTGTGTACGTTAAAAACATATAGGTAAAGTTTTTATTGCAGATAAAAAGCCAAAAACTCAAATCAGAATTTAAAAACCTATATAAAAATCAATTAGAATATTACAAAATTTTACGAAAAAAATGCATTTCTCCTCACCTCGAAACTTTTTTGCTTTTACAAAAAATTCAGAATATCTCCTTCGTTTTATAAGATATTTCTTAATTTAGGGACCTAAAGTGGCTGTTCATTCCCATAAAAATATTTAAAAACAAACTAAATCAAAACATTATCCACGACAATTTCTGTGGTAATTACGCCGCGGCGGCTGCGGCAATAGACAAGGCCGAATCCATCGTCGTGGCCTTGTATTATATCTCGGATCTGCCGACTTAATAGATTCCCGTGAACTGGTCTTTTAATTAGTTCCTCTGGGTCAGGATCCGATAACATACTGTTGACACTCCCCACGCCTGCCTAGCATCAATCGCTCTGGCTGATCCATGCGTAAGCTATTTTATTTAGTTTCTTTAGGGCTCTGTTCCGTCAGCGCGTTTCTTATTGGTTTAAATGTGTAGAAACCAGACTAACAATCAGATTTCTAGGCATTTTAACCAATGAGAAACGTGACTAGTCAGGGATTCTTCTGGGAACACACCTTAGGTCCGGATCCGATAACATGCGGCATACGGCTGGCACTCCACACTCCTGCCTAGCATCAGGCTACGATCGCGCTGGCCCGATCTGTTCGTACGTAAACTAGTCTTTTATTTCGGTTTGGTTCTTAAATATAAAATAAAAGAGTTGTCATTTCCATAGCCAAAAGTAGGCAACACGTTTAACGAGGATGGATTGTAGCGCACCCTTGAGACCTAACTGAACTAATCGAAATATGACAGATGTTATCGGTAAAATAGGTATCTGCATTGCCTACCACAAAAAAGGCGGGCTGTTTAAATGTGAATATAAGAGGCCACATGTATTTTTAAAAAATATTACGAAATTAAAACTTTAAAAAATATAATTTTTATGAAAGTTTATTTTAAAACAGGAATATTTGAAAAGTATAAACTATTGTACAAATGCTTACAGTTAAAAGCTAAATTAAATTTGATAATATAAAACATATATGCTGAATTAACTTCGAGGGTTAAACTCTGAGGAATTTTGCTAATGCCAAAGTAATGCCAAATAATTTAGTACTAATACCGATAATGCAAATCTTGTACACCACAAAATACACCAGCGGTTTACCCTTCGATTTACCTATAGTATTATAAAACGTATTTAACAACGCCACTAACAAAGCATATATAAGATCGCAGGGTTTGCAATCTATGCTATTATAACAGATAAAGATTTAAATAAGACATCATCAAAAATTAATTCACCTTTAAGTTGAATTTATAAACTCAGCAGTCAGCAGTTGAAGTTCCAGTTGAGGTAGCAAATGTTCAACACTGTTAAATGAAGGCGCAAATTTATAGTCAGTTCGTTTTACGTTCACAGAGTTCAGAGATGGGCAATGTCTTTACATATCGAACTTGCTTTGCATGATACCCTTTCCTGGATCGTGTTCAAATCACATCATCGGCTGAACAAAATATTACATGATGATGGCAAAACACAGCACAAAATATAAGTTCAAATCATATAGAAATATAAGGTCTCTGGTTCCTCGGGAAATAAAACTTCGTCCATAATTTCTGTACGCACAAACTTCAAACAAACAAACAAAGTTTATGCTACCTATAATAACAAAATTCCAAAATTCAAAACAAAATTGAAACAATTACCAAAATACAAATAATTTGCTGTCATGTCACTTGTCATTCTTGTAATGACACGTGACAGGTAGAAGGTGGCGACGCTTTGGAGCTCTAACTGAACTATGCAACGTTATGGCCAAGTTAGACAACCTTTCAAACACTCTTTTATTTTAGTTACTTTATGGTTTAGTTCCCCATCCGGATCCGATAACGTACGGCTGGCACTCCCCTCCGCTGCCTACCATCGGGCTACGCGCTAGCCGATCCGTCGCCGTCGCATATTATTCTATATCGGTCACAGTCTCGATCCTGGAATAGGTCCTGAACTAGTTCTTTGAGAAACCATGAACTAGTTCCTTTCATTTCAGGGTCGGAATAGTTCATTGGACTAGTTCGTTCACGAACTACATGCCTCTACGCATATTACAATTTCAAACAAAACTATATGTGAAAATGTCAAAGTTGATAATGATGTCATTCTATCCAAATTAATAATTTTCTATCGAATAAAGTAAAAATATACCGAGAGTGCCATTTAAAAATTTGTAGTCATTTCCGGTGAAACAGAAAGTGGCCAAAAACAATTGAATACGTCAATCAATCCCTAATTTATTTCATATACCCACATACCAAATCTCGTTTTTTTATCTTAAAATAATAAAAAGGGGTGAGCCACTTTTTGAACGCACCCAAATGAATATATGATTCCATAAAATTGAACATAATAATACCTAGGAAAATCTTTGTTTAATGGGTAGGAACCTTAATAGTATTTTTGAAGAGACATAGATTCCCCATTGAATATCGGAATAATATACTGGGTCTTCAAATTTTAAATTAAAGTAACTTGCTTTAAAAGTGACCAATGTTCAATATTAATTTGGTCTCATCCTGTATAAATTTTCTGGTCAGGTTTTAATATAATTTGAAGTACATTGGATATGTTAAACAAATATTAGACTGTGCCGAATCAGAATTTCCAATTTGGAGCAACTTTATTGAAGAAGTTTAAATTTGTTCTTCATTTTTGGAAAAATGTTATGTTAAAAAATCTTACATTTTGGTCATATCTTTCTCTAATGAAACTTACTTTATTTTTCCTAGAATACGAAATAATTAATATACCGGGTGCGTCTCAAAGAGTGGCTCACCCCTATAATATGTGTAGTAATATGTGTAGAGATGTGCAGATTATGCATTTTACACTATTTTATGCGGGTAAATTTTTGTTATATTATGCGGCTTTTATGCGCCCAAAAATGGCTCATTATGCGTTAAAAAATTACTTATTATGCTCCTAGAAATGTAATTTTATGTTTTATTAAGTGCATAAAGGTCGGTATCTTCGTTAAAGGTGTTGATAAAGGTGTTGAAAATGTTAGTTTTTTAAAACAAGAAAAAATACACACAAGATTTCACAAAACGCAACATATTATATTTAAACAGTTGCATTTTTTGGTAACTATAAAACATCTTAACAAGATAACAAAAGTTTAATAATATTATCAAATATTGTCTCATAAAAAAAAAGCTAAAAGAAAAAAGCTAAATTTCAACATCATCTTCGACAACCCAATCCGAACAATCATCTCCAAAATACATACACATCATAACTTCAACGTTTTCAGGAGAAAGTCTGCAACGTCTAGGGGAGAGAATATCTCCATAGGCTGAAAAGGCGCGTTCGGTAGGATCGACATTTGCCACTGGGATATGCAAAACTTGCATGCAGTATGTAAAAAACTCATGATAATTGAGCCCCAATCCTAACAGTACCTTGCATACAAAATCTGTGTTATCTTTATTTGTTTTGGGTTTGAACTGCCTCTTTCAGCTCATCCGACATTATACCATGTAAAACTCTGAAATCAGCTGTAGGTACTTTGTGTAACAGATGAATCTTTTCCTCGTCAACATCGTCACAAGTCGCCACAACAATTTTAATTGGCTCAAACAATAGTCTTCTTAAATTGTAGAAAAGGAAAAAATGCCACTTTATGCGATAATTATGCACTTTGCGCATTATGCTGCAAAACGACCCGATTATGCCTTATTATGCGGGGTGTATTCGTCCTCAGGAAGGTTTAGTGATGACTCAGGTATCAACTTTGAACCGTTTTAAAGTCTTTTTAAAAATTATGCAATTATGCGATTGCATAATCTGCACTTCTCTACCTACCAACTTTTTATTTTCAGATAAAAGTAACGAGACTTGGTACGTTAGTATATGACATAAATCCGGATTGATTGACGTATTCAATTGTTTTCGTCACTTCCTGTTTCACCGGAAATGACTACAACTTTTGATTTTTTAAATGTCACCCTCGGTATTTTTTACTTTATTCGATAGAAAATGACATTCTGAAGGGAATGACATATCATATGTCAACTTTTTCACATTCTCACTTAATAAGAGATTTATTTTAAATTTCAATCTAGAGTACCATGGCTAATATGTTAAAAAGCTTACTAATTCACTTAATCAGAGAGGCTTGGAAAAATAGAATTGGATCGTCCTAATGTATTTAGTGTCTTGTCCTGGCCAGTTAAAAATGCTCAAATCATTTTTAATCATATCCCAATTTTTCAAAATGGAACGGTGGCTCATTAGCATATTTGGAAGAAGCATTTTTTAGGCATAATTTGATGCCACAGACTTGATATTTCGAATCAAATTTTTGTTACGAACCGGAAGTTATAATTTGAAGTTATGATATGTCATTCTATTCAAGAGTGTTATTTTCTATCGAATATTAAAAAAAAAAAATACCGAGGGTGCCATTTAAAAATCAAAAAAATTGTAAATTTTTTTTTTTTAAAATTAAAAATTTATAGCGGTGAGCCACTTTTTGAGACACATCCGGTATATAAATTTCCATTACAAAAAATACATACATACAAAAGAAAAATACAGCACTGATGTGTAGCTTTTTCTGGGGTCATCCTATAGAACTCCAACATGTATATTTTTAAAAAATGCTCAAAATTAACCGACATATACACACAAAATTTCATTTCAATACAAATGATTAAAAAAATATATTTCTTTTGAACATTTTAATTTATTTTCAATGACCACATACACAACTTTTCCAGTATAGTTGATATTATTGTGTTAATAAACTTTTAATTCAGACCAGTGTTTTTTTCTATCTGAGGAATATCTGTTTTTTTATCTGCAAACCAATTATCTTTCTAGGACAGTCACGGGTAAAAGTGGGCGATATTGTTCTTTTTTGTGTGGGAGTTAGCTCATTAGCAAAGAAGCCTTAATGTTTTTTTCCTGGAATTAGCTTTATTAAGAAAATAAAAACGTAAATATTTTGTTAGAATTATAAAGAAATATTTATTTTGAACATAAACCACTATAAATCTTAGATCTTAAGCTATAAATACGAATTGTTAGTTAGGTTCAAAACTGTTTCTTTCCTTAAATTTAGCGTTAACATTATTAGGCATTTGCATAAAAGTGTGTATTTTGGGTGGTATTCGACAAAATTTGCAGGCTATTAAGGAACCAGAAAATGTACAAATTAAAGAAATAAATTGAGAATATATTTATATTATTAAACAGCATTATAAGTCACTTTTTTAAACGTCCTTCAAATCCTTCCAATTTAATAAATGTTTTTAACGGATTCACCCCTTAATTTTTTTCGTAATTGTTTTAAACACTCTGTATATTCTATCTCGTGTAATTAGTTACTTTAATTACTAAAAATCGTGTTACAAATCGATTTTAAATATAAATTGGTAATAAGAACTTCTCGTGTTATCACTTATCACCCTGTATATGAGAAACTATTATTCTAGCTAAGCATGAATATAATACTTTTTTTATTCATAGTAGATTGGATCGACTTTTTGTGCTCTTGGAGACCGGCAGTACCTCTGTAACTAGATCAGCTGCCGCCAAACAGTTAGGGGAAGTACAGCGGCTACATCCTCACGAGCTCAATACCTTGCTGTTCAGGACTGCCTCGTACCTGCGTTCCCCTAGCTGGGACACCCGAATAGCTGCCAGCGAAGCCGTCAGGGCAATTGTTAATAACGTGCCCCAATGGAATCCTCGGGGAATACCCGACACTATCAAAGGTAATAACTCATAAAATTTTCTAGAATATTTTTTTTTTTTTATAAACTATAATCTAAATAAAAAAAACAAGCCGGGTTAGTTACACCATTTATAACTGAAGAACTACTTAACCGATTTTTCAATGATCTCTCTGATTTGTTGGATTCTCCACGAATAGCAAGTGATTGGCGCCGGGAGGCATACGTATAGCCGCCCATACTAAAATACCGGGTGTTGCATCGTCGGCGGACGGGACATAGGAAAATCCCATGTAAATTTTAATGGGGTCAATTATTGGCTTCCCTAATTATTTTTAGAGAATAATTCTATTTAGGTTTTATTGAAGAGCACTCGACCACATTCAGAATAAACTTTAAGGAATATTTTGATTTATTTTTTTTTTTTTTTTTTTTTTTTTTCTTTTAAATATTTCTCCTTTCTTATGGCCCTGTATTTACTTATGAGTCATGGTAAAAGATAACTATCAAATAAAGTTGTCATTTCAAGAGAAATTTATTTAGGGCTATATTATTATTGAAAACTCATTCCTCCATCGGAAATCTTAAAGATGTATTTATAAATACAAATTAATATGAATTAAAGTAAAATAAAGTGATCAATTACAAGGTTAATTGTAGTATTATTACAATATTCAATAACTTATTAATTTAGATACTATTAAATTGTTAGAACTTTAGGATTTAAGATGTTCAAATATTCGTCCATCAACTGCTAGACAATAACCCAGGCGATCATAAAATTCTCTTCTTACATTCGCTAGTTGGTAAACTGAAATTCTATTGCATTCGGCAGAAATAGCATTTTTAACTCGTCTAGATTTGGGTATTTTTATCCCTTGTATATTCTGTTTTTAAATATTTGAAAGAAATCATTTGGCGAAATATCAGGAGTCTAATTTACTGTATGATTTATATAGGCCAATAACGTTTCCGTTAAAACTATTGTCTAAATATTCCCCAGGCAACCAATATCGATAATTTTCAACATTGGATTCATTATTTAAGGTAAACGTGCATTCGTCAGTGAAACATATGTTTTTAAAATATCCGTGTTTGCTCTTTCCATCATATCAAAACGCCTGCCGCCGTTTTTCGCCCCCATCTCGTAGCTCTTGGTGCTTTTCATATTTGAAGGAATAGTATTTATGTCGTTTCAAAAATTCGAAACACTGTAATGTTCGAATCTATTCCTATTTCATCCTCAAGTTTCCTTGTGCTGATCTTTCCATCGTTCTCTTCCACGCACAATAAAACTTCCAAGTCGGTATCATTTCTTGGATCTTCTCTTTGTTTCTGCCTTGCACTTGTTCCATCTGCAGGTATTTATTAGGGTACCTTTTTTTTTTGGTCTCAAATCTCTCGTTATTCCTTGCGATTGTAGCTTTTCCAGGTATCGGTCTATTCGGATACCGAGCAGCAAACATGTCACATTTTCTGATAACTATTTCCTTGATAATACCATTTAATTATCAATACTTTTTCTTCGGGAGTGTAATTCATGGCTAATATTTTCGATGTGTGTATGAGTTTTTAATAATAATATAAAGCACTAAATAGATAAAATTTACAAATGACGACTTTCATTTGACAGTTTTCTTTTACCTCGACTGGTGCTCGTAAGTAAATACAGGGCCATAAGAAAGGAGAAATATTTAAAAAGAAATCGGCGATAATTCGTAAACAGGCTAATCAAAAATATCTAAATTTTCTTTTTGAATGTGGGTTAGTGCTCTTCAATAAACTTAAATAGAATTATTCTCCTAAAATAATTAGGGAAGCCAATAATTGACCCCAAAATTTACATGGGATTTCTATGTACCGCTCGACGATGCAACACCCGGTATGTTAATAAAAGTTGGTGACAGTTCTTTTAGTTTTTAAAGTAAAGGAATTTTTCAATTTTTTTATCTCAAAATCTGCGACTTTGACTGATTTCGATGTTATTACAAATTTTGTTGCAAATATTATTCCTAATCTTAAATTGAAAACCGCGTTTCGCTAGCTACTGTAATTTTGGAGTTACGATTTTTTTTAAAATTTTTAACCCCCTCTATAGGGGTGTACATTTCACCCTGTATACAGCTACTGAGAAGTCTCTGGATTCTAAACCCAGTGGTATTATCCTAGATCATAATTCATAATGATCTAGGGGTATTATAGTAAAATAAATATATTTATATTAAATTTAAATTTTCTATTGTGTATTGGGCATATACACAGATTTTTCTATTTTTTATTTGGTATATTTCTTTATTATTATTACTATTAATAAATAATAATACTCTTTTAATTTTAAAAGTATTATTGCAGCTGATCATTATAGATAATTATTTGTTTTATAAGGATATAATTTGATATTATTATTATTTATTGGTAATTTGATTGAAGCATAAAGGATTATTATTGTTTTTTTGTACTGAATCGAAATCAGGTAGTCCCTGAGGATCCCTGTTTAGACTTAATGTTATTTACTATAAACAAAAATATATAAGTTACTAATTAATACCGAAATGTTTTTGCTTTTGGTTCTATAATAACTTGATCATTATAAATAAATGATTGTATTTTCAAAATACTAACTTGTGGAAGGTTATGATTTCATTTTTGGTTGTAAATTGCACAGATACGTTCCATAGCATAGAACTTTGTCCCTTACTTTGATAAAAGATAGTCTCCCAACGTCCAAGCACAGATTTTTCACAAAACATCGTAAAACGAAACTTTACAATATAAACCAAGCAAAAACTTCACGGCCTAACTTAACTTAACTAAATAAATTACTTTGGTGTTGTTGAGTTATGAATTACTATCTCGAATAGTTATATTTAGATATTTTTAAATAGTTCTTTGTTTGTTCTTTGTGTTTTTTTTTTTATTTTGAAATATTTTACTTTAACTGTTACTTTCGGGTCGGCATTTACATGTGTGTGGAAGTAAATCGCATGGGGATCTTATTAAGTCGGAGTGAGAGAAATGCGACCGACAGACGCGACGCGCGACAGTGTGCTGTTGCGGCGTTGCCAATACGCCTTCCCTATCCAGTAAAGTAAAATCACGATCGCAAACCGCTTATTTTAAAAGACTTTTTCAAAGATAACTAGATAAAATAAATAAAAAAAAATTTCTGAAAAAATACAGAGAGAAATGGAATTATAAAGGATATCGTTAGGGTGTCATTTTTTTTTATAACGAGAAAACGTCGGTAATGCTGATAATTTAAAAACTCAACTTTTAACACAGGCCATAACTCAGAACCACTTTTGAATATTGAAACTTTTTTTTTATTTTCAAGATCGGATATTTTTACAATATGTTTACATAAGAAAAATTCGATAAGGTTGTTTTTTTTTTCTATTCAAAATTGTAAACAATCCATCCTTTTACTTTTAGAGCATAGCGAGGAGCATAGCAATTTTCAGCAATCGTGTAATTTTTTTTATTGATAAAGATTTTCACATACTGGCTACAAAAGAAATACAGCAGAAATATTAACAAAGTTCTTGAATAAACTACAATCTATTATTTCTAATAGATTTCGAGATATCGATTTTTGAATTCAGAGTTCTAATCTACTACACTATCGAACACCCACTCACTTATTTTTTTAACAAAAATGGAAATGTTTCTAGCTTGCACTTAAAAAAATCAAGCTATAGGGAAAATTACAACGATTCGTTAATAAATGAACAAATTAAGTATCACGAGGCGTAATTAAATCGTGAAGCTGAACGCAACCTTTCCCTAGAACTTTAAGTACTGACAGAGGTATTGATACTTGCATCTATATCTAAACGTGACTCCGCATACCACGCAAGCGCCAATATATTTTCGCGCGAGTTATGAATTAAAGTTTTGTTATGTAGTGGGTATTATTTTAGTTGTGAATCATAGTTCTTGTGTTTTGTGGCTGAAATACAATATGTATGTACATTTTGATGTGAATTAAAATTCTCTATTAAATAGAGACACACCGTGGTGGTGGTACATATTAACTCAATTATTATATTCACGTTAATATTAAGGAACATTGGACATAACACATAAAAATCAAAATGTGTCATTTGTAAATACACTGATCAACAATTGATAAGGATCATGAGCTTATATCGCGATATTTTAGTTCCATTTTTTGATAATGTGTTGTTGATTTTTAGAAATAATCGGGTTAAAAACTAGGATCCGGGAAAAAACAATTTATTTAAAAATGTATGAAAAATCTAGATGTTGCGCCTGGCTGGATTAAAATCTGGGGGAATTTTATTTTTTTAATGAATAATTTGTTGCATATGAAATGCATTGTTATGTCTTTGTGCTGCATTTCCAAGTGACATTCAACACACATTTCACTTTATTACACGTGCTTGAATAATAATTTTAAACGTTTTTAAGTTAAGCCTGAATCTAAAATTGACCGAAAACCACGAAAAATCTACTATTTGATCTCAGCAATTTGTTGAACAGTAGTTATAACTTTTAGTACATCACCAAATAAAACGCAACAAATAAATAATAAATATATATATTTTTGTCTAATAGACTAAGAGAGTGAGAATAAAACTCTTTTTAATAATATTATGTTTAAACAAAGTGAAGGGCATACATACATCATTAGAGTATACATATATTATTTTCAAGTTCCTTTACAGGTCATAAAGCCTTCCGGTCCAATAAATGATTCGGAAATTATTTCATGCTCATTAGGTGGAATATTGTTATTATTTTCGTTCATGAAGCTATAGTCAGAGACGCCAAGACAGAATCATTAAGGCGGCAGTGCAGGATGGCGCTTGCGTGGTATGCGGAGTAACGTTTAGATATAGATGCAAGTAGGTATTGATTGGGTCGACCGGTCAACTGTGACAAATCTGCTATATATCCCCTTCCACGTCTCTTAGCGGTGTGCACAGTTTCTCGGTATATTTCATACGTTTGGCAACTGTTTACTGTCCTCTTTGTTCCGGTACATTATAAACGCATTGTACTCTTCTTACCTACGGAAAACTCGATAGAACAGCCAATATAGTATACCTTCTGAAATGTTAAGCATTTTTTGTTCGTTAGGTAAACTTGTGTATCACAACGCAGTGATAATTTAGTGGAAAAACGATTGATAAGTAATTTAATGATACAAATGTTGTTTTACAGAGGAAAATGGTGTGTCATCTCAAGCATTATCGATCGTCGGAAGACTACAGTTTGAGCAGTTTGACATGTCTAAAGTATTAGATAATAGCACACATTTAATGGCTTCTGAGGGCAAGGAGTTTGACGTGGAAGAAGATTCAGCTTTAGGTAACTACATGGGATTAAAGCTGAGTCTCTAACAGTGGTCTGTCCGGGGGTTTCTTGACAGTGACAGTTTATTTGTCTGTCGTTTTAATTAGCAGATAAAACGTCAAATCTACTCAATTCGGTTCTGTATGTAAAGGGCGTAAGTGATTAAAATCCGTAGTTTACGATTTTTTTTTTGATAAAATGCTTATAAAAAGATGCATATTTCTAAAATTAATATTTTATTTCCTTGTTTTTTCCGTTTGAAATCACTCTTAATGCTTGTATTAAAGGTTTAGACATGAAGGAACGCCTAGCCAAGCAAAGACAACTCCTCAATAACAGGCTGGGCTTAGACGTGGCCGCCAGGATGGGTTTCAACACTTCAGCCTTATTCTCCAATGAAGACTTGGCCGTAGGCATCGAGAAAATCGATCAACCCCACGATTACAATTCAGGAATTGTAAAGGTAAGAATTAATATGACATTTCATTTTATTTAAGTTAATAATATTTTTTTTTTTAATAAATATTTGGATAATACATGGTAAACAATGTCTTGTTGCACTTATTTTTCAGTTCACCAATTATGTTGCATGTTGATGTTTGATTTTCATTTCCTTTCTATGTCTACACACATTCTCCCTATCCTTGTACCCTGCATCAGCAGACGGGTCCTTGATGGGACGAGGCATGAATTCATCTGGTTCTAACCTTGCTTTCCCGAATAGAAAGTGTCGCTTGCCATCCAGAGCCTCATAGAGTCTGCAGCAAAGACTGTCTTGATACAGGTTGAGCTTGTTCAGGTAGCACTTGGCCATGTGTCCTGTCAAGAGATCTGTTATAATCCGCATTTTATTCCGGCTAAGCTTTAGCAGTTGCTTTCATACTTTAGAATTAGGTCCTTGGATAAAGGCCTTGCTATGCCTGTGCCTCTGTCTGTTTCTCTAGTGGACATTCTGCTTTCCCTGATCCAGGTAGATATTACGATGTTTCACTCTTGTTTATATATTTTTTTTATGTTTATTTTTGTTAAAGGAAACCATCAAAGAGATAGTGGTGGCGTTACACAGGGACTGAGCAGTCGCGAGATGAACAGGGCCAAAAGAATGGCCAGACAAGCGGTGAACAAGCAAAGATCTCGTGACGTAGGGGAGGGATGGACAAATGAACAGGGACAAGGCCAGGGAAGAAAATTAAGACAAGTGGGAGGAAAGCCACCGTTACAGTTGGTAAGTATTATAAAAATGATTTTAGAACGGGCGAATCACAATATCTCTAGACGTCACCATGCCCTAGACACTCAATGGTTATTTTATAGAACTAAAGAATTTAGTTTCTTCCGCATCGCCAGACGGTGCAAAATACATTAAAGTACAGGTACATGGTCTGGTTTTGGTCTAGTTGACAAAATGTTGGAGATCCATAATGTTATTTTAAATCATTATTTAAAATAGTATTAATTCAAATTCTGATTTATCGGAAAGTTCGGTGTTTGTGTTTTATTAGTTTGTGCGTTCTGATATTTACAGTTGATCATCGTTTTCGTGTTAGATACTAAACTTTTATTTAAGTCATTTTGACATTTTGGAAATGGTAAATTTATGAACCAAATAAGAAAATAGTTAATCATAAATAAGTAAGAACATAGAATGGTAATATACACCAGGGTGTCCCAGAAATAGGGTGAAATTATTTTTAAAGGGGGTGGTGAATCTCGATAAAAGAGGAAATATATTTTCTCTTTATCGTTTTAATCAAGTTTGGTTTGGTTTGGTTTGGTTTCAAATAATAACAATTAAAGATATTTTTAATTTTGTACGGTGTAATGAACACGGGACGACGCTGCGAGCATACTAAATTGTTTCGGGTATTTTTATGGCCGGTGAAGGAGTAGATTTTGAGTCAGCCTCGGATCTAACCAAATAAATTTGCATTAAAATGGTCGTTATTCCTTTTTCTGTTTGTTCCTTGTTCTTTGTTTGTGGTGTGTCCCATTTTGTATATTAAACTTATAATTTCGGTTAAAAATATCCTACCGCATCTAAAACCACGCAGAAGCCAGAATATATCCCAAGTGGCATTTTTAGACACACAAAATGGCGGTAGTAGTAGTAGTAGTGGTAGACACAAAATCGAAACAAAATCTCTGCTGAAGCTTACATTGCGAATCAGTTTCGTCACATTTCTGATACATATGTTTCGTAACATAGAGCAG